TTTATTTCTGTATCCTTTAAAATTATTTTCTTAGTTATATCTTCAGGCTTCAAAAACCAGATCTGTACAGTTCTTTCTGGATTTAAATTCTAACAGTCTTCTTCCATTTTAATTTATAAAGTACTGGCATTCCTAGGAATGTAATTATTCATTCTTACCAGTGCATAGTCCTCCTGTGACAGGAATCTTAGACATAGGTTCCCACACAATAGAGAAATCTGTTGCTGTTCCCAGTTTAAATATAACTGAACAGAGACAAAAGATCATGCCAGCTATCTGTCTTTTTATTGTGTGTAGTAATGCAGCAGTGCTTAATCTTTATCAACGAGCAGGTGACATCTTAACAAAGAAACTACGTCTCATGGAACATTTCACATATGTTTCAGATTCAGAACAACCTGTAGGAAACACAGTAATTGGCTGCGGTGCAAAGTAATGATAGGAGTGTGGTTAAAAAAAAATCTTACGTATTTTGAATGCTATCAGCTGCAAACCAGGAGACACAGTATGATATGAACAACAGGTCATAGTGTGGTTTCATTGCTACAGAGGATACCCAAAATTGACAGAACATAAAGACTCACTGGTTATTTTGCTTGTGATTCTTTATACTCAGAGAATGCTTCATTGCAGCTCTGGCAATGACCAGCCTCTTGCAGTTTTGAGATGTCTGGGCCAGCTGCACAAAGGAGGTTTATGCTTATGCCTTGCAGTCTTAATGCCTTCAGTGAAGCTATAACATTGTATTATGGCACTATCCCCTTTAACGTAAAGTAGTTCCCTTTGCCAGGGACATCCATTTAATGTATTTTTAGAAAATACAGACAGATTTACAGAAGACTGGACCATTGTGCCCTGAATTTCCTTACATCATTAGAGAAAGATGCAGGAGTTTTTTTAAATGAGGAAACCACAAAGAGAATGGCAAGAGGCAAAAGCATGGCAAGAGTTCATTATAAAGCCATAATGCATTTATAACATTTTCAGTAAGACCACATTTTCCAGGCTATTTTATAAGAGGCAGAAAGGAAGCAGAGGGGAGAAAAAAACCCAGGTAATTCCCAGAGGACTCCAGAAGAGGCAAAGCTATTAGCAGGAGGGAGAGCTAAAACGAAATGGCTCACAGGTGACTCCAAAGAAGTGGTTACAAAACCAGAGAAAGTTAACTCACCCAATTAATTTTGCTGCTGACAGAATGAAAGATCAGTGGCTCTGTGTTTTACATGAAAGCTCCACAGTAACAAAAGCACAGACCTCCAAGCTTAGATACAGGAAGACTGTTAAGAAGTTTTAACTGGAAGCTTTTGTTTTTAGAAACTGAAGTTACAGTATCATTTATAAGCAGTGAAAAGGAAAAATGTTTTCCTTGTATATATATACTTTTTCTTCAGTGAATGTATATTTCCTTCTACAGTGCCCTGTGATCTATTTCATTTTATTTGCCTGCAGTTCTCAGTGTTAGGCTTCCTAACTGTCTTTCAGCTCCCATTAATCTGGCTGTGTTTTGTAGTTATAATAAATGGGAACTCAGAGACCTTGGTGTCATTCACCTCAGATAACATGATCCTATTAAATCTAATCCAAATGAACCAGAGGAGAACCCTTTGCCCTTGATACTTATATGGACAAGAGAGAGATTTGGCGCCAGCAATACCAATGTGCTTTAGTCTAGAGAGGAAATCTTCTACTCTCCTGATGTAATTGATTTGGGATTCAGATGAGCTGTTATGGCACTCTAAACACACTGTTAAAGAGCATGGGTTTTTTAGCCATGCACTCTCAGTGTATTGAACACTGTATTTGATCCTTCTTCATTAAACTTTTCAAAACTTGCCTCAGAAGCTTGAATTTCAAGAGGTACAAACCATATAGCAAAATCTTGCCAGCAGACATTAACATATGCATTTCTTTGGTGAATGAAGCAAAATGCAAGCTGTAATATCTTTGCACAAGCAATGAGTAATAATGCAGGCTCAGAAAGGATCACTGGAGTTGAGAGTTTTTTACCATTGAAAATATTAGTATCACTTAAAGGCTTGAATAGCAAATAGAAAAGATGACTAGAGAATAAAAAAAAGACAGGAAAAGCCTCTCCTGTGGGAGTTATGTACTTTTATTCTAACATGGGAATTGATAGATCTAGGGGTCCACCTGAAATGCTATAGCCAAAGGAGGTAAATAATCCATGGAAGTTATTGTCAAATGGCAACACTTGGATGATGAAAGGCTTGGAACTACTACTTCTAACATTAAAAACAAAACCATGACATGGTGTTTACCCAAGGCTAACATTGCTATTTATTCTCATAACTTTTCATCTTACTACAAGACTTAGTCACTTCTGGTCTGCTATAAAAGGTATTGGGGGAATTGTTTATTTTGACTTTAACGAAGATCTTTCCTGGTGAACCTGAAGAGAAGGAATCTTTAAAATTGAAATTATGCCTACCATTCATGACTTGAAATACTTGAAATTTCAGGCTCTTGTTTTCCAGAAGTTTTTTCCTATGTGAGAAAATTCAGAATATTCTAAGCACAGAACAGACAATGCATGAAATACAGTTCAGTGTCCATGTAGATTTCTTCAATAAGAATTCTTCATCAGACTAATCTAAACAGGACAACTTCTTTCCTCTGGTAAAGAATATCCACTGGCTCTTCAAGATCAAAAAGCTTTTTACTAAGTGTTTATCAGCCTGATATAGATTTATCTATGTTAAAGTACAAAACCTGAAACTCTAGCTGGCTTTTACTGATTGTCCCAACAACGTGTGACAGCCTGACTCTATGGAAGCAATACAACTGAAGAAATGGGGGGGGGGGGGGGGGGAGGGGAAACAACCACCAAGAACCTTAAAACCAGAGAGACTTTTCTACTTTTTTGTTATGCATTAGGATTGTACTGGAATTAATACTTACTAATCCTTATAACTTACATTTACTCAAGTCTTTATACATTTTTCATTTCTTCTTGTCAGCATTAAAACTACTTCTGATAAAAAAAAAATCAGATGGAAGGGAATTGAAATCCAGGACTGGCTCCAGGTTGTGATGCAAAAATCTTTGCTGTTTGCTTTTTCTGAAGGGGGAAGGGAAGAAGGAAAAGGCTTTTTTTGTGATTAGGGAAAATCTGCTTCAGAGAAGTCTGGTGGGCATGAGATACGAAATGTTACTAGAGAATTGCTCGATAAAGTTTAACTGTTCTTCCTTACTCTTTGTGGAAATTTTCAGTGAGAACTAAGGCTGGTAAATCAATTGAGTATTTCCACAGTTTTGGTCACCTGAGTATTTGACAATCTACTTCAAAGGCAGGGGGCTTTACACATAGAAAGGATTCAGTTGTTGCTGTCTGAAAAGATGATTTCCAAACCCCACCACCTCTAGGCCGATGGGTTTTTCTGTCCCACATGGCAGGCAGCCATGCAGAAGAAGCTGTTTCTGCGGAGCATCTCCAGAAAGTTCTGCCATTACGTGCCAATCCTCTGCTTCCTCAGAGGCCTCAACCCCGGCATGCTTTCACTGCATCCCATTCCCTCCAAAACTAGCTCTACAGCTGAGAAACCTCTGCATGGACATAGATTTGCCTGTAACGGAATTGCCATAAAAGAAAAAGCAACACAGGATTTGGTATGAACAGCTTTCTGACACTTTTGCCACCCTGCAAAGCTGCAAAAATTTGATAAGGGATTAATGACCAAAGCCATAAGGGCTATTGGTCTGGTATCCTCTATTAATCCAGCTAGGACCTCATACCAAACACACTGAGGACACACTGCTGCACCTTGAGCAAGAAGGCAGTGGAAGGTGGGAGCAAACATTGCATTAGGTGGGAAGGAGGGTTTGTTTGGATCGTTGTCTACTCCCGCCTAGGACCAGCCTTAGAAAATGTTTCAGTTTTGCAAAAGAGGGCTGGAATCAGGGAATTGAAAAAAAAAAAAAAAAAACTATCAAAATGCTGCTTCTGAATGACAGTGGAAGAACCAGCCATGTCAAGTCTATTCGGTCCAGCCCTGTATTCAGAAGAATAAAGCAAACTTGGTCTCCCGCCCTCCACCATGGGTCACGATCAGGTACAAAGTAAAGATTCGAATGTCAAAGAAAACAGTTTTGCTGATTTAGTCCTGCAATTTGTGCTACATAACTGTAGCAGGTGCAACTGCTGTTCCTAATATAACTTGTCTTCATTTAAACAGAAAAAAAAAGCATATGGAGGAGACTTTCTGACTCTGAAGATTACAAGAAGAATTACTCTCTTTCTGAGGTTTTTATATAACCAGATTCTAATAAGCAGAGATGATGGACTGCTGCTTATTCAGGCAAATCAGCTTCTTAAAGCTACAGAAATATTTGCATAAAGCAAGCAGGATATAGCAGCCTGTAAAAAGCACATACAAGAAATACCAGGTCAAAATAACCAAACAAGAAAATGGATGGTTTTAAGAACATACTGCATTTATTTGGCCCCAGGATTCCTAGCATTGTAACAAACTCCCAGAGTTTCACTCCTTAAAGTGCTTCAAACTCCATTTATATTATTATTATTACTTTTAACATTAATGTACATTTCTGTATAAACATCAGTCCAAAGAGATTTACATTTTTATAAAATTCTTTATATTAGTGGATCAAATTTGCTCTCAAGATGACCAGCATTAAGGCAAATTTCCAAAATTAACACACTGGAGTTACTCAAGTCTATGCTGTTGTGGGTGAGAGCAAAATTTGGCCCAGTAGGGTATACACAATTATATTTTCTGCATATATTTCAAAAGGCACAACGGATTACCTTGGAAATCAGTAACACTTAAAAGGGAGTTTATCAAAGCAAATACTTGGCACAGTCCACATCCGGAGGATGCATTTGCTTACCAGCTGTTCTGAATAACCAGCATGATGACAGTGACATGGTGATCAGCAAAAGGGGAACCCATGTTGCATGAATTCACACGGTACTTCAGCAGACCCAACCTGATATGTGTACAGCTACTGTAACAGCAAAGTTACTTCGCTGGGCACCCATACAAACTCACTACACCATGAACGTCTGAAATTCTCCTGGTGGAGACATGTTTGTCATTAATGTCAATATTCCGAAGACAGCCAAAAAATGGGTCTTTAACTGGGAGCCACAGTGTGCCCAAATTTGCTACAAAAAACAAGGTAGAAAGATCAAGTTAATAAAATGAGAATGATTTTAGAGAACATTAATTATTACACAGCTTTCAAAAAAGGGGGAATGATATAGGACTACTTGCGTGAATGGGGCCTTTGTTTTGGAAAGGAAAAAAAGCTAGTAGATACATGAAAAATAAGAAGCAATAATATTACCTGGAATTTTGCCAAAGTAGAGTGGCTGATGCACACGTCTAGGAGGAGAGGGTGGAAGTCCAGTGGTATAGTTACTCTGTGTGCCCACCTCTAGCTGCACTGTGTTCTTCTTCTGAGACACTGCAAAGAAGCAGGTGAATGAGTACCCTTTCTCAACCCTATTAAAGAATCACCTAGATATGGCACTATTTTTAAATAGCATCTGTCTTGAAATTTAACTAAGAGGAAGAATAGAGTTTTTTTAAATTCAAAGTCAGATTGACACATCTAGGTAAACTGGGGCTAAATACAGTCCCAAAACCCCATCTTTATGTAAAGCCTTGAATTAACACAAGACACTTATATTGTTCTATAAAGTATTCTCAGAATAAACAGAAGTGAAATGATCAATAAAAAAAAAATCTGCAGTGCAATGCTCAGTGCCCACCACCCTTTCAAAGTTTCAGAAGAACAGGTATGTAAAATGTACCTGCAATAGTATGCCACTGTCCATCAGATAGAGGTTGCTTAGGTGTGACTGATGTCTGGAATTCTCCAGCACCACTATTTCCAGCAGCAATGACCTGTAAAAAAGTTATCTTTTAAGTTACCGAGGCAAAGAAAAGAGCAGGAGAAAAATACAGTACTTTAAGTAATTTACTGAACTTCAGATGGCTGGGTTTCACCTAGTTTTAAGTCACAGTCATTGTATACATACTTCAGAAATTACCCTCTCCAAGAAGAAAGCAAATTTCCCTAATAGAATCACAGGAGAGGATGTTTGACAAATTTTACAAGCATAAATACATAGCTTTGTCTCTCCCTCTCAATCTTACAAAATTATGTTAATTATTTTGACATAATCTCTCTGGGACAAGGTCTTTCCTACTAGGCCTTCCTTTCCTTTCCCAAAGCAGTCATCCACAGGCGTGGCATCTCCTGAGAGAATCTGCAATACATTTCTCTGGCCTTTCACACAATTTTGGACTACTCATAATTCACTCACAAAGCTTGCAGCCTAACTATTTATGATAACATTTTGAACAAGCACCTGCTTGTGCTTTCTCACATCTTGCTTCTTATTGCTTGTGAGTGCATTTTTTTTTTTTTTCAACTTCTTCCTCTCAAACTCTCTTCTGGTGCGATGGTTACAACAAACTTGGTAATGGTCAGGTAACTGATATGCTGAGTCCACTTCCTGTCAGGCTGATTGATGGTGTCCCATTGACCTTTTATTCCTTCCCGTTGCATCCTGTCCACACTGGCAGCCAGCATTAATCTAAGCTACTGCTGAAAAAAGTGGTCAATCTTGCCCTCAAGGAGTCCCCGGCTGTTGATGCCCCTGCTTCCATGTGCTAGGTGTGTCTTGAACCAGGTCAGTGATCTGGGGGAAACTAACTCATGACAAAAAGAGAAATAATAAAACCAAGTTCCCTAGTCTGGGAAGAGAAGAGCAAAGCTGAGCTTTCTGAAGTTGGGTAGACTCATGCTGGTTTAAACTATCCCATGAGACAGCAGGTTCTGTGAAGCACTGACATCTTCCTATTTGACGTCTCTCCAGCAGCAACCACAATAGTTTTGTAGTCCAAGACTCACATTCTGAAGCTGTTACATTATGAAAAAGCAACACTGATAATAACCACCACCATGAGACACCCATCAACTAGAGGAGAAGATGCTAACACAAAGCAAGACTGCTCAAGTTCTATAACAGACGTGGTTACGGAGCTGCATCAGTACAGCCACGTGATGACTGACATAGGAGTGGGAATAAGCCACGGAGTTCTGTAGCCTCTGGCCAAAACCCCAGTGGGTTTTTGCAAAGGCTCAGAAGCCTGAGAAAACTAAGACTGTGTCCTACTGCTGCACGTGCAAAGAAAGCTTGTGCAAACTAGTGTGCACACAATGGAAGCTGCTAACGTAGGCACAGAGACAGGTTAAATGCTCAATTTTCTATGTGATGTTTTTAAACAACTCTAAGGAAGTTGTTTAATGTTATACCTACAGACAAATGTTGTAACACGTAAGTCCAGAATTCAAGGTCAGAATTCCCCCTGCTGAATGAGGGCAATACAGCTGAACTGGAAACACAGCCTGTACTTACCTTTCCTCCTTCCATGTAAACAGTCAAGTAGTTGTCTTGCTTGCTTCCAGCATGGAGGAGTATACCTGTTGAACTCCTTGGTCGAATGGTAAATACAATCCTAAAATCCAAGCCCACCAGCAAATTACCTGTGGAGAATTAAAGAGTGGGTAGAGGAATGATCATAGGAGGAGATAATTGGAAAACCATGTAAAAATAAATAAAAAAATCCTTACAAATACACACTTAAGACATAATTCCATATACCTTAATCTCTACACAGCTTACCAATGGTGATATATCCTCCTTCATCAAAGAAATAAATCCCCGTGTCCATGGGAACATCCAGACATGGAAGTACGCCATTTTTTTGCTGAGGTGCATTCATGACTTTTCCATTCATCTTAAAATTCCTCAGGCAACCCTTGAAACTGTTCATTGCTATTTTCTGAAAGCATATTTCAAAACATGAATACTAAAGCATGATGGCAATTTTTTTAGTAAGAAGACCCCTTAGTTCTTTTGTACTGTTGAACTGTAAAAAGCCAACTGACATTAAAGGCACCTAAAACCCATCTCTGATGCAGTGAAAAGGTATTAAAAAATTAAAACATGAAAGTAACAGTTGATTTTGAGTTAACGTAACTCCTGCTTGCTGAATAGATACTTCCCAATGATGTGTCAAAAAGAGAACACAACAGGAGTTGTGAAATCTCAAGTACACCCTTCCCTTCCTAAGAGGCTGTTTATTTAAATCTGATTTTATGAAATGCCCTGCATCATTAATTGTCCAATTTTTAAAGTAATAGGAACCACACGTATTTCAGATTAAAATCCAGTTCTACATTCATAATTCCTTAATGAGAAGGATTCCTCTGCTTCTCTACAGATTATCGTTTAGTCCACTGAGGTAAATATTCTGCAGGAAGAGGGTATTCCTGGAATTACAAATGTGACTTTGGTCTTTTCTATTTTTTAAAGAAAGAAATGAAAACAGTACAAGGCATCAGTGTCTCAGCAACACATGTTGAAAATATGGGTCCAGCTGAGAGCTGTGTGAACAGGTGAGGAAAAAGATCTGTAATGAACAACTGCAAACACCAGTCACAGATGGTGCTCACTCAGTGCTTAGAAATAGCCCCCAAACCTTTTCAACACAGATGTCCTGCATATTAACACTTTCACATGTAATTAGTGCAGCATGGGGAATGTGTGGGGGTGGATGTGTCAATTATTTACCTGTCTTTTCAGTGATGGCAGCCCTCCCACGTAGATTGGTGGCTTAATGCTGATGGCAGAATTTGTTTCTAATCTTCTGTGCTGGGCCCTTAGACCATCAACAACAAGGCGGACATTCTTCCCATCTGTGCTGAAGACCACCTTTGCGGGTTGCAAACATAACAGAATGAAAAACCCCAAGGCCAATGAAAGGCACTGGAGATTTTTTTTCTTTAACTTAAACACTGTATTGTTGAAATATTTAAACTGAAAATAACACGCTGGGACGATCAGTCTCTATAAGCTCTCTTGTAACAGAAACCTGTCAACCACAAGAACTTTCAGGCATAGGAGTTAACTTCAGATGACCAAAATCAAATTTCTAATACCTGAAAAATTCAATAGGCTGTGCCTGCTGAATGCTAGTTGTGGTTTCACCACAGTTCCTGTGCCATACTACTTACAGTGTGCCATTGCCCATCATTGTATTTAATACTGGTTTTGATTTTGATTCGTTTTCCTTCAGAGCCAAGTGAAAAGACAAAATGTCCTTTTGAAACGAGGAGAGCCATATAAGAGTCCTCAGACCTTTCCTCCATGAAAACTATTAATCCTCTTGATGATCGAGTCCGTACATCTACAGAAAAATGTAACCTGTAGTGGAAAGTAAGCATATTCAAATACAGGTCTATTCTGTTACTTATTGTATTTTCTGTTCTCCAGAAAAATGCCAGTGAAACTCCATTTGTGAAATGCAGAATAGCTTTTGGGTGGAATCACGGTGTTCTATATTGCCTGCTTTTCTGAATGTGAATCAAAGTTGACATATTCAGGCTTAGGACTTGGCATTGATATGCACTGTAACTGTCCACCACATCCAAGTCAATCTACTCAGTTTGGGTAAATGTTAGCATAGAAAAAAAAAGCCTGAACCTTTAGAACCACTCTTCTGTTACGCCCCAAGACATAAACAAGAAGAAAATCCTAACTCTTAGCACCCAAAGATTCAAGCAGCTTTGACAATTCAGGTATTAGGAGGAGAACAGATAACATTTGTATTACCTGTCTGTAGATGACGGTGGAGAAAACATGTAGGATATGAAACTGTTGGGGATGTTTCCAAGGAGATATGCTTCACTGCTAACATTTAACTCCATTGGTAAAGTTTGGGTTTGCTGGTTTTGCACATTAGCAGCTTTCAAATAATCAAGGTATTTTTCATTCTGTACCTGTAAGACAGAATTGAAACATTTACTATGTATGCACATGAAAAAAAACCATTTCAGTCTACACATTTAAAAGTTCCCAGCTGAGGCAGTTAACAGCCTTCTCTAAATGACAGAGAAGCTGTTGTCATTCTGGACAGGTATGGGTTTAGGATGGAACTTCAACACACAACTTGCTTCAGATATGAGATGGAAGGAAATTAGTAACATCTGAATCTCAGCTCTACAAACCATGGCCGTGTAGACAAAGCCTTGGAGTAAAGAAGACAGTAAAAACAAGCATACCTTGAGCATCTTAAACCTGAAAGGATTTTTAAATTCCTTCAGCAGCATTGGTTCAAGGTTCTCATATTTGCGGCAAGCTCCAAGGGATACACCAGTCTTTGCAGTATAATTAATGAGATTTTGAACCTCAGGGAGCTGACCTGCCCTAGAGTGATGAAAGCAGTAAGTGCTGTGACACAGCATTCCTTTTCTTTAGCGTAATCAACATTGTATTGTAAAACTGTGTTCTGTACAAAACAGATTTCCCAGTGACCTGGTATTAAAACACCAATTTTTATTTTTCGATGAAAAATGTACATTCAATGCTATAAAAAGTATTCATATTTGTCCTGGTTCTGCCCTTTTTTTTGGCTACGGAAAAACTCTGATGTTTTGTTCTCATCTCTTCTAAACAAAGTATTGTTTGCTAAAAGCTATCTATTTTAAAAAAACAACCAAATATTGCCATTAAAAAAGGGGAAAAAATGACAGCAGCCTTGATTGAATAAGATTTCTGGATCGGACTACAAAACTTTGCTGGTTAATTATGCATAACCAGTGGCAGATCAAGAAAAAATGGCAACATCAAGTCCTGCTAACTCAGTGATTCACTCCTTAAATAAGATGTTGTAATGAGATTTGTCAAGGGGGAAAGCCCATCACAACTTAATATGGAGCTTTGGTATTATAGCCAAACTATCAGAAAGACTGTCAAAACCAATTTCCTGTGTGTATAAAGAGTAACATTAAGTATTACTATCATTTTGTAAGCTGTACACAGCACCTCTGAGCAGTAAATTACAAAAAACTTTACAACTAGAAAAAGCAACAAAGCTCCCTGCCACTGGTTGTCTATGAGAAGAGTGGTAGAGTTGGGAGGAGAACCTGATATGATAATTAAATCAAAATACATTATCTTTTGTAAACTCTACACATGTATAAATATTCATCAAAACTTAGCTAAAACAAAGCCCCACTGGGACATCACTTCCAGTTCAAGAAATGCTTTTCTTTAAAGAACATATTTATACATAACTTCTCTCCTAAATTTTGCCTGTAAGATGTCTCTAATGACCAAAGAAACACATGTGAAAAAAGAGACAACATAAATCAGGCACATGATTTCTGTACATATGCTCTTATTTGTTTGTGTAACCATTTTGGTTCTGTCAGTAAGCTTTGCTGATTTCATTACCCAGCTCTCTGTGTAGCTATAATGATACAATCTAGCAGACCTTTTTGGATACACTTCCAATTCACTATGCTCCCTTCATTCTTTGATTAAAAGACTACTAAACAGGTATGATTCAGACTAAAATTCCATTACATCTGAACAGCAGATTTACTTACACCTCGATACCACGTATAATCTGCCTGAATAAAAGAATATTTTGGGGCAGCAAAGTTATGTGTTCATGAAGGCTTCATGCATGTAGAAGAAAAGCAATTTAGCAAAGAATGATTTTAATATGATTAAAGAAGGAAAACAGGACAAAACAGATGAAACTAAAATCTTTCTAGGCCAAATACCTTTTTATAAAGATGTTTGAGATGCAACCTTCAAAATTATCTCCACCAAATTTTATAGGTTCGATTAATGCCTGTTCTCTTGCAGAGTCAACTGATGCTAATGCCGATTCATCATCAACCAGCAGATGAACTCTGAAACAAAGTGAATAAAAACAAGCATGAAATCTAAAGAAATAGTTATGAACCTAAATGAAATATTTATATATATATAAAAAGCATTTGACAGATGTGTTTTCTTCTTACATTGTAATCATGCTAGAGCTTCATTACCTTACTTCTGGGATTTTTTCATTATGTGCTCATTGACTGCTATGAAACTGCTCTGCTTTTCAGTAGTACATACTGAGCAAGAGTTGAAAGTACTTCAGTCCTACAGCAAAATCTTGGTCCAACTGAAATTCGTGAAAAAACTCTCATTGACAACTATGGGACAGGATTCACCCTTCTGTATCAAAATGGTGCACTTGACATGTTAGCAACAGCTAGTACAGATAATATTAAGTTATAATTACCCAAAGTTACAGCCAATCATTCAAAACTTTCCACTTTAACTACCACTTATGTAATTTTATGTGTTCCACAGAAATCAGTATGATTTAGGAGCTTTTCAGTAAATTGTCTCTTCTGATATCTACATAACAGATCATTATTGAAAAAACAAACACAATGTTAGCTTCTTCCCTGAGCATTTAACCACCGACGTTAAACAGATTTATAACTTACAGTGACATATATAAAGGCTATGGGAAGGGGAAGAGCTCCAAAGCTCCAGCTTGACAAGCAGTCAAAACTCGCACAATCTATAAAAGACGTGCATAGGGATGTACAGCTGAAATATCACAGGTACCAACACGCACATTCATGGACTAAAAATCTCCTTTTGCTTCCTTATTTCAGTATCCTTTGCTAGCAGTGGCCATTTTTAGCTGTGTACCCAAAGAACGGGTCACACACAATTTTAATCTTTTTTCTCCAACCACAACATAAAAGAATCAGATAAAGAACTGGACTCACCTGTTGTCTGTTTTTATTACTGTCACATAATGCATTGACCCATCTTCATATTTCTTTTTCAGTTCGATTTCCTTCTCTCCCACCTTTGCAATTACAAAGCCAGGTCTCAGAAAGATGGTAAGAATATTAGGCTGTAAAAGAATCCCACAAAATGATCAGGTAAATGCGAGTGCCTTTAGTTCTTCTTGATATTGCCATTAATACAGTTCTCAGGGGTCTCTCGTGGGAAAGAAATTTTCTTACACTAAAATTGCATTTCTCAGTCATCTAGTACCAGCTATTACAACCTGTTCTGCATGATTAGCATAGTTCCTGTTTTAAAATACCTCTGAAGAGCAAACAGTTATTTAAAATACTTGTTTAAATTTTACAAAAAGCAGAGGATTCAGTTCTCAACTTCTCAAATGCCTGGTGTGCATTCACTTCTTAACTCCTCCAGCCAGCAAGAATGGGGTTCTGCTTGAACCTCCCTGCTTTCTGAGGGAACATAGCCAAAACCAACCCCTTTTCTCTGCATATCATGGTAACATCTCTGTGTGAGCAGAATGCCAGTTTTTCCAGAGAAAATTTCCAGCCAACTGTATTAGGCAACAGTTATCTTACTGCGATGGTGGTATTATGGTGCATGAGCTACTCTGCAGAAACCTCAAGTTCAAAGCTTAGTTACTCATTGAACTACTTGTTGGTTGAGTGAAGAAATTGCCAGGATGAGTTTCTCTGGCCCATGACATCCAAGATGCCATGTTCAAAAGATTATTATAATGGCCATTTCTTGCCTTAAAATACAGGAATCTACATGAGACTTATGACACAAACTGATGCCAAACTGACAGAGTCAAAACCAGATATGAATGATCCAGAAATAAAACCAGTCACATATTCTAAGCTGAACATGTTTCATACCCGTAGATTGTAATTCAAGAGTGTTCCAGTTGATGCCATGGTCTGAAAGCCAAAGCCAACTTGGAAATCCTTGGGAAAAGGGAAATCTGCTGCACTCAGGCTCAGTGTTCCCTTCTTGGAGAAAGCTGCAGATCTGACGAGCTGAAAGAGAGATAATAATGCTTTCAGTGATTTTCCCTTTAATCAGAAGAAATGGCAACATGGGACAACTGCCCTATTCAACATAATTGCAACCGACTCCAATCAAAACCAAGCACAAGGCAAACTGCAAGTACAATTATTTCAGCACAGAATGGACTGACTGCATTGGTTTCACCAGCACTAACTATGATCTGAGAAACTCTAAAGAGAGATGAGGGTTGCTGAGTATGAGCTGTTTGTCTCTAGCTAATCTTTGCATTGACATGATAGCTTTGAAAGTTTTCACATTTGGGGACACAAAAGTGAGCAGCTGGAGGAATTGTTCATAAGTACGGAGCTGTGCAGATGAGCTACATAACTGAAACTGTGTGAGTCATAGGACAGAATATACCTGGGCCTTTTTGAACAAAACACGTTTTAATACGTGAGAAGTCATACAGATACAGACAGAGAATGAAGTTCAGATCCTCTGCATAGGGAAATGGTCTGCAAAGAAGTTGCTCTGTGAAAGGTTTAGATGCCACAAAGGGAAAGCAAATGAGCACACACTTTCAGTGCAATGTCACAGTAAGAAGGGCAAATGGGATCATGCACCATGTAAGTAGCAGTAAGTAGAAGCAGAAGGGTAGTTTTCATCTCTCCATGCAGCATTAGTTAAGCCAACACTGAAACGTCACATTGTCCCATTTTAAAAAGAATGTGGCAAAACTCAAGGGTGCACAGAAAATAATTATAAAACAATCAGATGAGTGGAGCAATAGCCTTACAATGAGAGACTTCAGCGGAAGTAGAGTCTGCTTAGCTCTTTCAAGAAGCAGCGTTGAGAGGTCTTTTAATTAGGAAGCATAAGTACCTTGGCGAGAGGAAAGATCCTGAGTAGTATTAAGTAACTAAGTATTCTGGCCTAATTGATAACAGCAACTGGAAGCCAACAAGCTCACATGGTAAATATGAATTCTTAATTGTACAAAGTATTAATTAAGAGGGTGGACTATGTGCTGGAGCAAGCTATCACAGTAGGGGTGGAGTTTCCTTTCTTCCATATCTTCATACCAAGCCCAGGTTCTTTTATTACCATCACATGTTAACCAGATATAATTTCTGACCTAAGTAAAACATAATGGTCTAGGATTTATAGACAAACCAGACTCTATGAACTCCAGCAGAAGTTTTTAAGGAACTTTGTTAGTTACCTTCCAGTCATCTGAACATTTCTTGCTGACACCAACAGTCTCATCAAAAATAACAGATGCAGTGTTAGGGTTTTTCACATTCCTCATGCAGCCCCGGAATGGAGGTGTGGATATATTAAAGCTGGTTTCAGGGAGTGGAAGGAAAAAGAGTTCAGTAGCCTGGTATTTCAAATCACACACACGTATAGTAGCCTGTAAATGCTGACAATATAAAAAATAGAAAACCAGAACAAGAGCAATCCTTCTTCCTTCATGCTAATCAAACCCAGTCTTCAGGATACACTCCAACAACGATACCACCATTAGCCAAAAATCACAGATTATGATCATGTATTATACACTGGTTATTTTCATACCACATAAGATACCCAATACAGAGTGTGAAAGACATTGCCTAAGGAAAGAGTTTAGATGGAGTTTCCATACAAAGCCTGTGTATTACAGTCTTTTCATAGTTACTCACCGTTCCCGTAGAGAAGGTGGAATTCCACCTAGATAGTATTTAGTGAAAATGAAGACATTTATGTTGGCTTTAATATCAGGCTTGACATGAACAGTATTCCTACTTCGGGCAAGCACCAGATGAATCTGAAATAGGTGAATAACGAGAATTACTTCACTCAGAAGAAACAAAAATCATTTAGCAGATTAAAAGTACTTTCACAGAGCAGGCCACAGTGTTGGGGTTTTTTTTCCCTCTTGCTTACTAGTGCCTTAAATCCAGAATAACTGCAGTAGTTCAAAGGTACTTTGCAAAATTTGGGCATTTAGCCAAAGCAAATGCCTAAGGAAAATGCTCTACTATCCAAATACAAGGTTTTGGTTTTTGGAAGTTTTATTTTCCTCAGGAAGATTGCCCTTAAAATACACCTCACCTAAGATTCAGATATTGCCTTCTATTTGCAGTTGAAGATTCAGGAGCTGCTGCCTGATACAAAGACTAAGTCAATCAGCTGGCTGGAGGTTACTTGACCCAGTATGGCATAAAGACTCCCTCCAGCAGACCCTGCAACCTACACTGTTTAGTTGGAGATGTAAGGGGAAAAGCAAGAATGAATCAACATGGCAATCACAGGTTTTAACAATGTCTTTACGATCTCACTCTAGTAGTGCTACAAAACAGCCAGACTGAAGCTAAGTAGAGAAGCAACAACAAAAAGACTACAAAAAAGTGATCTCTGTAAAGAGCAGCCTGGCCTGAAGAAATAAACCCTTAGGTGGTGAAAACACTAATCTAAGTATTAAAATAATGTTAATAATTGCATTGTACACAGCTCTCTCTAAATAAAGCAATGCTCTGTCAAAGAGGTTTTTTCTTTGGTGGTTTTTCTGTTAAAACTGAACTTATTTACAGGAAGGCACAACAGTAGAGAGATTAATTTTCACATGCCCAAACTAATCCCCAACAGTCTGATCCCCTCAATAAAAAAGGAAAACTTCACAACTAAACTTACAACAAGCTGTTTAGTTTCAGCTAATGTGTATTTTTACAAATAATGATCACTTAATTGTTTAAAATTACATACTTGCTTATATGTTCCATCATTTACAGTTGCATTGGTTTCTATTTCTTTTGGAGGCTCAGAGCCAACTTTGTATCTAAAAACTGTATGACCATCTTTAATGAGCACACTGATGAACTGATCCTGCAGGTAAAAAAAAAAGCCACCACAATTAAACTGCCAACATTTCATATATATTTCACTGACATGAATAATTGTAATGAAGCTATCTAGCTGTTTCAGTAAAGCTTTTGGGGGAAAAGATAACACAAAGCAGACTAAAACTTAAAATAATAACAACAAGGAGTAATAAACTGTTACAAACAGGTCTGGTATCAGCTCCAGATGTATTCTCCGAATCTCTAGAGGACTTTTTGTCATTTCAAGATGTCTACTGACTTTTTACAGCATTGAGAAATTATCCAGAACATGTCACAGTGATTGCAAACATGCCTATAGTATTATTAGATAAGTAGCATCACTGCTGTTTTGAGCAGCTTTTACAGGTATAAGTCACCACGTCACTTTCTAAATTCTTCCTTACTCTATTAGCACCCATATCTAGATTTGGGAAGAGTGCCCTTCCACTTTTGGAGGATTTCAGTATTTCAAAGTTGGTTTGATTCAAATTACAACCTCTCTGCCTGCCCTCAGTTCCAAATTCTCTGCATGGCCTAATGGAGGAGCTACTTGGAATGATTTTTTTCTCAGCCTTGACAAAGTGAGTATTAAGCAGCCATTATAGATTCATAGAATATCTCAAGTTGGAAGGACCCATAAGGATCATCGACTCCAACTCCCTGCTCCTCGTGGGACTACCTAAAACTAAACCATATGACATTAAACATACAGCAGAATCTACTAATCTGCCACATGGACAAAAATAATACTTTTAAGAAATTTCCTTACAGTTACTACTAAATCTAACATGTTCTTGAGTAAGTGAAGATTTTAAAAATATTCTTGGACCACAAAACAGACAGAAGCATTCCACGAATTACCCCATTTGCTGCAAAAAACACAATGCCTTCATCTGCAGTAGTCTCAATTGTCTGCTCGTAGCGTACTTGGCTGTGGATATTTGGTTCTTTCAGTGTGACACTGGCATAACCAGTACCTTCAAAATAGCTTTGGTCAGTCTCTTCTTTATACCTGTAATAATTCAGTGTCACAGATGTGAATATATGAGAGCAAAAACTATTACCACATAACTTACTGTCATAATTTTAAAAAAGCTTAAGTTAAAGCATTAGGTACAGGGCCACTAATAGGGCCAAATTCTGATCTAACCCAAGAGAAAACCTTCCACTGGCTTCTATTGGATTTGCATACCGTCTTTACAGAGGAAATCATTAGTGACTGACTTTTTTGCACTTAGTGTAATATTTACTTTATAAAGGAGGTGAATACATTAGTCCATGAATTGTGTCTGGGTATTATAACATCTAAATTGTTGGCCAGTGGGCTGAGATTGCCATAGATGTGAATCCTGCCAACACTGAGGATTTTCTCTAAGAAATGTAGTAATGACCAAGAGTTAGAAAAAAATCGCCAGTTTAGCCACAGTGTTATTCTTCTGGATCTGAAAAGACATGAATTCATAATGATAAAAATCACAGAACTGTGAAACACTTCTGTGTTTATATCATACCTTCTGCAGGGTTGCACTTCAGTGGTATTGAGATTAAACGTCCTCTTGAAGTTGTAAAGGCTGATAATATGCTCGTTTAGGTTGTCTAATTCAATGCAGCCTTCATAATGAGGATAGTCTAGCTTATGTGGAGGCTGCAAAATAGTGTCATCAAAAACATTCCATCAACATCAGCTGACAAAATTGTACCTTGACATGTAACTGCTAAGACTTACTGCAAATATTAATAGGGCACAGAATATGACATTCTAAATGTAATAATATTATTATATCTTTGTATATAATATCCAAACCATCTGATACCACCCCAGGAGTACTGCAGCACAATTTAAAGTAGAGTCATATGGATGGATTGGGAATAGTACTTAGCAGGGCTGGAGAGTTTTCATGCTGTCCTTGGCAGATGAAATACAATCACACTCCCTTCTTTGAGTTTTAGCATACTATAAGCCAGGCAGCTTCTGTAGGAAGTAGCATCTTGCATCCTGTCTATTCCTACTGACATGGATAAACTTTTACACAGCCTTTGAAAGACTGCTAGTTCCAATCTTTACTTGTAAGAACAACAGAATGATTAAGATGGAAATCTCTTTTAAAGACTAAGCAACTATTTGTACCCTAAAATCTGGTGGGTATCCTCCAACATAAAAGACCACAGTGCTGGGATCAAGATTTAGGAGAGTGTCACTGCCTCCACTGCTTGCAGTCAAAGGGCTTGCATACTCTGGAGAAGTTGATGTTGCTGCTTTGATGTAATTCAGCTTTACATACTGGTAAATCCTAAAACCAAAACAGATGGGCAAAATATCACATCACACTAGTAAAAGATGTTCTTAACAGGTTTTGGAAAAGACTGTTGTGCACTGTGGATCTTATACCTTTCAAACTTAACTTGATCCATAACAGCTTCCTCAGTTTCGCTTTGAGTCACAAACGGCTGCACATCTATTTCTACATCACCATCTCCCAGGTTATAGACACAAGTGAGGTGACCATCCTTCACAGCCATACCAATATAGTCCTTGGAAGCCTAAGAATAGCAAAGCAAATAATCATTAATAAATGATTAATGTTAATGAAGACAAAATACAGTAGCACTTCCTCAGAGACATCATCACACTGTGCGTGAGTCATAAGAGATCCAACCACCTAATGATAAGAATTGTTATTAAGTTTATCAGTTCTGGGAAGAAAAAATTGTTATCTTGCATGCTGCACTGATTCAATGAATAATGTGTCGCATTGATTCAGTGAATATAGTCATAAATTAATTGAAGAGACACACATGGCTTTTTATTTTTATTACAACAGTAGCTAAAATAATTTTCACATTTGTAACATCTCCCAGCTAAAGCCATGAAAACATGGCACCTTTACTAAAAATTACTCAGCATCTGCAAAATAAAAAAGATGTTTGGATAACACTCAAAGACAATGGTTCCTGCTGAGGTGACTGGAAGCAGTCATTTTGCCAAATAATTCACATTTTATTTCTCCAACATACCATATTTCACAAGTAACAATTAAAATGCTGTCAACAGAAATCCTGGCCAGATATTCAGGGGATAAAAAGGTGAAATCCAGTGTAGAACAACTACCTTCAAACAGCTTTCTGTGTATGCACAAGACTCACTACAGATACAGCTGCTATCAGATAACAAGACTTAAAAATACATAGTTAGGAACCACATGCAGGAAATTTTTTAAATGTTTGATAGTGCTTGAGCAAGCCTGAATGCACAAGCAGGTCCGTAATATTCTGCATATTCAGAAGAGAAAGAAATTAACAGCTGAGGGACTGAATTTTAGAACTTAAAAAAAAAAGACCTTAAAACCCCCATTTTTTTCTTAACCAACAGGGAAACTCACAGTGGCTTATACTGTGAAAAGAGTCAAAGCTCTGACACAGTAGTAGGGCTGAGTTTGTGCTGACTGCTGCAGAACCTGATACTTCTGACAAGACTGTATGATGGTATCCATGACTGAGAAGTAACTTCCAGAGGAACAAAACAGCAAAGCATCAAAAGGCAAATCAGTCAGTCACCCAACAAGTTACTTTGCCGGTTGAGGAATAACTATTCTTCACAAAACACTTCTGCCACCACATAATGGCAAGTATAAAGAAATGGGCCAACAGTAGCTATAAACTTCAGTCAAAATAAATAATTTCCCATTTGTTTCTCAAAGCATGTTGTCTGTTCTAAAAAAACAGATTAAATCTCAAAATATACCTACATCTTTATTGCCCAGGTACAGTACAAACTTATTTGATGCCCTCTGGGAGGTGTCTAATCTTGTCTGAGGTCTTTGGAGAAAGAAAGAAAGTGAAGTATAGCCTTTCAGATCTTCAAGGTTGCTTGGAGGTCGAACCTCTACACCAGAGCTGCCATTGAACCTCATAGGAATAGCAACCTGTTAAGAAAAAACAAAAGTCAGTACATTGTAATTATGTATTGCTACTATTCCTACTTATTTCACTGTTGTGTTTAATTGCAAAGTAACCTATTATATATCCTAGTCATGTTACAACGATCAGTTACTACAGATTTTGACTCTGATGCTACAAAACAATATAATTAGGAAACACACTGAATAATACAGTATTCTGTATTATCAATACTTAACACAGCACTTTTTTACTCCAGACATCAATTAATCAACCCTTACTGCGCCTCTGACAAGTAATTGTTACCTTCACGAAACAGACAGGGAAGGACATGCCCTGCAGCTCTAAAGAGCAAGCCTATGAATTATTTAGATGTCTACATACATATCCTGGTGCTTCACTTAGCTGGACTTGACTGTCTGCTGGAAATTATAATGCACCTCTGATATTAATAAAGACACGTCCCATTACAGCTATTTACACCACGGTTACAGATTCCTCTTATTCATTCTAACTGTAGGTTACTTGTGATAACCTCAGTTACGCTTCTCTGGGACCTGAGACGATGCTATCCCTTGAGCAACTACAGCAGTTGCTTAAATAGAGTAGGGGCAGTCTAATAAGAAGATGCTAGTAGCTGACTCTAACGTCATGGGGCAGCTGGAGACATGAGAGCACAGGGCTACACAACTCATATGGGAGTGCCAGTGTTCCACTGGCCATGCGTGGGTGGAGAGCCCTGCCTCTAAGCTGCAGAGTCAACTCTACCCCTCCTGCCAAAGCCAACACAATGTACCTTGGAAGGCGAGAGGCTATTGTACAAGTATTACAGAGATGACCTGGGAAAAAACCTTATGGGAGGAGGATGCAGCAGGATGCTACTGCATCCACTCAGTTTTATGTACAAATTATTATGCTTTCCATCATCACAGTTAGTTTAAGTGCTGGGTGGTGCTGTTGAATTAAATTTATGTCTGATCTTTCACACACATTTTAACAAAATGATTTAGAAAGAGAAAGAGGAACAAAAGTACTGCTGTGTCCAAGCCACCGAGGTCAAACATGATTGCAATGTTCAGGAGGACAGACCTTATTTGCAGCATCTCTTGCCTGTTGAATCAGCTCTCTTATGCGATTTACGTTCTCAGAGATGTTGCTTATTGGCATCAGCTGTTGGTTGATACTCTCGATCTTGCTGAACAGATCTGGAAGTTTGTTTGTCAATTTTTTTACTGCAATGAAAGAAAAAAATCATTGATGATAGAAAGGAGGAGGAAAACAGATGCAAAAATATGATACGACTACATGATTATCAGAAAAGCAGTGAGCAGGGTGATGACAGAACTGTTTTCATTAGTCCTACAATATTAGGAAGCCCTCACTGAAACTAGCAGTTTATACAGAGGTTACTGTACTCCTGGAATTTGTGGCCAAAGGTATTTGCGGAAGGAGACAGAATCAGCAGTTCCAAAAACATATTAGATAAATTCAGGTCCAGAAAGAAATATTAAATAGAACAGACAGGGATGTGCTCTCTAACATTATTATCCAGTGACTGTGGATGCTAGGGGAGGATGAGGATAATGGACAGCAGACAGGGGTCAGGCTTATGTGCACTCCTGGAGTAGCATCTCCTGCTGCCACTATTGGAGAGTAAATACTGGGGTAGGCAGACTGCTGGCCTGACGGAGCAGGGCATGTCTTATATTCTTGTGTCAGGATTGCTAGTCATCACAATTCAGTAGTGAGCCTTACAGTATATGGGCAGGTTGTTTCAGGAGAAAAGGAGATACTATAAGAACTTCAACTTCCATTAAAACAGGAAACAATTTTTCATCTGCTGTGACTGAAAAAAATAAAAAGCCTGAAAGTATTAGCAGACTGCAACCCTATGATGCAGAAGGCAAATAAAAAGAAATCCAGACCTAGTATTTTTCTAAATATGACTTCTAAGCCAGTCTTGTAACTGCAGGGATGACTTACGGCTCTGCAATAACATGCAGGACTAGCTCCTGTATTTATCTTATTTAAAATGCTTTATCTCACTTGACTTTATCAGACAAAGTTGCTGAAGAGATGAAAAAAAGATGCTGTTTGGGATTGTGATTGTCCCTTATTTTGTATTCAACACAGGCTCTATGCAATCTATTTCACTTAATTTCAGCTAACAGGCATCTAGCCTAAGCTAACTGTCTAGGTCCCTTCTTTAGCCAGTGTAGCAGAAAATCACAGAATCACAGAGTGCCTGAGGTTGGAAGGGACCTCTGGAGGTCATCTTGTCCAAATCCAGTGCTCAAGCAGAGCCACCTCAAGCCAGCTGCCCAGAATTGTGTCTAGACAGCTTTTGAGTATCTCCAAGGATGGTGACTCCACAATGTCTCTGGGAAACCTGTGCCAGTGCTCGGTCACCCTCACAGTAAAAAAGTGTTTCCTGATGTTCAGAAGGAACCTCCTGTGTTTCAGCCTTTGCTGCAAGGGTACATTGCTGGCTCATGTTCAACTTGGTGCCCACCAGGACCTCCAGGTCCTTTTCTGCAAAGCTGCTTTCCAGCTTGGTCACCCAGCCAGCATATACTGGTGCATGGGGTTGTTTTTCCTCCGGTGCAGGACTTCTCCTTGTTGAACTTCATGAGGTTCCTGTCAGCCCATTTCTGCAGCCTGTTGAGGTCCCTCTGGAGGGCAGCATCCAGAGGTGTGTCAGCCACTCCTCCCAGTTTTGTGTCATGGGCATACTTGCTGAGGGTACACTCTGCCCCATCATCCAGATCATTAATTAAGATGTTAAACAGGACTGGACCCAGTACTGAACCCTGGGGTAACCTGCTAGTCACTGGCCTCCAAGTCTTTAGAGACCAGTCATGGTATCAGCTTTTAACATATACCACAGGATGGCCTGAATCACCTTCTGCAGTACCTGTCCCTTTCCACTGGCAATAAAGGAAGCTCAGAATACTAGCTTAGGCTAGGTGCCTAGCTTTTGGATGACTAAAATTTCTGCCACAAAACTGACCATGTTCACCTGACAGTGACTTGGCAGGTCTCAGATAGCACCTGCAATACCTGAATTGTTTGCCTCCATCAATGCTTTACTGAAGCCAGCACTCTGTGTGCTTCCATAGGTGCTCTTCATTTTCTCCACATCTGCTTGAATTGGGAGCAGTTCATCCAATACGTTATTTGTGACATCCTTGGCACTTTTTACCATGTTCTTTGCACTGGTGATGATGCTGTTGATGTCATCTGAAAAATACACAAATGCATGTGCAGATTCTTATAGTAATAAATGAAAGAGGCAAAGCAGAAGTGATCAGTAAGTAACTGACCTCTGTTTATCCCATTGAGATTATTTTGAAGAGTGACAAGATCAATTTGCAGTGTATTCTTCTTTCCATCAGCGACACTGAGTCTTTGCTTTATGTCTTCAAGGGTTGGACCAATAGCTGCAAAACAGTGAATGTCCTGTATGAATTTTAAACAGAAATACCACCTCTCTGTCAGACAGGTGGTGTTGCAGCACCAGCCTGCACTCCTACACAGCTCGTGTCACCACTGAGCATTGAACACGCTGCAAAACAAATACAAGGCAAAGGATTTGCTGGACAGGAGTACTGCAAAAGTGTATAGCATAGCAGAGGTAGGAAATACACTTTCTCGCCTTTTTGCCATTGGAAATAACCATCACAAGATGTCCCACTGTAATGGAACTAGCCTCTTCTGGTTAAATATGTGCTGCGGAGCTTTGATGAACTGTGAAAATTCTTGGTTCAATGAAAGCTTGTCATGCTGTGCCAACATTTCTACTATCACTTTCTTTCTCGGTACCTTGCAATGTCCTTTCAGTCTCCTGTGCTTGATTCAAAAGTGTACTGCTCTCGGTTTTTAACTTTGCAGCTTTTCCTGATAGGTCTTCTCTCTTCACAGTCTGGTAATAGAAGCACAGTACTGTAAGACTGCTTTAATAATTATACTAAAATTTAAAGAGTAAAAGAGATAGCCCAATCCAGTTTAAAAAACAACTGTACAAGGACAGAGATTTCATGTGAAGAACACCACCTTAAATAACAATTATCAAGATTAATTTAATCATAATACAACCCTGGTCTTTAGCAAACTTCTGACAGATTTTGGGGCATTCAGAAGAAATTACTAGCACACAGCTGTTAGATACTACTCCTCTGCTGAAGAGCTTGTGGATATCACTAATGCAAAGTAAAAGAGAATACCTAAAATCACCATCAGTGATTACTGAGCTTGCCTTATGCAGATCTCTTTATTTTCCACTGAAAAGAACAGTTAGCATTCATATGGACAGCTTCATCAGAAAGGCAGTAAGTAGCTTGTTAGTGCTGAACCAAGGGTAATTCATGAACATGCAGAATAGCAGCTCATATAATGCCCACAGACAAATACGGAATGCCAAGACACACAGGTCTTTTTTTGGTGCCTCTCTGATAGTTAAAAAAAAAATAAAATCTAATTGTAACAAGTATACCATCATTTGGCCACTTACAGGTACTTACCGATAAAGCTGAGTCAGCTGCATTCCCAGCTTTGTTGGCCGCTTCCTCTGCCGCTTTGATGGCATTAATAATATTGTCATAGGCAGTAGAAGCTTCCACAGCACAGCCTACCAACTCGTCCTTCCTGGCACTGTTCTTTATTCTGTGGGAAACAGGGTGAAAAATGCAGCCTTCTGCAAAGACTGTGGACTTTGAGAAGTATTCTGAACAGACCTGAACTCAGTATTTTCTAAGTAATGCCAATATGGAAAATGTTTTTAAGTTAGATCTGTAATTTCATTCTGCAAAAATATCAAACTTGGAGGGAGACCAATATGAAAAGATTCTTCAGAAGATGGGATAAATTCAGGCGTGTGGAAAAGCACAACTGTGGGCCTCCAAAGCAGTCTTTAAATGATTAAGATAGGGAGAATTCACCAAGGCACAAGGTCAATAAGCCACCTCGATCACAGCCCCCCAAATACACTTCAGTTCAGAGGATTTCAGAAAACTGTAGCTTCCAGATCATCTCTGGCTGCTCCAGTATCCTACAGGAGTGGCAGATGGAGCACAAGATGGAGCAACAACAAGACCTCTTATATTTTCCCCAAGAACCAGCACAGCAGCTCTGGAATCAGAAACAACAAACAAAATCTCTTCTACCCATTCCCCATGAGGTATGCAACCGCCCAGTATTAGCTGCCTTGTATTTGTGAGAACATTGTCTTCTTAACTGAAAAAAATCACACTGAAAACTAACAAAAAATTAATGAAAATGTATTTTTTAACCAAGAATTTTCCAGCTGAGTTAGGTATTTTGGAATTTAACTTTTTGAGAGTTTCTAGTTGGTGTAATGACAAAATGCAAACAATTTGCACAGGGAAGAAAAAAAAAAAATCAGGATTTCACTTTTTAAATTTTGTTCTGGTGTACCATAGAAGGCCTCCAAAACCTCACTCATAATTCCAAGGTAAAGTACAAGTAATGGAGAGAGAAACACTTGCTTCATATAAAGTTTATCATATTTTTGCCCTTCTAGAAGATTCCTTGAAGGATGAGAAAACTATAGGAAGTATTTTCCTCACTAATGCTAAAGAGGTGTGTCTGAAGACTGCCAAGATGGCATTTCTTCCAATTATTTGCCCCAATTCATTGACATCATAAAAGTATCCCTGAGTACGAGTACAGGAAATAACACTACAATAAATATATTCTAAACATCTTCCCACGCTGTACATGAGGATTTTCTCTTGTTAGTAAGAAGCTAATGAAGTGTTAGTGCAGTAATATAAAACTGTATTATGGGAGTCCCCACTTCTGGGGTGTGGGGGGGAAATCAGGAAAAATACAGGAAGACCTGGTTTGTGGGGAAAAAAGAAAAGAAAACATCTGTATATCATGAAGAAGCAGAAAAAGTCAATCCTTATTTCTTTCTAACTTTGCAAATCATCATTAAAGCAAATGAAGTTACAGACAAAGCATTGCAACCATGGATGTTAAGTACAAAAATTGCTCATTTACAGGAATGGCAACATACTCTTCCAGTTGTTTTGCCAAGTCTTGCAAAGATTTGGCATGTTCCTCAGCCCTCACCACCAATGGTTCTTTGCTTGCTGATAAGGAGTGATTTGTCAGCTTTTCATTCATATCCTTCCTTGCTCCATCCAGCTGAGCAGCCAGGCTTTCATATTCCTACAGGTTTATAAAAATAAAATTTTATTTGCATTCATACACGTTTGATTTTGTCTTCATCTCCTTCAGTGTTACATATACCTTGCACCTGAGGAGACCAAGGGGAAAAACATTCCCTTCCAACTTACTCTGCAGGTTACTGGAAACAGCTGGTAGTCATTACATTATGCTTCCAGACCCATTATGTAAAAACTGAGTCAGACCAAAGACCCTTCTAGCCCAGCACCCTGTCTCTGATGCTGGCTAAAACCAATTGCTCAGAAAGAAATACAAAAATAGCACAATCACTTATGGAATTTCTTAGAGATATTCTCCCAAATTCAGGTATCTGCAGCTTAGTGTCTTCCTCAGACACATCACAACCCTCAACGAGCTCCTGTTAACAGAAACCTGTGCAGGCAGGTTCCTCTTGCACCCAGGATGGGCTGTGAGATCCTTCCCTCTTTGTGAGGCTCAGATAAGCCTCATGTCTTAGCCACTGAGCTATGCTACCCCTTACAGTGACAGGAAGATATTGGGGTTTTTAGCCTTAACTTAAGAAGGTTAACTATACCTCTTTGCTCTTTTGCAATAATCCAAGTACACTGTTAGCTTGCATCAGGGAAGATCGGGCAGAGCTCAGAATATCCAAGATACCCTTCTGTTGTACATTTGTCTCCTCAATCCGTTTCTGAGGAAAAATCAAAGGTTGAATAACACATGATTGGGTGAAAAATGAGAGGCAGGGAAAACTATATCTACCTAACCCAGTTTGCAGTAGGATTTACCAAAGGTACTATCGCTATGTTAATCAGACGCCTATACTGTTTAGGGACTAATGCTATCCTACTGATTAAAAGAGCAAGAAAACTCAGGAGTCTGCAGTAGTATAGCATACAGCTGGGCAGCAGGCTACAGTAGTTCAGTTATTAGCATTCAAAGTAAAAGCAGCACAGGTCAGCTGAGATAAACTGTCAGGGCAGACCATTTAAGTGTCTGATCTCTCAAACCCGGAAATTTCAAACGTGGAAACTTTAAAAACAGCTCCCTGGTGGCTACCCTGATCTTTTCTGTTCTCTCAAAGGCAGAAATAAAATGATTACACTATCCCTTCATCTGGGGATCTTACCAGAAAGGGGGTGTGAAACCTCCCCACCTTATCCTCTTGCAAGCTCTGAGGGGAATGAAGCTTCTTGGTCTACAGCAGCCCTGTGACAATCCACAGTGCAGCTCTAGGGTAATGGCACACCACGAACACAGCCAGACAAGTGGTGTTGCAGGTAAGGATGAGTTAGCTCTCTTCAGTTGGGTTTCTATCATTGTAACATGACAAATCTCACTCTACCAGAGAAGTGTACGATTCATAAATCATAAACTTGTACAGATGCATCCATCTTTTAACACAACTGTGCATAGTTATGTGGCACAGATATTATACAGTACATGCACATAAAAGTATAACTAAATATTGAAAGGGACAGTTCAATGTATAAATTCTTTTGTTCAAGCAGTGTTAGCAAAATGCATGGACATGAGTATGCTAAAACAGTGATATATTTCAGCAAAACCACAATTAGTTTAAAAGAATAGGTCCTGCAGCACACCCTTATTTCGTGTACTATTTCACTAGCTCTAAAAATCCAGCACTGCTCAGGAACAACAGCTGTTTGTTGTCACCTTTCTGAGGAGACCTCAGAAGCAGTTCTATAGAATATTAATCCCAAATAATTTAACAGTATTGCACACATTATTGCTCCCATCTTTCATGGCTGTAAAAGCCAAATACTTTAAGGAACTTATTACAAAAATTACCCCAGCATCAAGAAATTGATCTAGAATAGGAAACAAAAAGGTTAGTGCAGCTGAAGAGAAGGGCTAGGAAGAGACTCTCCTTCCCCACTCTCATCAGAGCTATGTCTTGGTCACGCAAAGAGGCCACAAGTGGGAGTAGACTACGTTTATACCTGTCCATACATATATCAAAAGATGGAAAGAGACCTTGGAGAAAGTCTGAAGAATTAGTGCTATTTGGCTTTGCAAGATCAAAAGCAGCAATTAAAAGCACTTCTTATCTCCTGAGGTTTAACTTTCTTCTCCTGAACCCCGACATTACCTTAATGTCTTCCAACAGAACTCCATTATCTCTGTTTAAGTTTTCAGCCTGCTTGATTTGTCCCGTTGCTTCATTCAGAGCTTCACGAAGGTCAGTGATTTTGGATTCATATTCATTCAATGAGTCCCTCACAATTTTAATAAGCCCATGATTTTCTCGGTGGTACTTTTGTAGTTCATTCTTAATACGTGCCAGTACTGTAGTATCAGGACCAGAAAAAAAATTTTGTTCAGAGAAGAAGGGAACCAGAACAAACTTCTTTCTAAAGGGCTTGACATTTAGGATTAGAAAGCTTTGGCTGTGTGAAATACTGAGCATCCTTTGCAGCCCTAACTTCAGTGTTACTATAGCAGAGATGCTATTCAGCATCTCACTGGATCAAATCTGCTCACAAGTTTGCTGCTGCAGACACAGAGCACAGATAAACATTTATTTGGCTATTTCTAATTTAAGTAAGGATGAAGATGACCTACAAATACTGAATTGTTTTCTTTTTTTATATGGAACTAACACAATTTCATCAACAATTTCATCTACAAGGTAGACATCTACATCTGTGCTAGTCATCAAAGCTTTCTCTGTAATCAATAGAGAGATACAGGCACATTTATAAATGAGGTCAAATGAATCGCACTCTTAAGAGCGCCCATTTCACTGCCCGCAAGACAGGACACAGAAGAGTTACTCAGATGTAGGTATCAAAGTCCAAAGTTAGGGGAAATTACTATCACTCGTAAGGCCTTTCACATTCCTCAATTATGCCCCAGGTTAGGAGATAAGCCTGTGACTTTGCTGTTCTTGCTGTCTTTTAGTGGATGAGGGAAAGGCTGTGTATGTTATCTACCTTGACTTCAGCAAGGCCTTTGACACTGTCTCTCATGGCATACTCCTTGAGCAGCTGGCATCTCACAGCTTGGACAAGTGTACTCTTCACTGGGTGAAAAACTGGCTGGAGGGCTGAGCCCAGAGGGTTGTGGTGAATGGGGTTAAATCTAGTTGGCGGCGGGTCCGCAGTGGTGTTCCCCAGGGCTCAGTGTTGGGCCCCGTTCTGTTTAATATCTTTATCAATGATTTGGATGAGGGGATCGAATGCACCCTCAGCAAGTTTGCAGATGACACCAAGTTGGGAGGCAGGGTCAATCTGCTTGAGGGTAGGAAGGCTCTACAGAGAGATCTGGACAGGTTGGATCTATGGGCCGAGGCCAATCGTATGAAATTCAACAAGGCCAAGTGCCGGGTCCTGCACTTGGGTCACAGCAACCCCATGCAGCGCTACAGGGTTGGGGAAGAGTGGCTGGAAAGCTGCCCGGCAGAAAAGGACCTGGGGGTGCTGGCTGGAAGCCGGCTGAATATGAGCCAGCAGTATGCTCAGGTGGCCAAGAAGGCCAACGGCATCCTGGCCTGCATTAGAAATAGCGTGGCCAGCACGAGCAGGGAGGTTATTGTTCCCCTGTACTGGGCACTGGTGAGGCTGCACCTCGAGTACTGTGTTCAGTTTTGGGCCCCTCGCTACAGGAAAGACATTGAGGTGCTGGAGCATGTCCAGAGAAGGGCAACCAAGTTGGTGAGGGGCCTGGAGCACAAGTCTTATGAGGAGCAGCTGAGGGAGCTGGGGCAAGTTTAGTCTGGAGAAGAAGAGGCTGAGGGGAGACCTTACTGCTCTCTTACAACTACCTGAAGGGGGGTTGTAGTGAGGTGGGTGCTGGTCTCTTCTGTCAGGTGGCTGGTGATAGGATGAGAGGAAATGGCCTCAAGTTGTGGCAAGGGAGATTTAGGTTGGATATTAGGAAAAATTTCTTTACTGAGAGGGTTGTCAGACATTGGAATAGGCTGCCCAGGGAAGTGATTGAGTCACCATCCCTGGAGGTGTTCAAAAATCGAGTGGACAGGGTACTTCAGGACATGGTTTAGTGGGCATGGTTAACGGTTGGACTTGATGATCTTGAAGGTCTTTTCCAACCTAAATGATTCTATGATGTCCAGAATCAGGTTTCTGAATATCCCAGTCAAACACAGGCAGAGAACATAAAAGGGAGTACAACTAGTGCAACTAGAACTTCTGAACTTCCTTATCCTTGTATGATCTGGCCCTTGGACTATGCTAGCAGCTTCTGAAAATCTGTTGTTAAATTACATCTGTAATTCCTCTAAAATAGCTGCATGTACCATAGCCTATATATTATAATACACAGAAGCGCTGCATAAGTATGTGAGGATCGGCTACATCTTTATTTCACTGAGTTTGATCTAGTTATGAAAGAAGGATCTACTGGGTTTCTTCCCCAGCTCAACTCACTTTCTTCCATAACAAATAAAAATGCCTTTAAATCCCCTCCAGAACTACCACTTTCCTGTTGACCAAGGACTGCCACAGACCCCAGGGATACGTTGCAAAATGCCCCTCCCTGCACTCCATCCCAAACAATCAATAATGCTTCAGATTTAAGATTGATCTTTCTAGAGGGTAAGAAGCTGAGAGAACAAGCCCTTACGCAGCTGAGCTTCTGTTCTCTCCTTCTCCGCCTCTGCCTGAAGCTGGCCAAAGTTGCGGTTTCGCATCTCCGTCATCATGCGTTGAGCTTCGGCCAGTTCTTTGGCAGCATCTCCCAAGGGCAAGTTGTTACTTTCTTCATTTGTACCAGCTATTTGTTCCAAGAGCACTGAAAGAAAGTATTGTCAAAGTCAAAGAGAGGATGCACTTAAGCCTATGCAAAAGACACAAATGACAGGGCCAGGCTCTTTTCTGAAAAAGACATGCCTATTCCCAAATTCTTTAATGAAGCAGACCCATTCTGCATTAATTGTATAAGCTGAAAAGTATCCCTTGTCACATGACCAGGGCTAGTAAGGTGGCATTGGGCTTGAAATTTGTCCCAAATGACCAGGTTCACAGCAATAATTTTAAGCTTCTAACTTTAAAGAGCCTAGGATAGCAACCCAGACTAAAGTCAGACTAAAGTCAGGATAGTCAATTTGTTGCTCTAAATGTCCCTGTGGTAAAGCTTCTCTGTCCCTATTCACTACATAGGGAAGGTAGGCTCCTAAACTAACATAATATACTAGATTTCTAACAGGAAGAGTGAATTCCACAGCTATGTCTAAGTTCTAATTGATTAAGTTGTTTTCTAAGAAAACCTCTCATGCTTAATTAAGAATACTGTAAATAAACTGAAAAGATTCCATAAACCAAAACACCTTATGGAGTTAGAGACTAATTTTACCTTGTATATTGTTGACAACTATTTGTATTCGTGAAACCAAATCCTTTCCTTTCTGATGAGTTTGGCCAAAATTATTAAATAATATCTCAGCTGCTTTGTAGTTCATTTCAGCCTAGCAAGGGAAAAAACTGATTAGATTAAAAATACCTGGATACAGCATGCTAATATGTAGTCAAGAGATGTGTATTTTTAAATTGATTTGGTAAGTCACCTTTTCCTGGAGAGCATTTATATCATGATTTAGGTTAATGAATTCTGTCTCCAACTCATCTACCTTTGAACCCTGATTACGAACAACAGAACGGTAATTGTTCAATAAGACCTGAAAAGAAAGAAAAAAAGTACTCCAATAAATCACCCATACACAGGAGATAAAAAGCAAAAATTCACTGGGTTAGATCTTTACCCAAGGTAAATAAGAGCAGCATTACTGACATGAAGGCTGACCAATTGCTGCCCAAAACCTGGGCTTTTATATCTGTGAGTATAGCAACTGCTAGTCCAACCAAAGAAAATTTTTTAGGATAAATTTTTGTACTGGCAACTGGAATATTGGGGTTTTTCAGTAAGGCAGAGACGTGAAGTGCTGGAAAAAGACAGAGCTATAGGGAAACCTCAGAGATATAGCTTTCAAGGTGAGCAGGCCTCAGAAAAAGCAGAGATACTGACTCTCTTTCTGAGCACGACATGGAAACAATAGCTGCCTTCTAACAAATGAAGCCCATTGCTGTCAGCATCTGGTATTTGAAATCAAAAGCTGATGTATGTTTCCTTGCAAGCTGACAAAAACATGGAATAAGTTCCTAGGTTCAGCTCTTACACACTTAATCTGCAATCCCCTTTTCTGTTTATGTGTGCCTACCTTTAAGTCCTTGATGCGTGCTTCCAGACGTCTCATCTGCTCCAGTGTGTGGGTACTTGCATGGACGTTTTGCAGCTGAGACTTAATCAGCTGAAGCTCGTCACCTGTTGTGCTCAAATCCTTCAGCAGTGTAATTACACAGCTATCACAAGCTGGAGGGAGCATGAGCAAAGGAAAACAATACATATTATTGATATTTGGTGCAGACAACATTTCACTGAGTCCTTTAATAAATGAGATGCAATGGAAACACTTTGATGCTTGTCACCTGGTGCCGCCTGAAGAACAAAGGCAACAACAAAACCCACAGCATTAAGAAGAGTAACCAAAGCCAGAAAAAAGGAGGAGGCTGCATTTACATCTGGCTAGCTGACCACCTCTTTTATCATTTTTCCAAGTGTTTGGTTGAACGTTTGCTTCTAAAACATTCATTACAGGACACCTGCAGTCCTTTTTAAACTCTGCCACCCTTAAAAGAGTCATTAGTATGTATCCAAAGCCAGCAGAAGGCAATCTCAGTGCAGTTCTATTTGTTACTTACGGTCACAATCTTCATTGGGATCCACATCTTTTGGTTCATTATTGAAACATTCTGAAATCACAAGACGTCATCAGTAACCAAAGGTTTCTTATGGACATACTACTATTGCATTTTTGCCATCACTTTTCATGACTGGCAGCCATTACAACATGGTGCTGCCCTTTCATAAATCCATACACTGTGAACAAGCTGAAATGCCCAAAAGGCTTGAGCATGCCAAAACATTCAGCTCCCACTTATGCCTTGCTGAGATCAACACCTTTTTCATCCCTCAAAGGAAACTGACTGTAACTCACCCCAATATATGCTGCTTGGGTAGCAGCAGGAGGCTCTCTCACATCAAGTGTGCTGAATGTATTGCTAGAATTTGCCTAGAATAACACCACCAGGATTGGAGCCAAGACTATATTGTTAAAGCATTTTACCCAGGACATAGGTTCAAACCCTTTATCTACCTTAGCATCCATGTTCAAAGCACAGATTCTGATTCCACAAAGGATGTCTTACCCACAAGGAATTGAGAAATGTTTATGGCCTTCCTTCATACCTGTCACAGCTTGCAAGATTAAGGGATTAATCAAGCTTGAGAGAAATCCACAGTGTGTGCATGGAAGGAGGTGCTGTATGTAACCCAAGGCATGGAGCTTTGACCACAGATACAGGTGATATATAACAACCATTGCCCTCAGACTTTCCAACAAGCTAGCACAAGTGACTGCCTGTCCAGTGTGCTGTTTTGTTTTGTTTGTTTGTTTTACAAACCCCATTATAAGAAGCTTAACATTCTCCAGGTGCACATGGGATTGTAACATCCTGGGATCCTAACTTCTAGGAGGCAGGAGAGAAACTGGCTCCTAAAAATGCCATCATATCGGACAGGAATCTCCCCATCTTGATGCCCAAGTCCCTTTTACAGGCTTGGTCCCACTGCCAAACTCTCATCTCTTGAAAATGAAAAGGGCTGTGCATGTCTTTTACTCTGAAGGAAAAGGATGCACTCAGGGTATAGACTGCTGCTGTCAAGAGTCAACAACAGCTTGCAACTGTGAGAAGTTACAGTGATAAAATTGGACCTGAACTTTAACAGCAGCACGGAACAGCCTGGAACAAACATTTCCTTTGGCACTTGCACATTAAGTCATCAGGAAGTTAAATGGTATCGGTAGTGAGTGCTGCTGCCAAAAGGAGACAAGTCACAAAGCATATATTTGTAAGAGAACGAAGGAAATTATTCTGAAATTCAAATACCCGTGCAGTTCTGCTGTTGTGTAATTCAGCTAACACCAGGCACATTTCAGCTGTCGCTGTGAAGTACCAATTAAACAAAACTATTATTACAGCTTGTGCACAAACAACATCAGCCAAGAAATGATGAAATGAAAAAGTCTGGCCAAGTGCCAAACATCATGCACAAGAAACCTGCTAGAACATGCTGTGCTGATGATCACACAGAGTTTTATTCCTAATGTGGAGAAAGAGATGGCTGATCAGAATATATAGTTGGAGACAAACTGAAAACAAACTGGCTTGTTGAATTTTGCCCTACGGATTAGTCTGTCCTAGCAAACTCTTGCTTCAAAAAGAAAGGAATGACAAAACATCCACGGCTTGGATCTGTTCCACACAAGGTATAAATATAATAAAGATGTATTACTTCAATGATGAAATATGAAATGAGAACTAGCTATTGAAAAATTGCACCAGCTGCCAACAGCAGTTCACATCACTTGCTGGTTTTCTAATTTCTGTGACCAAGGAAAGATAAGGTGATCCTTGGCAGTCATTTGAATGCAGTATGAAGAGTAGTGCAGAGAAATGAAGAGCATGGAAATATTAGGAGTTATTAGTTTGACACTTCACTAATGTCTGAGAAGGAAAAGCTACCTACAGGGAAAGAAAAGTGTAATTTTATTGGGGAATGAAAATATGGGAGAATCAAGGTCCTTTTCAGGAGCAGTAGTCTATGTGTTTCTGTATAGAAATGAGTATCCCAAAGGATTGAAGTAAAGGCAGTCTGAGGAATGGAGGCTTGGGGCCTTTACTTCAGAATTGTAATAGATAAAGCAAATATATGCCAGTGGCATAATATTCTTACAAGAGCTTACTAGTAGTGCAGTACATGTATGACTGATACTGGGAAAATCATGGATGTCTTAGATGGCATAATGGTATACAGCAGGATTTATAAAACAGCCTCCCGAGTCAGGTCCTAACTTCCACTGTAAACACAGTTACCTTGGATACCTAAGATGGCACTGCCTGACACAGACTCTGAAGATGTCACTGATCTGTCCCAAATACATTTTAAAAGGGCATCTTGAGACTGCTTGGTTTCATAAGCTCATAACACAGGCTGGCAAGATATGACTTAACAATGTCAGAGGAGGAACCATAATGCATTTTAAAACATACCCGTGAAACAGAAAACCAAAATAAAATTGGTAGTATTTATGAAGGGAAATACATGACAAAATGGTTTACAAGGGTGAACTTGATTACTCAGGACAGCCCCTGTATTACCATGGTGTTATGTGTTAGGAAACCTTACTTGTTGTTAAAAGTGATCTGCATTTCCTATCAGTCTACATCTTTCCTTCAGTTCAACTGATCTAAGTACCTTCCATCTCTGCTTCCCAGAGAGAACAATGCTCCCTTCCATATTCATAGGCCCTCACGTACCTCCAGTCAGACGGTCACAGCTAGCCAGCTGTCCATTATTATTACAGTTACATTTCTGACAGTAGCCTCCATATTTCTGTGGATTTCCAAAATATCCTGGAGCACAGCTAGATAGAGAGATACAAATAATTTTTATTAAATATTTGAAGCTACTTTTGTGAAATACACTTTCCCTTGACAAAAAACCTCAGTTATTCTCCTGAAGAAACTTTCAAGAACTTTTGATTTCATGTCTTGACTTAGATAAAAAGGGCATATTTTTGGTTTACAGTATCCTCTGCACTATGCTAAAAATATCTTTCCAAGTACTGCAGAATTTTTTTCTAAAAATACAAGAATTCCCACAATGCTTGTATAGGAATAATTCACTTAATCTGAAAAAATGCAATGCACACAGATATAGATACATAGAGAATTTGACAAGGCTTAACTCAGCAAACCACACCATTCTGATCCGTGATCCCACCAGAAAACACATATTAAGGACGATCATGCTGCAAGCACATGTTGAGATTTCAAACAGCAATGGCACTGAATGACATTATCACCCTTCTGCTGGGTGATACCTCCTCTTGCTATCTGCCAGCAAAGCAGCCTGTGTGAATGATCTCTAAATATTTTATAGGTAAAATATATTGTCCAGACTGGCTAGCTAATATGCCTAGAAGTCACTCTGTTGTAGGATCTATAGGAATGGTAATGTGTGATCAAAGGGCCATGATGAGCAGCTGAGGTACAGCTAGATCTGGAAGAGAAAATCTGTCTATAAACTGCAGCTTAGATGTCAAAGGTAACAGTCTCGAAGCACAAGACAATGTGCTACTGTCTTCAGGTGAGACATGACTTATTGGCCAGACAACACCACTCCATTATGCTTAAATTCTCCCTGGATCTGAAACTCAGTGAAATTGCTTCCTCTGCCTGCCTGAAACTGCCATGCTGTTCTTGTGCTTTGCCAAACTGCTGCAATCTTCCAGCAAAAGAGATGGCTTCAGCATTGTGTTTCTATGCTCCTCCTGTGGAGCACATCAGAATGATTTGCGATGAAGGGCATGGGGTTAAATGCCTCATCGTTGCTGTTGGGTAACTAAGAACACTGAAGCACCAAGTACATTGGAGGAAATAGAAGAATGTTTTCAACTGGAAAAAGGAAAAAGTGGGAGTCATTTTTACCAGAAAGAATGCAGGATAAGGCAAGGCATACGTATGCATACTATGCATATGCATACATTCATGTATTACCCAGTAGAGACATAACTCCTTTTATGGTGCCTCTCAAAAACCTCGGTCTTGAGAAACAAGTCACTTACCGTTCACAGCGAACTCCGGTATAGCCTTCTTTGCAGAGACACTGAATTTCTTCACCATTTGCCACACAGCCAGTTGCAAATCTTTGAGTAGAAGCAAAAATATTATTGTGAGCACATCATCAAATGGGTTTTACACTCCAGAGGCTAAGGTCAGTTAAACAACTTTCAGATTAAAAAGTTTTTATACCACCAAATTACTTCTCAGTTAATTTAATTGCCTCTACATAAATTGCTGTGACTAATTCTTTGAAGTTTCATATTTTTCCTCTAAATTCTTTCCTTAGACTAAAAAACCAATCATTTCCTGACCCTCTGAACTGAGTATAATAATTCATTACCCAAAGGAATGCCTAAAATAAACCTTAATAGTGATGTTCTAACATAAAACAAGTCTGGGTAGCTATTTTATCTTACTAGGCAAGAATCAATAGCCTGTGCTAGACAACATTTCCTCCTGTTTGGATAGCTTTTTTTTTTTTTTTTCTTTTTTATGGATGGAAACATTAGAAGATTCTTTTATGTTGCTAATATTGTTTGGGGTTTTTTTCAACCAAGGCAGAATAGAGTTGTGCACCATTCTGGGAAGCCCTAGAGTATATCTGGTTAACACAATGAATACTTTTGTCTGCTCTTCCCAGCATACTCATCTAGATTCAAACTTCTATGGGATGAAAACCATTTTTTGGCCAATGTTTGGGAAGGAGAAGGCAGGAAGTGAAGCAGGGATAGGCCATGTTTGCTATTTCCACTTTTTAATCTATGAACCATTGGATAAAGCAAGTCTGTGTATCAAAGATAGATGTCTGTACTAAGAATTACATATAATTTGACTAGGTGGAAAGTTGTCAACTCCAATAATGCCAGGTGGGGTGCATTTCCTATGTCAGGAATGGTATTTACCACCCTAATGTGCAGCTATGAAACTGCAAAGGTTTATGGTCTCCCTAGGTATTCCAGCCCTCTTAAAGCAAAAGATGACTAAAAATATGTTCAGTCAGCCTCAGGCAAGCACCTGCAGAAGAGGCCAATGCTGTCAAAACCAGATCTATCAAAGAGTTCCCCGATAAATGAAAAACCTGTCTGTTGTCTGCTAGTGTAAATCTCTTACTTAAGGCTACTTGGTGTTTGCTATTGCACCTGGCAAATACTATGTGGTGCCTTTAGCAATTCATAGCTTGTTTTTTTTATTTTTTTTTTTTTTATTTAACACATTTCACATTTGAGAACTGACCAATGATGACAAACAATGTGGCTAAACATACCATCCATTTCAAATGCAATTTATTGCCCAATTTTAAAAGCCTGGCAACCTTATTAGAACCAAGGAAATTTAATTTTTTCTAGCTCAGTCTGTTTGTACTTCAGACAGAGTTTCCACCTGAAGAACAACCATACTCTTTCAGAAATCTAGATATGTGCTTAAGAGCTTTAATATTTTTATATTATTTTTGCATCTTACTGAATTTTCTGAATTCATATAAAATGCTTGTTTCATTGCTGTCACTTATCTCCTAGCCAGAGTAATGGTGTTAAACGTTGAGACTAAGGATAACTTACATCTTGCATTTCAGTAAACAATAAAGATTCTGGATATGCCCAATAAGGGAAAAGACCTCCATCCTGTATTTCTCACTACAAAGGAGTTACTGGTGGTATTCTACATAAGCCCATTACAACTGCCTGGGGCTCTCCCAGGCGATAAGCAGCATGCCTTTGTGGTTCAGGAACTCACTGAGAACTGGAATACTCAGCTTATTAAAAAAGGCAATGCCGTGAGACAGAGCACCAATTTACTGCTGGTCTAACATACGTCAAATGGGTCTGAGCCCCACCATGTTGGGTTATATGAGAATACATAAAAAGATCATTATCCTCCTATGGTAGCAGGGTTTTGGGTTGGATTTTTTTCTTTTTTTTTCTTTTTCCCCTCCCCTTTCCCCTCTGCTTGACTACTCATGACCTTCTACTGTACCTGTTTGTATAAGGGCAAGGACACACCCGACAGGAACCTTGAGTGGCATCTCCAAAATAACCATCTTTACAGCGCTCACATTTCTCCCCAGCAGTATTATACTGACAGTTCTTCAAAAGGAAACAAGCAAGACAATTAACAGTGCTTTACCACTCAATATGGCTTTACTATTATTATTATTGAAAAAAAATTATAGCCAATCTGCTCAGAGGATATGTTCTTTCCCTTCCACACAATCAAGCATTTACTGCCAAACGGCCTTCATGACCAAGATAGATTGATTCCAGTCATTCTCTAATTGTAGAAAGCACAATTTGCTCACTATTGTGGAAAAGCAACAGATAAATAAGCAGCATTAAACATATTTTAAAAGAAATTCAATCAGATGCATAGTTTGTTAATGAACATTCCATTAATGCACTCCCTAGGTCTTGATATTTCAATTAAAAATCATTATGTTTAAAGGGAAGTTTAAATTTTGCATTTCAACACTAATTAGAAGGCAGATATCACTTAAAAGCATGCAAGTAATTTAGCCCAAGTACATTCTTTAAAAAAATCCACAAAATTAATATAAAAAGTATTTCTCTTAGTAGATTCAGATCGGAATTGAATCTCATGTACTTTCTCCACTGTATATGTAATTTATATTTATCTCGGGTAACAGGAATAAATAATGAAAAGCAAAGGCTGGGAAAACAATTAAAACTGCTACAACTGAGCCACTTTTTCCATTATAAAATTGTTGGGAATTATATCTTATTTTAGAAACATTCTTTCAGGTGCTAATTGTCACACACATTTGGTTGGACTCGATGATCTTAAAGGTCTTTTCCAACCTAAATGATTCTAATGATTCTACATTTGTAATTAAGAGGAGAGGATGAGCAAGTTGCTTTTGCATTACCTAAAGCAGTGATAATTTAAAATAGAAGTTGTTCAAATACATTTTTGAGCAGCCATAAAAATTCCATGCAACTGACACTCAAGAAGCGTTAAAGCTCCCAAGTTCTAAAACTGTTTTCTTCAATGTGGAACAGACTGATCCAGTGTCCCACAGAACTGAGGGTACACTAATAAAGTGAAAGATGGAAAAAGAAAGTGGGAAGTTGGCTGGAAGCAGTCACTGAGCAGACTGCACTCCCATTTCATGGACTTTGACGGCTTAGGGCTATGGTTGAAGGCCCTGCTACCATGTTTTGCAGCAGAAGGGCATTTTTCCCTACAAGTGAGTAACAGTTTTGTCTCTCCCATCTCCTCTTACACTCCATTCTCCTCCACATTTCTCTGCACTCAGATTCCCTCAACCACATCAACAGCCCTTCCCTCAGACCTCCGCACGTAGTAATGCCTAATTTGTTTTCATTTTGGTTAGGAACTAAATTTGTGGCTCACTTGTGAAACATTCTGGGAAAGAACAGGAAAAGCTCTGGTTCATATATGGGCCATTTAACTAGGGGAAGCTAAAGTAATATGAAGGCATTATGTTTGTAGAAGGAACCATTTTAAAACGCAGCCACTACAAAACCTGGTGCATATATTCCTGCAAAAAGCTCATGGAAAATTCAGACTGTTTCTGAATAATTATTGCAAATTTTGATAATCCTGAAGAATAAATTAAACTTCAAAAAAAGTAAAAGAGAGGTATTTAAAAATATTTGTGTTGGTTTCATCTTGGAGCACCCCCCCCCAGTTTATCTCCTGGCCTTTGTTTTCCTCACTCTGTCTACAGAAACCGAAGCAATTCCATAACTGACGAAGAAAATTTAAGATTATTTCACATATAAGCCACTCCGAATGTGCTGTGCTGTTCCTCTTGCTACATGGCGTAGAAGACTGGAGAGAACATAATTCAGTGCTCCCAAGGCATGGTGGAATAAAGCTAGAGCAGCAACTCCCTCACAGGTCTTCCTTCAAGTTTCACAGGGCCAGAGACACCCCTGAAGTCACAGCATCTCCGAACCGCCGTGCATTGCAAACTCTGAAAGGAAAACTTTCCGCTGACTCCATATGCGCCCAGGTAGTACAAGGAAGCCAGAGTACAGTGTGTCAGGGCCACAACAGAAACACCTCTGTACATGGGGTTACGTGACATGAAACAACGTGTCATGGGATGAGCAAGTCTCAGCACCGGGCTGCTGCTGAGGGAACGTGCCTTTCAGGAGCAAAGGCAGGGACCACGAGGACACAAAGCCTGATGTACAGCAGAGGGTCGGCTTTTTCCTGCACATGAGAACCAGTTCTTCCGTCTTCTCCACCTCCTCCTGCGCTCTGTTCTCCTCCACTTTCAGCAGTGCAGCACTGCACCCCTCTCCTCCCAGCAGCACGTGGTGGGACAGGTATCGCCTGAGCTGGGGAGGATTGCACTGCTGCCACAGAGGAAAGGGTCAGCCTGAGCTTCACCTCACAGAGCCTCCTCTGGGGGCTGTCACTGGAGAGACGCTGACATGCGAAGGTACTGGGGTCCAGCGCTCCAGGCGAGGAGCAGGAAGGAGGAGGCAAGGGAGCAAGCTTTGCACTTTGCATATGAAACTTGACAACTCCGCACTGGGAAGCCTCCTTGTCTTCTCTGCACCACTACAGGTCTTTGTCCCACGGCTCCTCTACAGAGAAACAAACTTGCTCCTTATTAGGTGGAGGCTCATAATGGAAACACAGGCCCTCCGGGCTTTCATTTTTCACCGCATTATCCTGGATGACTTTGCTCGCCCTAAATTTTGTCCCAGGGCCAAGTGTTGATTTAGCTCTATCTAGCTGAAAGTTAATCCAGCTGTGAGAAGGAGGGGATAAAGAGAAACCTAAATCACATACTTCACGAGGTAAAAGTGAAATTTGCAGGTTTTTTCCCTTTATAATTTTCATCTGAAGTAAAACCTCCTCATCTTTATCGCTCTGCTGCAGCACTTTCCTGTCATGGCCTGTCCTGCCTCTCCAAAGCAGCAGCCTGTAAGTCATCCCCCAGAATGTGCTGAATTGGTTTATAGCTTCCATTAAAGCAAGAGGGTTGGTTGAGACGAAGTCAGGGGGAATGACATAACGTGCAGGAATGCACCGCAGGCAGAATGGATGCAGCATGAACAAGGAAGAAATAACAGAGAAGACAGACCATGAAAGGCGTTGGCAAGGTTTTTGTTTACACAGTAAGTGAAAAATTAGTGAAAAGTTTTTAAGTGGGAATTTTTCAGAACAAACTGTTCAAAGAAGCGTCACGGATATAAGCTGGAGAAGCACAGTCGGCCAAATGTCACACTTCCATTGCTAGGAGGGCTGATCCACTCCCATGAGGCTGCTTTGGGTTTAATACGGTGTGCCAGGGAGCAAAATCTGCCCCACTATATCTTCTGTAATGGCTGAAATTTTCTAATTAATCTAATTTTTATCCCCTTTATCTCGTCTTATTTATTCCAGTATTTTTTAATCCACCTAGCTGTAGATTAAGATTAGTGAAGATTTACCAATGCTGATTAAACAAGAGATTCTGCAAAGGCTATGCTATGCAAGAATGTGCCATTTGCCAGCATTGGCAAACCCTAGTATATATGTATAAAACTAAGGACTGCATATGCCAGGATAAGACCCATATTTATTACAAAGAACTGCAAACACTTACATATATACTCATTTGGTGACTTTTTGTACCATGAGCTAACAAAAATAGGGGAAGGAAGAGAACAAAAACGAGGACACAAATTATTCTAATCACCCACAGTTACTTTAAACATACATGTAAGTGTATGCAACTTACGCTCATTAACAGTACAAGGTATAGAGAATGAGGCATGCAAGGATTATTTTTGGTTGCTTGGAATTTAACAATACTGTATAGTCTATACTGCAGTAAGGTAAATGTTTTTTTCCCGTTTTTTTCCAATTCATTCCTTGAATATTAGTAGTTACTTACAATACATTTTCCAGTACCATCTTGACACCTATTTGAATTTCCATTGCAGTTGCAGGGGACACAGCGTCCCGTAAGTAATCCTTTAGTCTCACGATAAAATCCAAGGCCACATTCCTAGAGAGTAAGCAGAGAGAAAGAAAAAATAGTGAGTGTTGGCAGAAAGAAAGTTGTACAGGTTATGGGAAGCGTATTTTGAAATTGTTTGCCATTTCCAAGGAGCAGTGGAGGTGTATATTTTGTTGCAAGCTCTCCTAAGCCCATATTGTTGTTTAAATTACAAGTATTTTAACACAGTGAATAGCAATGAATGGAGCTGAAGAAGTTTCATCTGAACAAGTGCTCTACACTTTGTGGTAGTGGGGATTCCATCATTTTGACTCTAACCTCTGAGCAAAACACACTTCCTGTGGCTATGTACAAAGGTGTAGAATATGACTTTTAAACCACAGAAAAAGATTTGAATATAGATTCACACTACAGTGTTCTCATAGAAGAACATACAGAAATTTCACATATTAGCTAGTGGTTATATGAAATCTTGATACTAATTTAACTATGGTGTATTCCTTGGAAATACTTCTAATGAGATATCTTTTACATTAATTCATCATGACTTCCACAATAAGTCTATCTAGAGCTATACAAAGCCATGCTTAGACAGAGCTAGGTGATATACCAAAACACACAGCGGTCAAATTTCTAAGTACAGGCTTGCCCCAGAAGCCTGGGAAACATGAGAAGAATGTTCAGCTATTGAGGGCACAGGAGCAGGAGCACAGACTGTCAGATCAAAGTTGAGTTTAAATAGGGAGCTGAACCAGAGGAACATTATGAATGAAGCAAGAGACACGGAGTTAGTTAGCCTAAACCAGGAAGGTAGTAACTAGTAAGTTAGAATCAGGTTCTTGCTTGGCATGGGCAGGGAAAGCACAAGGGTAGGGAAAGTACAAGGAATTTCTCCTGGGCATGGAGCCTTCCCGTATACAGATAATTCAAAAATTCATGCCCACCTTCACTGCTTAGCATCCTCCTGGCACACCAACCACACCAAAAATGACTGGACATAAGTCTATCCCTTCTATTCCCTAGCTCCTTTCCCCTAGTAACTAAGCTGGTGTGGTGCAAGGAAGATCAGAGGCTGTATGGAAGCGGGGAGAAAGCTGTGCTCCCCATGAAGCCAACACCTCCCAGGTTCCTGCCTCCAGCAACATACTTCTGCACTGTACCTACACCTCGCCTCTACCTCACGGTTAGGGGCTGGCCCCAGCAACATTCAGAAAACAAGTGATAGTTGAACTTGAAAGCCATAAATCTTTTCTCATAGCAATTGCACCACCAAGACTGATGGGACTAATCTGAAGAGCAAAGGGTTTGTGGGATGGTGTCTCAAATCATGTTCCAGTGGTTTGAGGTATAAGTATTTATGCAGGGCAGGATTAACCAGTGAATTTATCAACCATGTAACTACCAGAAAAAAAAAAAAAAAAAATTCACCTTTCCCAAAGCAGATCCCAAAAGGAGTACTGAGTTATTGGTTTTTAAACAACAGTTGCTAGTGGAGCCTTTGCCTTCTTTACATGTGGGATAAATTAAAAAAAAAAAAAAGTATGCAGAATAATAATATCATCAACACGTTTTAATACTGATTTCAGTGTGAGCAAGAACTGAATTTAGAATAGGCACTTGAAATTTTTCAGATACATTATTAAAAGGGTGAGTGTGTTCCCTGAACAACAGGGAACCAATATACACAGCTTCTGAAGAAACCAGGGCCTGAAATACATTAAACAGAATGACTAAGTAAAATATAGGCTCTAATGCATATAAATTTTATTTACGGAAAGTTGCTTTTTGGAGAGCAAAATGAATTACTCATTTTAAAAAAATATCCAAAAGCACTTGGAAAAAATCTATGCAGCTTTTTGTTTTTCTATTTATGCTGTCTTTAAAACAACACATTTGGAGTACGTGGGCACTTTTTTTTCGAAGCAGCATTCATGATACTGAGAAATTTATTCCACACGAAGATAAAGCTCTACGCACTTTCAAGTGCTTAGGAGTTCAGGCTGACCGTTTTCAAGTAAACTACAATTTAAAAGCAACTTCTCGCACATGCTTTTGTTAGCAAAGTACTTTGAGATATAAGAAGATTAGCCTTATTACTTATATATTAAGTAACGTATAAGTTGTTATCAAATTAGTTCATCTGAAAACAAAGAGAAAGAACGAAGCAAGCGAGGAAGGGAAAATGAACAAATTACCTGTCTCAGGTAAAAATGCCTTTGAACTTGTTGCTGCTGACTCCCCTCCTGAAGGTGAGGATACGATAGCCTCTGTTGCATATCTTGTGCTAAACAATGCCCCAGGGCTACTAACGTGACAACCAGCCATCCTACATTCCTCGGCCTCTGCGCTTGGGCCATCGTTTTACTTTAGCTCCACTGCAAACATAGGCTGCTATCCTTTCGGTGCTCACCCGTTCTCTTATACTCTCCCTTCTTCTCCAGCTTCTGACTCAGATTAATGAGGCTCTGTGCCGTGATGGGCCCCACCTTTAAACTTTATACATGAGTCAAGTTGTACAGCACACATTACCGTTCCTGAGGTTAACAAGTAACCCCACAGTTCCTGTAGCTCAATATATACCTAAGTCAGGGTGTGGCAGGCATCACCTCCTCCCCAACTAAGGCAGCCAGACAGAGCTAGGTGATTAGAGCAGTAAATCACTGCCTGAGTAATGCTGCATAAACACACAGGGCTTATGAACTACCCAGGTGAGTGTCTTGATCACTTCCTTTGGCTATGTATTTCCAGGAGGTTATATAAAAAACCACAGCAGCTTAGTTTATCACGGCAGTAAGCAATGGGGTGGCAGTAAGAATTTCAGTCAGTGCTCATCAATTTGTGTGTGGCCCAGAACATCAAATGTGTGGAAAAATAAGTTTCTAGAAAAATTTCCAAAATGGTATTCGACAGATGATGAACAACTGCCCTGAGCAGTGGATGCACACGAGACATAAGCCAGCCATAAATGTTTTGTTCAGTCTCTCTGCAGCTGCTCCAGTCTAGATATTATTCTTACATTCTCATTTCAGAAACATTTGCAAGGTTAATACAGCAATTGCTGCTTTATGGTAACCCTCAATTATTTTCTGAGAGAAAATTCCTCATATTTTGTGCACTCTGTACACCGCTTCTCTCTCCAGTACTTCATTCTACTGCCTTGGGTGATTACACATGGGAACAATCAAGCTCTAAGCTAAGCAAAGTGACAACCAAAAGAACTGCAGCTACAGGAACAGCATCAGAGACAGGATATACAACTGCGGCTAGGATTTCACCATTCTTCAGGTAACAGTATTACTTTGCAATGTTTACATTATCTTTCATAAAAATATCTCCAAATATTTTTGCAAATATGTTAATTTCAGCTTTCAAACATTTTCCTATAAAACCAGGAAAGTATCCAGAATTATCTAGGTTCAGGTTAATTCCCTTGGATCCTACTAAAATAAGGAACACCAGGAATCTTCTCCATTGTGTAGGGTCTCACAGACTTTGATCAAGTAAATTCTGACCTTCCCTCCATTAAAGTAAGTATCGACCAAGGTTATTCAGCCTCTCACAGGGCATCACAGAAGAATCCCTCATTATAGTGCCTTACACATGTAAAATGATGTTCACATCTCCACAAAAGCAATCACAAGTTGAATAACCCTGCAGTGCTTCTTAGACAGTGAAAGTATTTGACCCATTGAAAGTGCACATGTGTACAAGAAGCACGTTTAATTACTTTAATAACTAGCCTGTTCCTCTAACTAAACCAGTACATATAGCTGTAGGCAAGACAGAACATAATGGTACAGCATGGAGGCAAACGCTTCCTACCTGACATGAGTCACCAGCATACTCCGGAGGGCAGGAGCATGTCTCTACACTGTATGCAATGCTGCCGCTTCCTGCGCTGGTGGCTTCTTCCAGCCCAACCTCACCAAGGGTTAATCGCTGAGTCTCCGTGAAGTAAAGGCCTCTGATGTATAAGCCATCTAGTCTAGACAGGATTATCATCAGTTCTTCTCTGGATACAAGGTTATTGCTGCTGGCATGCCTGAAGTTTCCCTGCACATTAAGGGTACAAAATGAGCACAGCCGCGCAGCTTCTTAAAAAGAGTATCTGCAAAGAAGACAGGATGACAGAAAAAGGGAGAAAAACCTCCATGGAACAGACCTCTATCGTGCCAACTGGTGTGGGTGAAATAGAGGTCTGGAAAATAAATATAATGAATGTAGACAGAGGATAGGTGGGAAAAGGAATAATGAGCACAAAAAGGGAAGTACCCTGTACTTTGCAAGGTACATATGGCTTTGAGGTATCAAAAAGTGAAGAAGCATACAGGTTCTTCTTCAGTCATCCAAATTTCTTTGAGGGATCACCCACCGAACCATAAAAGGGTGGGGGAAAATGCTTTTATTTTTAAGAGTAAGCAAAGTCCTACAAATCTAATCTTTGAGGGCTGCCTTCACGTGCTGTCTTGCTACTAATAGACACAGCATTACTGAAAATGGAATCTGGCATGAAGAAACATTATCTTTGTTGCCTATACATGAGACGCAAATAACCCAGTTTGACCTTCTGATCACAGATTTAAGGTAGGAATAATACCTGCTAACTTCACCTGCCTTAATGTTGGACACCGGTTCTAAACTAGGTACCTAGACACCAAGGAAAACAGATAACAGTTCATTCCATCCCTATTAAGTACAGTCTGGGGCTGTGATGAATCATCTTCCATTGATGACTAGTTCAGTATTACTCCACTGGCCCCAGAGGGAGTGCTAAGGGCTAGATTGGACAAGATGCCTAACTTAAGGGTGCTAAAATTAGGTAACATGAACCTAGGTTCAGTGTGGCAGTAGAGAGAAAAAAATGTTTATATTTAAAGGTCTACAGTATTTAAGTTTATATTTATTAACATTATCAAGTATTTGGCATTTCTGCACATACTACCTGCATATTTTTACATACCACTGGGAAGAAAAGGGAAGGCCACTCCATTATCATTTCTTACCTCAACTAGCTGTACACGGCCATAATATTGACGGTCTGGCAGTGGGTTGTTGGGATCCATATAAACAACTTTCATTTGCTGGCCCTATGTGAGAATGAGGATATAACATTGCCATTTCAGTACTTTTTATGGTAAAGCGTTCAGATGCAATAAAATTTGAAGCACGTTAATTCTGTTCTTTGGGGGATAAAAACTTAAGTAATACTAGGAAAACCATATGTCGTTTTGTCAGCAAAGTGGTATAGCAAGCACTGTGCTCTAGTGTCAGCAAGGTTTTCAGTGCTTTTGCCTATTAACAACCTTGCTTTCAAATAAACCACCAAGAGAATTAAATTAATGCTGACCAGTTCTCACAGGAACTAGTTATTACTTTTGAGTAAAAACGTTTTTGCATTTTCAAACACTCTTCTTTGCTGCCCCACCTTCATGTTAGAAAAGGTGCTGCCTCCCGATATCATCATTAGAGCTTGCCTTCAAAATTTGTGGCTGGCATGAGAAGGGGAATAAGACTAACTGAGGAACACTCTTTGACCTGACATCCTGGTGCACAAACAACTTTGGATACTACTGTAGCACTTCATGAGGCATATTTCCCAATGAGAATCCTATAATACTAAATTAATATTTCTGATGGTCTGAAGAAAAAAAGACCACCCTCTTGGGAGTTTCAACAAACTGTAAAAGACTCAAATTTTGGCCCAAAAGTGGTTAAATTAAAAAACTGTTAACCTAAAATGAATTTTTACTCCTGTCCCTTGAAGCCTTATAATTATGCTTAATTGTATGCTGAAGAAAATTCTCACAGAAAATGAGATAAATTACACAATGAACACAGGACATATTTTGCAGAGTCAAGGCCATACTTGTTGACAAGTGTACAAGGCATTAATTAATTTTTTTTCCACAGGTGTATTTTACAGAGAAAATTCTGTTTTATCTTTTTATTTGCTCTCAAGTCAGTTATGCTTAATAATATGTTACTTTGGCAACAGAGATAGCTGTATTGATGGCTTTGAGCAAAATGCACTAAAATCACTTTCATAGAAATGCAGCAAGTTGCTGTAAAAGTTAAGCACACTATAGGAACAAAATTTGCCATTGCTGTCAGGTAACAGAAAAAAAATCACGGTTTTGTTATTGCTTGAAAGAAAAAAAAGATATTTCAAAACTTACTGTTAGTTGTATATCAGGTCTCTTATCCAGAAGAACCATGCCCTCACTAGGTAAGCCAAAAGATTTCACTTGGTAACTAAGGAAGCCACCATATGAAGAAAGCTATAATAAAATGCACAAGACCAGAGATACTTTACTGCACCATTGCTTGATATTAATATAACTTTGTATTCAAGTTTACCCTGTCTTCCAGCACTGTAAATAGTATATTTACTCTTCGTTCGTTAGACCAAATATGAAAATATGTGTTGCATGGAAGAAATTACTTTTTATTTTGTTTACTTTGTGTATCTGACAACACTTTTTGAGCAGTACCCGTTACTGTTCTCTGCGTACCTGCATCGGGTTTGGGGTTTTTTTTCATACCTGGGATCACAGCATCTGTGTCATGGAAAAATTACATATTCACATAAATTTTGTTCTTCCCCAGACTCTGCAGAACAGATTTGGCTCATCAAGAGCAGGCGTCAGACTGACAATGACACTGGTAATGAACCCCATGAACAGCCATGGATAAAAAGGAAAAGTCAGACTAAGCATGTTTAAAGGTGGCTTTCATAGGCCAGCATTTTCTAAACTTATTACAAACACGAATCTTATTAGGAAATCTTTGCCCCACCTTCGGGAGGACAGGACTTCTACTGATAGCTGCTATCAGCTCTGTTGTAAACAGACCGTTGCTGTAGGTTGAGCTGCAACCACACTTGGCTCAACTACAGGTAACCACAGGCAGCCTCAGACCCAACAAATCACATACGCTGCTGTCCAGAAGAAAGACTTAGGCCAGTATGTTTGAATCATCTGACAAACAGCTTCCCTGAGTTGTGTACGAGTGACTCAGTTCAAAACAAACTGGGAGGAAAGGAAGCTCCAAGTGCAGCCTAGACAGTTTTTGTTCGAAGAAGAGCCTAGAAGGAAGTTTTGTGGGTACTAGGGGAAATCAGGTGTTTTGCCACAGATATACAGTTTTGTTTTGCACCCCTTGCTGTTTGCCTTTATAGCTTATGCTTGGTTTTGACATGGGAAGAAGAACTGCTTTGTCAGGTTTTGGTGTTCTGCAGGTAAGCACCAGCCTTCAATCTACTCCTTTCCATATATCTTGATGAATTACAAACAAAAAGCAGACATCTCAGTACTAAATTTGTTACTTTGATCACAGGGCCGTAATTAATGCTGTTATCTTTAGCCAACTGCATTTTCAAAAGCATCATTTGGAACATCGGCTATATTTTGCCAACACAACCAAAACAGCCCTGTGTGAATATTTTTTTTTTCAAATATATGGGAAAATACTGGTGTTATAAACTACCCTCTGTATTCTATATGTACAGTATTTATTTTCTAACATTGAGTGGTCTGTTAAATAGAATGTTAAAATACAAAAGAGCAGAAAATGGGAACAAAGTGATGTGAATTTCTCAATGTTAGCTTCTGTGCTGCTATAGATTTTACATTTGATTGCCTTTTAACTTTGTAAACAAAAGATAGAGAGAGGAACGAAAATATACTCTGCTAAATATTAATGTTCCAGTGGAACTAGTTAAAAAGTTTAAGATAATGGAAAACATTATTTATACCCTCATCATACTGAAAAATGCCTGGAGTGATCTTGTCCACATTTTCCAAAAGAGGTGGTATCACTGGAAGTAGATCAAAACCTGATATTTTCAAAATACAGTTACATGAATAACTGGTAAATTTATGAGCTTGTAAAACTAGCAGCAAGATAGTATTTGGGGGGGAGGGGGGTGTCACTACTGCAGTATTGCCTGTGCTAAAATATACACAGTGTACAGTAAAAGCAGGTCCAAAAATAGAACTATTTTATTTACAGTGTTGTCCATGTAAATAAAAAGGGTTATTGCCTGCTTTATATTGTGTTATGGGAACAACAAAAGTCCTCTTGGTTTAATACTGTAGTAGATAATGTATGCTTTAACGTGAAGTTTCTTTGAAAAACAATTTGTAGACATTGAAACAAGAACCTCTATAACATCAAGAAAAAATAACCTAACTAAATGTGTTGGTCAACTGAAAGATACATACCTCTGAACATAGGAGAGCAGGTTGAAAAACACTGCTCTAATCTTTAAAATGAGGACTAAGAGGAACTTCAAAAATTGTACCATCTTTAATGCTGTGGTGTCTATCCCACTTGTTTTCACTTGTGCGACAGTAGGATTGCATCTGAAAAGCCTGTATGTCCTACAGGTGGCTAGCAACTATCAACACTGTCAGAGTTTCAAACAAGGAGAACCTGGGGCTCTGGGCCTGCAAGTCACCGCTAGCAAAGTCCCCCTCGTCAGTGTGATCCCCAGGCTGAAATGCTGATAGGTATTAACCGTCAGCAAAAGATTACTCCCATGCATGAGCAGAAAGAGCAGCAAACAGTTCAAAGAACACAAAGGTTAGAAAACCAGGCGTTGCTCTTTCCAAGCAATGTATCGAAAGCAAAAGGTTGGGGGTTTTGCATGCCACTGAGCACGTCATCACCTTTTATTCTTTTGGAAATCTGCCCAGGAGATAGTCTAGGGAGTCTAAAGGATACTCGGGCACATTGGCAAGCTCTACATGTGCTGGGTTTCAGAAAAGCAGCTTTTCAGAAAAGCTCCCTGAACCATAGCTCCTGACCGTGCTGTTCACATAAAGACCTCCCTGGCACCAAGATGATTAATTCTGTGTTATTGGTTATAATTTTAACACCATACTCAATAGTAAAATGTTGTGATTCCTGGCATGACAGGTAAGAGAGATAAGAATCTGATGAGGAAAGAAGAGAAACATATCTAAGAAAAACAGTGAGACTCTTTTATCAACAATGCTGGCAAAAAAATGAATACGTTATTAAAACAGATGAGTTGTTAGGTGTCATTTACCTTCTCACCCAGGTAAGACGGCGGTGCTTTCCAGTATAGACTGTGCACTGAAGCAGGCAATTCTTGAACATCAGCCACTACACTATTACTGACTGGATTGAAACTGACTGGAATGTCAATATATTCATCCACTGCCTCCAAGCGCCAGTTCCTCATGTCCACAAACTAATGAAAATACATAAAGGAAACAAAAGCTTGTCTCATCCGTTATTAAACTTTACCAGCACCAAGTAATGAGGAGAAATTGTTTACCCTCTATAATTCCCTTAGCATGAAATTCAACCCCTTCAGAGCCACCCTAAAGTCTTTGCACAATGGATGTTGCAAGGACCTCAAAAGAGAGCATAAGTGGGACAGATGTGCCAAAGCTACTTGGGATGTGGGCATTAGGTTTGTCACCTGCAGACTGAATTCTATCTTCAATCACATGAAGACACAACTCTTCTGGAGTTGACTAGGAATTGTCTACACAAACCCAAGGATATAGTTTGGAGGTGCTTTTTTAAGTCTGTTCCAAAACCAAACCAAGGACACTAATGTAAAATAAAGAGTGCAGACCTGTTGTGATAGGTTAACTGGGAGGGACGGGGCATGGCGGGATATTTTGGAGAGGCAGGCAATGTAGCCTAATACTCTGGCTCTTTAATGCACATTTTATGTTCATGGCTGTTGTTTCATGAAAGACCATACATCCTGTTATTTATCATTATGCTGGGGGAAAGAAAGCATAATGCATATGTACCAGAACAGTTCTGTGGTGGGTTGCCCTTGGCTGGGCAGAGCAATAAAACAAAAAGATAGACATGTTTTCAAAAACAGTCTTTGGTGAGGACAAGTAATCACCAGAGCAAATTTTCCTAAAGCAAATGGAAGCTTGCTACTGACTTCACTGAGGCCAGATTTTCACCCTTTGCTTGTAAACAGTGAAGTGCCACAATCCAGACTGCATCTAGTCTATGTCTAAGACTAAACTAAACTCCTCATCCGTCATTCTAGGACTCTGCTTCTCTCTTTTCTTTCTCTTGCATTGTTTCAGGCAGTTGCCTTTTTTTCAATCTTCAGCCATCTTATCATCCATTTATGCTACTAAAAATCTATCTTCTCCTTCTCTCACACTTGATGTTCTGTCTTTTTTACAGGGAGGGAAAAAAGACAATTTTTACAATCTCTGTAGAATCTGTCACACACTTCTTAGGTCTCAAAATCCATCTATGATATAGACATGTAAAATGACACATCTGCTTATCAAAGCATCTTGAAGGATACCATTGACTTTAATGATGAACTAGTGTCTGAAGATAAAGCAATAGAAGGCCAGCTCAACTTCAGTCCAACTAGTGATTTGTAAACAAACAGGTGAAAAGGGCCATTTCTGCTGAAAGGCACTTTCAGACTACACTTAAATCTTAACAAGGCTGCACTAAATCCGCAGTATTGCTTGCAGAATATTTCTCATTCTTAGAAACTAATAAAATGTATTTTTTATTTTGGAAGAAATCTGGCATTTCCTTAATGGAATAAATGTAGGTTCACGATACCAAAGAAAAAAACTGTTGGATACACCTTGGTTCTGCGATGAGTTGTGCTGCGACAGTTGCTGGTTGCCCCAAAACAAAAGCAAGAGGTGCATCCCCTGGGATTAGAAGGGTCCAGATAAAAGGATCCTGGTCGGCAAGTATCACATTCTGCACCTTCAACATTCTCCTGTTAAGGCATAGTTGAAAGAAATCTCAGCGCCTTCCTTTTGGTTTCGGTGAGGCCCCCAAAACCTCCTGCACATAAAACAAATCTTCTGAAAGAATATTTACTTAAATGTATGGAAACGTGAACGAAAACGTGTGATTATCTGGATACACATATTCCAAATGCAAATAAAAGTGACTTCTTGGAGACTATCTTAGTTACAAGCTGTCTTTCTAGTTTATAAAGTGAACCACTGAGTAATAAATATTAGTCAGAGACAGCTGGTAACTTCCTTGCCAAAACCCTCCTGCTGGCTTTTCCAAACCTACAATATAAAAGGTCACTTGTGAAAGTTCACATTTATCACATTTAATTATGCAGATCAGAACAAAAGAAGATTTCCTGGATATAATGATGTGGTGAAATGTCAACTGACATAATATGGCTAAAAAAAGCATGGGACCTGGTTAACATCCAAAAGCCAAGATACAGATGCATAAAGTAGATCTGTGCAGGGTACAGACTGCCTCAGTGAATCCACGGACAACTACTCTGAAGCTCTGTAACATCCTTCAAAGCCTAAGACCGCCTGAACAACTGACAAACATTGAACTCATTAAAAAATGGCATTTAACTGCTACCATGATAATCTGTGCACCTACTGCAAGGTGTGATGGTTTTGTACAGCTGCATTTAATTTTTACTGAAAACTTAATGATAAACTCACTTCATTCACCCCGTTAAATACAAAATAGTCACTGATGTGCAAACGATGCTTGTGAATGCAGAAGTAATTTGATTTATCTGACCTTGCAGAGACAAATTCCTGTCTGGGGATCGCAAACATCTGGTTCTGTTCCATCTCTGCTACAGTTACACGGCATGCAGTTTGGGAAACCGTAAGTACCAGGAGCACACTGATCACACCGCCGTCCTTTTATTCCTGGTTTGCATCTTTATCAGCAAACAAACACAGAGGAGGGAGTCAACAGGGGAGGCAGGAATGCAGCGAGGAAGGGAAAATTAAAACAAAAAGCAGGTAGATCTTTGAAGTGATTGCATGGCTATGACACAACTTTAGGATTTCCACCGAGAAACAGCAGCAGGTTAGTATTGTTCTCAGATTTGAATGGTGAGACGTTCTAAATGGTCATGGAACTGATCAGGAATGGATCTGATTTTGAAGGAGATAAATGCTCACAACAGAATTAGAGTTCTGCAGCTATTCAGTGCTTGCAGTGCAGAACTACTCTCTATACACCAAGGTGTGAAACATGGATGTTGCACACAGGCAGGCAGAGCTGGAAGAAGATTTATAGCTGGAGGATGTGTCTGGGCATTACTCAGGGCACTCACCTGCTAGCAAAAAGGTGGAGAATCCCAGGCATATGAATAATTACGGAGATTTTAATCTGCCACAAGGCTTGAGTTAGTTTACAACTGTTCACAAAGGATATAATCCACTTGTGCATAGTGAAGGCTGAATGCCGTGAATTTGTTTAGGTGAGGTACAGCAGATGCAAAAACCAACACCAGGCTATGAACAAGGCTTAGGATAAGAGAGAACATCTTTCCAGGGCAGCAGCTACTTCATCCTACCTTTACAACAAACTTGCACAGTCCAATAAAACTAGTGAAAATGTAGGTCTGATGATCCCTCTTCCTCCTGTCTGTGCTGGTAAAATGTCTGTACCTGCCCAAAGCAGGTTTCAAGAGAGTAAGGATCCATTGATAAAGAGTGTCTGCCACCGCCACCGCCACCATCCACATCTCTACATTTCAGTTGTAATAGGATAATTTTTAAAAGTCTCAGCAAGTTGGTGGAGTCTCTTTTGGCTCTCAGCACCAAATTCATATGTGCATTAACACTATGAATTTAGTGGAAATAAACAGTTACAGTAAGTGGACAAGGTAGACTGCACTTCATGTTAATATATGAAAGCAATTACTCAATTCACAAAACAATGGGCAAGGTTCTCAGAGTCTCTCTGAATGCATTAACCCAATGCACAAATAACTGGAGCTGGATGGAGACTTTGAACCTCATGTAATCCACAGAAGGAAAAGTATTAATCAGAATGTAGTAGTGAGCTATATACTTGAGCAATCACTCCAAAAGTATTTGCTAAATGTCAAATTTTGCTGTCATTTTTTTGATATTTCCAATTAGGCTGCACATGAAAAATATCACCATTATAATCAGGCAATACAGCTTTTCACTGAAATGAAAAAATGTGACTATTTCTGCGAAAATTATCGTCAATTTTAGTCAAGTAGAAATGTGCTAAGCCCTTTTTATTTTTGCATAGTATTTATTTTGATTTTATTTTGTATTGTATGGGGAAAATGAAAGCAGAGACTAATCAGATTGAGAGTGCATCAGGAGATACGCAATATGCTACATTTTAACCCTGAACATCAGCTTCTAAATATGAAAACAGACTCCTGTTTTGCTCTTGGGATAAGACAATTATTCACTTCATATGGAAAGGAAAGACTTAGGAAAAGAATTTAAATTCAGGAAATAATATGAGCATTCTCTGAAAATTAGTGCTCTCTATTATATTTACAGGCTTAATGGCAGAGCAGGAAGGACAAATTTCTCTTTGTTAGGACCCTAAAGTAGCCAAACCAATCAAAGTGAATTAATCCTGGCCTTACACAACCTACTGGCTATCAAGTATTTGTACTTGCTATTTAAGGACTCGATCTCCCCAAGGATATAATAGAAATGTTCAACTATACTGATATGACAGCATCTGAATTTAAGATCATTCTCTATGGTTGTGGCTGTATGCTATACCTATTTTAGAGGATGTAAGTAAGAGAAAACTGAAGAATTTATTCTCGTCTCAGCATGCTGACTTACAGAAAAATAAGCATATGTCATACAGAAGGCATAATTTTAAGGGCAATTATCACCTATGGCTCCAACTGAACCATATTTTCCATACATACAACACCTATCATCAAAGTTTCTCAAAATTCATTGCAAACATTCAAGCTTTACAGTACTTAAAAACATCATTAGACTTAAATCCAGACATCAGCCTGTAGAAGGTCAACTGCAAAGTTTTAAGAATTTGGGAAATAATGTACACCATTACAAATGATGTACGTGCCCAGAAGTCAGGAGCTCTGACCTGCAGTCTGCTACTAACTGCCATTGGATAAGTCATATGAGCTGGACAGAGATTTGGTGACTTACCATGAGTGACATGGCAAGCCACTGGCAAACAGAATGCAAGTCCAGGAATCTCAAATCCCACCATTAGCTACCTGCGCAAAAAACAAGTTTCCACACTGCAGGTGTCCCTGAAACAGCTGAGTCACCACTAGTGCCAAGCACTGTTTAAACCCTTATTCACCATCATCAAAGTTTCCCACATCTCCTCCAAACACCTGAAAAGAATGGTGAAGCAAACCACTTGTGCACTGTTTATAATGCACCTAACCCAAACTTACTTGCATTGCCCGTTGGTTTTTTCACATTCTGGGCTTGCCACATTAACGACTCCTCTTTCTGAACAGTTGCAGCTCTCACAGCCAGCAAGAGGGTGATAGCTGAAGTAATGCTTCTGGCACACTTCACATTTTGGTTTCACAGTTCGTGGAGGGCAAATGCATTTACCAGTCATGTCGTCACAAAGACGCTGCCCACAGTTGCATACTAGGTCGAAGAAAATGTTCCACAAATCAATCACAGCTCAACTTACAATGATCAACTCCTATTGAGCTTGCATACAAAACAAACACGCACAACCTTTATGTATGAAGGACATGATTCTTTTCTCTCTTTCACTAATTTTAAGCTCAGGGTCATGGAAACCAACTATGTGACTGTAATAGTAGTTTCAAAGCGTAGCTTTAGTGCCTGGCTCTTTTCCACAAATTGGTTGCTTAACTTCACTACAGGCATTATTAATCACTTCCCCAAACTGCCAAGGATTAAGTGACAAAGTTTTGGTGTTAAGGGCACCACTTATATGAAGCAACATTTATAAACATCGAACATAATACCTGGGAAGGCAGCCGAGGACTGTTGGTATAATCTATAAATCTGTTGATGTAATTAAGAAGAACATCAGAATATGAGGAATTAAGAATGTTATGTCTCTGATTATCTATGGAAAATCTTGAAGGTGTAAACTGGGATAAAACAGTAATAACTTGGAAATGATTTAGCAGTCAGCACAGAAAAATCCATTTGACTGAAAGAGTGGCAATATGAATTTTAACCAGTTTAACTGTAGGCCTAATATGCCTGATCAGACAACACATGCAAAGGCACGCTTCATTGTGAACTACATGTGCTTTAAAGGAATGGGGTTACTTCTGCCTTAAACTGAAAGTTATGCTATGCTAAATCTGAGGTGGGTCAACTAGCTTCTCATAGGATCATGCCCTATAAAGAAAAGTGAGGCTGCGGTACCTATGCAGTAATTAATGAGAATTAAATAAAAGGTCGGGCCAGGTGCTGAACAAGTCCAAGCATATACTTACACTTGCAGAATGGGAATCCATAGTAGCCACTTCGGCATCGGCTGCACTGACGACCGATGACATTAGGTCTGCAAATACACTGTCCTCCCAGGGGGCTGCAAGTAGGGCTTGTGGCACCTGCGCTATGGCAATTACATGGCAGGGCTCCGTTGTTGTAGAAAGCCACTAGTGACCTTACAGAGTCCTTACAGAAGGCTGATGATCCTTCTGGGCTATTTAAATTGAAATATAAATCATGTAAGTACTGGCACTTGGGAATTGTTATTAGCGTGCTTTGCAGCGGTTCAGTAAATTAGGGTCCTGTCTTTCAAACAGTTCTTTGACATAAGGATGGCATCAGTACACATGCAAGGATGTACTTTAATTAAGGTAGTGGTGAATGGCTTTGAACAGGCAGGTAAGAGATTTTTTTCAAAGAAAGTGCGTATATTAGTTATATCAGTTCAGACATGCCAAGCAAAATACCAAATACCAAAGATGGAAATACCAAAGACAGAAAGATGACACAGATTTTCCTCTTTTGTATGGTGAGCAATAAAGCTCTACCTTTACAATTCATTTACAATAGAAAGTCATGGAAAAATGACTCACGGAAATTTAATGGGCCAGCATAAGCCATTAAAAGCATTGTAATGTAGCATAATGATGGGGACTTTATACATATGTCTTTAATACAGAGTAAAAGTAATATTAATTCCCAGCTTCTTGTCGACATTCAGTTTTTTAGAAAGTGATGCTTACTCAATATAAAAACTGTTTCGTCCACATTGGCTGATAAAATCAAATGACTTGTCCACTGTCTTTTTGTCAAGAATTTTGTAACTGTAGGTGTCTGCTGGAACAACTAAGACATTTTCCTTGAAACAACAAGAAAGCTAAATTGTACATTTCAGAGAAAAGCAAAAGACACAAGCCAAGGTATTTATATATTTAAACGTTGCTTCATTATGTGTTCTGGATTTTCTCAAAATCTGTAACATTTTAACTGAAAGAAAATAGGAAAATATACTTATCTTCCCCCCAGAGTTTTGATGCTATAAGCAGTGTATAGTATCTTAAAAATTTAAAATAAAACAGAAGCAGTGCACAAGATCCTAAAAATGTGAAACACAACATTAAAGGATAAATTCTTTCTTTTTGGCTTTCATCTTTGCATCTATCTCTAAATGAATGGTGAAACTGAGGGTAACATTTCCAAGTACATTCATGTAATAAACATACCAGAACTAGCATTCTTTCATCAGGTATCATCACTGTAACAGAGACCTCAGGTTCAGAAATGTCAAGCTCAATTCTGTTTTCTGCAATCACCTGATCCCGACAGCCAGACGTATGAGGGCAGAATGAAGCATTGAAGGAACCTAGAAGAAAAAACATAATGCCAAAAAATGCTCCATGTGCCAACATGCTGAGAAAGGAAACTAGATGAAATTCAGATGCTTACCTGACCACACATGTCCTGCATCCACACGCATTTGCACGGGGAACACCGGGTGTGCGGACTGATAAAAGTGTACCACAAATACGTATCTGCCCAAGCGGGGCACTCTGCCACTCAAGGTGATCTGGTTCTGCAGAAACAAGAACAGCTCTGATAGTATATTTGTTTCATGAAATATTCTTGCGTTTATGAGCTCTGCTCTGTGCCACCTACCTGCAATGAAAGAGAGGGAGTTTAGCATCTCTCGGCAAGTAAACTATCTTCAAAGAATACGGCATTATAACTGCATGCTCCTATCTGTTTGCATGCCAAGCACATCTAACAAAGTTTTCAAAATATGAGATACCTGTAATGGTGTCAAGGTGACTCTGTCAACTGAGTCAGAAGGTAAAGGGGCACTCAGTGGATCACTGAGTATATTTCTCCGTACTTCGGAAATTTTCCCATCCTTGAATGCATCCAATACCAAAGCTGCCGGTGGAGTTTCATACACTGAGGGAATGCATGTTGCACTAAAGACAGAATTATAGTAATTACTCTTGGGGCCATGAGAATTTCTTAAGCATCATAAAAGAAAAAGCAGTTGACTCACAGAACTCAATATATTACACTGTATTACAATTAATAATGCAATAGTAATCCCTGTTACTCTTTGGATTCTATGTAAATGATCAGAAAGTAAATGAAAACAAGAGGTATGATTTTAACTCACAAAGGGGAAAATGTGCATCAACTGATTTTATTCACTCAAAATTTCCATAACCTGAACAGTTTCAATGGAAAGAGTTTGCTAAGGAAGATGAAACCTAAGGGAATCAAGAGTGTTAAAATTTTAAATAAATTTTAGTTAATCCAGTTAGTTACATTCACCAGAATCTGTACTAATATTGAATTCTCAGTTCTACAAATATTTACATGGGTGTATCCTTTAAACATGCAAGTTCTCCCACTGAAGTCAATGGGACTACTTAAGTACTTAGAAAGTATACACTCAAATATTTGTAGAATTTGAGCCAAAATAAATAACAGTGCTCCTTGAAAGCATCCTTATTCATGCACTGCTGTGTTCAACTATTTCTTCCTTGGTATATTTAATTCTGAAAAACTTGACTGAGAGAAGTATTTTCCAAGACTGCAGGAGAAAATGTTTTGGGGGGTTTCCTGCTAGTCTTTGTTCACTTCTTGTAAGTACTCAACAGACAATGATTAATCTTTGCTCAAGACAGGCCCAGAACTGAAATGGCAAGTATGTTTCAGGGCAAGGATTGAGATGTGTTTGCCAGGCCTGTGTGGGAAATCACATGCAGCATCCGTTTATAATACTGTTAAACTGAGCCAAGACTCTGCATCTTTCAACTTGGTGAACACTAAACACTTTCAGGAAAGCAAGAATGCTACCAGATAATGGTCTTAATAACAGAACATAAACATACAGTAAACTATGCAAACGTAACAAGAGATTAAAAAAACAACCAACACAAAACCAAAGTAAAAGGTACAAACTTCTACATTAGCTTTACTTTAAACCATGGTTTTCTCCCATCCTCTTTCCCCTGTTTTACTCAGAATATGGGAATTTTCAATGCAAAATATGAAAATGGGAATTTTTCAATGCAAAATGCAAAATACCTTTGGTCCAAGGACAAGTACCTTCAGTCTTAGAAAGCTGCTCTCAATTGTTACACTCTGAGCAGGAGAATTAAAGCTGTGATTCAATGTGATGCATGCTTGGATGCCAAGTACAGTCACATGCTTTTATCCAATTTACTATCCAGATTTTTCTGCTTTCTATTTCAATTCAACCATTTATATTAGAAGCTACCGTCTGGAAAACTGTTAGACCTAGTCACCAACTCTTTCTGCCTCTGAAGTCTTGCAAATGACATTTACTTTTACTTTGAGGCCCTTGCCATTGCCAGATCAGTAGGAAGCAAGCCTGAGGAGTAGCATCACGAGGGACATCCTGGGGAGCGCAACAGGAACTGAAATGTGGGGCTCCCTAATTTGGAAGCTGCAGTGATAGTTCCTCTATGGCCCAATGAATAAAGCATATGGAAAGGGGAAGAGTTTCAACAGGACAGAGCAAGTGCTCTGCAGAACCCAAAACTGACCACTTGGGAAGTGAAAGTTCAGGTTCAGATCTTCGCAGGACAAGCCGTCAACCTGGGTCAACCAAGCTGTACTCGAGCGCTCTAATTACTAGTCCTATACAAGTACAATGGAGGAGAAGGACCACCTGGTGTTGCTGAGCAGGGTGAATGCTGAGGGCACACCTACCATAGGGGCCCCATGATGAGATGGACAAGGGAAGGGCTTGTTTGTGAACCAGGGGTTTACGCATTGAGTATTTTGATGCTGCCAAGTTGAGCTGGTGGATTTGTGCCTGAAAGCGCAGTCACATCCCCTACCTAATGATAAATTCAAGCCATTTTGGAACAGTTCAAGCAGTAACATTCAGAACGAAACTCCAGATGAAGCAGTAAGCATTTCAGGCCACTGAAGCATCAATGTTTCTCCAGCTTGAACACCTATCATACCGGATGACATGTCAAAGATGCATGTTTTCTAATGCATCAGCACCCAGTAGCTCAGATGGGCCAGGAAGAAGCTAGTATTAAGAAAATCCTGCACAAAGACTGCCTAGATTAACACTAGCTTTTTTACAAATACTAGTTTGCAAAAATGGCCTACAAATCACCTGTGAGTCACTAAGCAAAGGTTCATTCAAAAGAATTAAAATCCTATTTAGTCTGCCTTTCAAGGTCTTCTTCAGAAAATATGAAAGATAAAACCAAACAAGTTACCTTCCATCACGGGTACTCCTGTAAGCAGCTATGCACTGTACTTTAGGATCCACATATTCGGGAGAAAATTCTTCAGCTGATATAATACAAACCTTGTGCTGAAAAAGAAGCACAAGGCACAATTAACAATTAATATTGTAAATAACAGGGCCAGGCCAGAACGGGAAGGATGAAGCCTAATTTTAGAATGGGGAGACTTAAGCCCAAAGCCATGTTCTGTCATGGACTTCCCACAAGATTTTGGATCTCCTTACCTGCCTGCAACTGAATGCCTCAGTGTCGAATAGCATTTTTCTGTCCTTCTCAGGGGAATGTTGGCTGTTCAGATGTTAAATAAATTAAAACATAAGTGTATGTATGGCAATGGGAATGACAGAAGACCAGCTTGTGGGGTCAGAAGCTAGGCAAGGAGCATGCAGAAGTGGGAGGGAAAAGCCCTCACCTGTGGTGTTAGAGACTTTTGGACACTGGGGGAATTCCTAGACCTTCTGAAATGCAAGCATGAACACTTGCTCACACAAAGTCTGTAGGAGTGAGTTTCAGTGACACCAGGATTATTCGCAGTAGATTCAGAACTCATTTTAAAAGCCAATGAGACCGCATATGATTTTTTTTTTTTTTTTTTAAACTAAAACTAGACACGAGCAAATGAAACTGTGGTAGTCCTGCTATAACCGTGGTGGTAAGAACACAAGGGAAAGCTTATGGGTAGATACAACAGTTTGCACTAATAAAAAAATATTACCTGCACTTACAAAATACCTAAGTGCAGTTTACAAAACTTGTGCATGAACTCCTTGAAAAGGAGATAAAAATGCCTGATAAGCAGTAAGATAACTAGCATCATGTATTAATATGAACAAAAATTGCACAGGGAGAATTCATTAATGTGCAAAGTGATTCAGTTTAGAAGCCGGTCCTAAGGGAGCTCAGCTTGTGTTTTAGCAGTAGCGCGCAGGAACTAGAAACCCTTTATAAGCTAGAAGGCAGAGTGCTAGAGAAGTCCCTCTTCCTGGGCAGCAAACATTGTGCCTGCCCTGCATGTAATGACCCACAGGGCTCCAGCCCATTGCAGCAGAATGAGGGTAGACTCTGAAGCTTTGAACTGCACTTTGTGAGCGGCTAAAAAGTTAGTGTGAAACACAGTCTGGGTTTAGACAGCTTGTATGCATCAGTGTGAGATAAAGACTATCAGGTTGTAAGAGCCTCTCTTGAAAGCTGACCTCAAGAACCCCATTTCCCCTTTATTTAGACCAGATTTCTGAACTCCAGCTTTGGGGATGGTTCCCCTTTGCCTCTCTGGTCTACATGACAGGGGGTCACACAAGGGTCTTTCTTTAACTCCAAAGCTGCTGCCATTGACTCCATGATTAGTGTCCAGAAGCTCTTCTTTTCGCCCTTCTTCCAATCTTTTGCTAAGTGCAGTTTTTACATTTAACATGGGGATATATTTCCTGTATCTCAGGAGAATATTGAAATTTATCTTGCAGCAAGTTATTCAGAGAATGAAAACTAGAATTTAGAAATAAAAATACAGAGATTTTTAGCACAAGAGACTTCCACATGTGGAGATACAGATTAATAATATCAACGTCTTTTGGATATGGATCTTGTTAGCACAGCAGTTGCTGCAGGGAGCTAACAGACAATTTAAATGATATTTGTTCACACTGAACACTGCCTCATGAAATGAAGAAAGCATATATCAGTTGTTAATTCTAACAGTTCCCGAAACTACTCTATGTTTATAGCTGGGTTTCAACTATAGATTTTAACCAACCGTGTAACTCATCTTGTGTTTCTAAAATGGAAAACAGAAACAGCATAGAAGAAAATTCAGTGTCCAGAAAAATGTATTCCTGGTGTGGCCAAAAGAGGGCAGTAAATGCTTTTTAGTCAAAGTATTTAAAAGTTGTATGACTAATGAATGCATTTATTACCTGAAATGAACACATTTATTAGCTGAATTTTGTAAAAGACCCAGGAAACTCCCACATGGGTTTTGAGGATTTTAAAAAAGTGAAAGATAAGGAAAAAAAATAATGATGAAGTAAAAAAGATACCAGAAGATTTTTCATTTAAAGTTTACATGCAGAAGAGAAATGAGAACTGAAATAAAGCACAAGAGAGTCGGAAAAACCCTCGCCAAGAAAGGCGAATTTCTGTTTATCTTTGAAACTGATCAAGTTTGCCTCAGTATTCTCTGAGTATATATAAAAAAACGTCTTCAAGCATCTAATATACATCATTTCAAACATTACCATACAGCACATGAACATAGGGAGAAAGGTATCTCTCTTTACCCACTCAGGAACAAGTATTAAAAAATGGAAAAGAAAACAAAAACTTACCAGAAGAAAATTACTTGATGATGCCTTAAGATCTATCTTTGTATCTGCTAGAAGGTCATAGACAGCAACGCGATTCCTATCGTCAACTACAACGCTGCGACAAAGGAAACTGAGACAGAAAGCAGGATTAAAAATGAGCCTGCTGGCATTGCTGGGTTGTTTAGGTTACTGCCTAGCTCAGCTGCCTAGCTTTTGGCTAGCCTCACCACTGGTGCCTAGCCGTCCTGCTGGATTGTAACAACTGCCTTTGGCCACTGGTGAAGGTGCAGTATCCTCACTAGTGAGACAAAGGATGTACCTACCACATACAAAACACCGCTTGTCCTTTGTGGGCTGACCTACCCGGAGCCCAAACCTCCAGACCTCAGCTCAGATCTCCATTTGAGCTACTGCTTTAAGCAGGATGTGAACAGACAGATACACATATGTGCCATCTGCAGAGGTTTCCAAGCTGTGTAACATGGCGTGTAACTAATATTCTGTGCCTGGGCCATAGTCCTTGAGGGGCCAGCACGCACCAGCTGCTGCTTTCCACTACTGCCACGCGCCGTTGATGGTGTGGATCAGCAGCTCTCACCCACACAATGGCAGTTGGGCAGACCTTGATTTTAGGAAGCTATTCTGTACACTGAGATACTCCTCAATACAAGTGAAAAAAGGTAGGTTTGCTGCTTACTGACTACCATCGATTGGCTGTGCATCTTTGGTAAAGACAAACACATACTAAGAAGAGTCTTGCTAAAGCCTTTGAACTCTGCCTTGTTCAGGGAGCATGACCCCTGCAACTTGCCAAAAGTAACAAAAGTTTCCTTTTGCTAAAGAGAAGTCATATATGGCTCTAATTTCTTTTCTTTCTCTGCACTCCTGCTCAGCTAGGCCAGCCAGCATGCTGTGGGTGAGAAGCTGTAATCACCATACAACTGCTTCTCTATTTCTCCTCTTTGAATTGGAGAATGTGGAAGTTTCACTCTTGTTTAGAGCACAGCTCACAAATAAGGTCAGCTCAGGGCTAAGGACTTTTAAGACCAGAGAAATATAGGTCCCTTATTGGTGATTCGCTGGAAGCTTGCAATGTTTTATTTGCTTACAATGTTTTATTGGGAATAATCAAGCTCATAGAGCTGTAAGAATGCCTGGCACAATGTCTTCCTGATTCTACAAGTCACTCTTATCTGCATGTACCACTATGTAATTTCTTGATTTATTTTTTAAGAGAAGAGACTTTTAGCTTCCTGCTTAGGAAAGATGACACAGCAACTTACTTGCAATTTGACCATTAGCTTCATGCAGAATGGCCTCATAAGGGATTTACTGTATTGCTACATTAAAGTAGCAAGGACTTTCTTTGTATTTTCATTAGCAAGTTCTTAATCTATCATATGAACAAACAAGTATGTTCAAAATTAGCCCATAAAATGTGTTTGGGGAAAAAAAAAAGCAATAAAGTGGAAGATTTATAGCAAGTAGTTTGGGGCTCAAAGTGTTACATAACAGGCTAAAATAAGAGCTTTCCCCAGCAATAACCTGACAAGGTCACTGCTCCACACAGCTCTGCTCTGTATCAGAAACATGCTAATGAAAATGATTTTTCTTACTGGGCAATTTCATCCTGCATATTGCTAAGCCTCCAGTCTGCCAAACTCTTGGCTCACAGGAAAAAGGGATGCATGTCTGTAGTCCCCTGGCACTGGGTAGGCTCTGCCAGGGGCACAAACATCTGCAGGATCACAACCCTTACTTGAGTCATAAGCTGAAATGCTCAAGTGTTAAAGACAATCTCACTCAGGACAGACAAAATCTCTTGTGCAGAAACATCTGCAGTTACCTCAGTAATCAAGAAGGATAAAGAAGCATTCGGCTGAAGACGTTGCCTACAGCCTAACAGCCAGAGGATGGCTACACTCAGAACTTCAGAGACCTTTATGCTTCTGCTTCAGCAGATCTTATTGGAAACAGTGGGAATGCTCTGTAAAACTGGCTGCTACATTTTTTACAGTCAAAGCCCTTGGACATGCTTTTAACTAAATAAAAATAGTGCAGGCATCTACAGCCAACAGTGATGCTCTTCAACTAGACTTGGAGACTAATAGTTTATAAGGATTTTTGAATGTATATAAAAAAAGTTACGCTTTGTATAGGAAAACAGTTCACTGAAGCAGTAGCAGTATTGAATGAGCTGACTGCACAGCGAGAATTAAAAATCTGTACAATACCCACAGAATCATGTACTTGCTTTTAAATCATGCTGAAATTCAAACAATCTACATAGCAAAATGGATTCTAATACATAAAAAGTATAATTATATCCCAAATGCTTATTTAATTATGTAGTGATTACTTCAGAAATTCTTACCTGTATTTACAACTATATATTCTCACTCTGCCTTCAGTGACAGGTCCAGGGCTATGTATTATTACCTCGGCAGTGTGTAACCGATCCTCTTCATTGGCATATTCAAAAATCAGAACATAGCGACCAACTTGAGGAACATTTATGGTCATCTGTAAATTGACCTAGATCAAGATCATTGAAAAAGAAAAAAGCCGTTAGATTTTTCACTCCCTTTCTTGCAGGAAGCTCCCTTTTCCTGCCCTTTAAGCCAACCGGTCAGCATTAGTCCAGGGCCAATCCTGTAATGTCTCAGCAAAAGACATCCAGCAGAATGGAAGCAATGCCTATAAATATCACTTTGTCCACTAATAAGAGTCAACCAGGTTCAAGAAGCAGCTGCCATTATAACAGTTCTAAGCAGGCTGTAAAATAAGCATAGAAATGAGTATATTATTAACTCTCTTCTTCCTGGTAGAACATACCAGTGAGGAAATTTTAATAATACTAAAAAATTGTCACTGTCATCTCTGAGCTATCTTTAATAACATATGCAAATGGAGTCTACTTTTCCACTGAAAAAAATATTTCCAGGACCACAATTCCTACTACAGCAGTGCTGTGTATCGATTCCCTACAAAGAGTGAAAGCATCTTCTCCAGCAAACAGCCAATGCCGCTTCCTAAAGCATCAAGTTTTTCTTTTAGTTTATCTGCACAAATTGGTTAACACAATATTTGATGCAAAATACTTCAAAGTAGTTGTATGGAAAGTGCTGTGGTTACAGAGGTTTTTGCTACAGTTGGTTATATAATTATTTTCAAATTTAAACTGTTTTTTTCTCAATATTTCCTTAGGCTGTGAACACTTAAACCTGTAAATAATTGTGTCAACAGCCCTCTTGACTTCACTGCAATTATTCATACCAGTAAAGTTTTGCACATGCATCAGTGATGAAGCACCAGGGCCTGTGGCATGTAAATATTCTTGTTGCACTTGGTATTTTTAAAAGCAATATCCAAGCACAGTAACAGATGGCATAATCATTTTTCATGTAATTATCATGTACTTGATAAAATACCTTATTTTTACCAAACACTTCTAGTATAGCTTTTCATAAAACATATGTTTCTCTTTCAATGCACCTACAGCAGTGGTATAATTGCTTCCGCTTGTTTTTAGTAAAGCAAATATTTTACCTAAGTTTAGCTATTTAAGAAAAAAGATTAGAGTGATGCCATGTACACCATTTCTGCTGACAAACCATTATGCCATTTCTGCTGCAATTAAACAGTATGCTGAACAAGCCAGTATGCCTAAAGCAAAAGGATTTTTATTTAATAAAATACTTCTATCAGAGTGAAATATCCACTCTAGTCACAGCTATAAATCTGCCTACACTGATCTGTTTACACAGTTCTGTACAGAATGCAGAGCTTGATGCAGAGTCTGTTTTAGGGATGCATTACAGATCTGCAAATCCTGAGCTGTAAATCTGCAAGCATTTTAGTCCAGTAGGTTTATAGTCAACAGTGCAGATGGGACTGCAATTAGCAGGCAGGAATCTGACCTCTCTTCCACTGATATGGGTCATCACTGGTTGATCGGGAGTTGGCTGTCGCACAGATAGTCTTCTGTATTCTCCCCCATGTCTGAAGTACACTGCCTCTGAACCAAGGACACAGGAAAATCTGCCCAGTGGCAAATGCTGATAGAGCAAGCAGCTTACACACAAAAAAAAACCCCAAACAAAACACAGGATTATTATTGGTTTCACGTGCAGCAGGATAATAATAAAATAATCCAAGGCACTGGTTTATTCTGTAGCATATATACTGACTGCTCTGTTGAAGCACGTCCTGAATAGGTGCAAGGCTCTGTAACTTGTATCTGCAAGATGGATGCTTCGTAGTAATCACTAGGTAACAGCACCAAATAATCCTAAGAACAAAGAATACAACAAATGCAAGACCATGCAGAAAATTACAAAAGGAACATCTCTAGACTTTCACAATGTAGCAATGAACAAAACCAATCACATAAATAATTTTTACAGAGGATATCTGCAAGATGTCGACTTTTTTGTTGTTACATGGGCCAATAACATCAGAATAGGTCTCCCTAACTCTACTTACACCTTCCTAGAAACGGGATCAAGGCAGCTGCCCTGCAAGCAGGGAAGCTCTGAAGCCACTCTCCCATCACGTGTTGTACAAGAGAGGGCTCATAAAGGAGGCCCCCCCCCAGCTTGGTAACAGAGAGCCAGCTGGGTGCAGTTTTCACCCAGAAGCGCAATCCACATGCACACAACTCAACTGTGCGTGACTCCACAAGGGAGATTCATGTATCCCAGGCGACTTTATAAAAATATTCCATGTAATCTCTTAAGCTGTGCTTCAAAAGCTGGTATATTTTTTCTCTGCCTTGCCTACTTGCTGGGCTAAGATCATTAATAAATTCCTTTTCAAAGGTATTAGTAAAAAAAACAGGCACGATAAGTACTGTCACTTTCAGCAAGAAATATGTTTGCAAGCTCTTTAGTAACATTTTAAGTGGTATTCCATAAATTTAACAGAGCCCCAGGCTTAATGACTAAAGACACTGTCTACTTGTTAACCCTATACAATATACATGTGAATTTCAGTATGCTGTCTTTGTGATCATACATGTTTAAGGTTTTTCATAAATGATCACCTCAAACAATTTTTCTTTTTATAGCAATTTCTCAGAACTGCTGTCAGAAATTTTTTCAGTTTTTCAGCGAGTGAAAGGACAGTAATGATGGGAGGATAAAAACATTTAGAAAATGACCTGCTAATCATGTAGCCCATCTTATAATACTTTTCTGAAGAATCTTTGTCAAGAAACTAAGGCCTTGATCATCTGTGGCAGAACCAAGCTTTAGATATGACATCTGATACATAAGAATGATGAATTTCTGTGGGCATTTATGCTCAACCAATTGTGCTGTATGTTACTATTACTTTATCCTTTGAAATTACAGATTCCGGATAGACTTAAAGTCTGTAAGCACAAGGAAAATTAGAGCAGGTGAAAGTCAGAGAGGAAAAAAAAAAGAAAGAAGAGGCAGAACTGTAAATTTTCATAATGATATTCTGCTGCTGTACTCTTTTCACTAGTGCTGAATTTCAATTGCTTGCAGGGTTCTTCCCGGCAAATAACTCCAGAGCAATGCTATCATGACAGCCCTCAAGCGCTTGTTTTCCTCAATTGTTTTCTTACCAAGAGGACTTCCTCTGCCATTATACTGACAGTCCACGTGCCTGGAACCAGTGAGAAAGGCTCTGTGGAGCTTTTTCCTGGGATTGTGACAAAAGCTGGCTCCTTGCTGGGTGGGAAGACAAACTCTTTGCTCTGAGCAGCCCCTGCCAGCAAAAAAAAGAAAAAAGAAAAAAAAGTGAAAAATAAGGGACTCTCTAAGATGTCTCTACTCGCTTAGTGTGCTGGACTGATGATTTCATCCATTAAACTTGGTCTAACAGGAGCTGATCAATGATTTTCTGTCAATACGTATTAACAGTGCATTCGAACACACACAGTAAGCTACAGAGCTATGCAGTGGTTGTTGTCTTCATTCTTATTAGTCTTGAGCAAATTGGTTCAGAAAAGCAGAGCTCTGCCCCTGTAATGGCCAGTTTTGCAATATTCTGAAATGCTCACTTCTCCACTTTCCCCTTCCATTATTTTCCATACAACCTGTCTCTGCACCAACTCACAATATGTTCAGCTGACAAGCCCTGTTCTCATGCGACTTCCAGCCATATATTTCAGACACTGGAGGTTTTTAGTAGCATCTAAAATGTTTAGTTACAAATAGCAACTGAAGGTAACTTCTGGGCAGAGATGATGTACAACAGAAAGGTAGCTGCAGTATGTTTTATCAAAAAGAAGTCATGAGGATCAATTGTTATGAATATTAAAGGTTTCTTCTTTGAAGCCCCTGGACACAGACAAAAGCTGGTTCCCTGCGTCCCAGGCAATATCAGCCAGACGTGACCATGAACTGCTGCCACTCTGCTGAGTGGTATCTGTGAAGTTTTCAGTTTTGTCTCCTCCGAATTACTAAAAGCATTTATGACTAAACTCCATTAGCTCCCATCGGTATGCAGAGGTTAGGCATAATAAGAGATAATTCTGCATATAGGATTGGTATGCCTCTACCATTCAAAGGATATGGAGTATTTATCTTTTATCAGGGCCCAAAAGGCATCGCATGCTGTTGAGGTCTGTAATGAGGGCTAACTTGGTAGATTGGATTTATCATTAAATGAATGTTATTCATGGAATGAAGGCAGAAGCCACCTTTAAACTGAAATATCAAAGGCAACTAAACCAAAATAAGTGCTGTTATCCCTTCTTTAAAAGCTTCATAAAACACACAGTTCAGAGCCAGCAAGTACAGAACTGAAAGTACTGTTTGGCAAACATTTGGAAAAACACATGTTGATTACTACTGTAAGCAGGGGTTTCATGCAAAAACAGCCACATCAATTACACAGCAAAATATATTAGGAAAAGCACAAAAGAACTGACACTGTTAGAAGTGATGCATTTTAAGCAACATTACAAATTTGACTTAGGTGCACCTTGAAAAGGCTTCTCTGATCTAACGTTCACCTGATCTGTTGTGCCATTGAGTTGCACCTACCTGTTTCAGGCCGAGACTGACAAGCAGATATGCGACCAGATAATGTTTCACCTCCAGGGTTAATATACCTCAGGATAATGCGAAATAAGTAGAGGTTTGATTTTTCCACATTCAAAGTTATCCTCACTTCATTCTGAAAAATGGAAGTTAATAAACAAAAAAACAGCCGTAAAGTGCTGAATAGAGGAACAGTTAGAAGCCATGCAAGCACCATACTAAAGTCCTACAAGAAAAACGCACATGCAGACAAGTATATACTGGAACGGCAATGCTGGTGTATGACAGAGGAAGACAGGCAAGCCTAGTGAGAAAATTAATTCACTTACAAGTATAATTAGTGCCAAAATGTTTTCCCTCAGCAACTGAGATCTTCCCTTTAGAGCTTTTTGAGCCCATGCTGACATAGCGGAGGACTAGGTGGAAGAGCTTAGGGGAAGCCACAGTGATAGGCACAACCACCTCTGGCTGGGAAAAATAAAAAGAAAGGGAAAAAGGAGGAAAGGAAAGTATATTATTTGTTACTAGCACCCAGAGAAAGAAAAACCATTTGGCAAAGACAAACTCCATAACAGAAAAGAAAGGCTCGGGCAGCTTACAAAAGCATATAGAACAAAACCTCCTGTGAAATAAAACTCTTGTTGAATAACAGCCTATCCAGAAAGACACAGAATGGCTGAATTAACGTGTGTGTTGATATTGCACCTTGATATATGGACAGTATTTTACTGTTATTCTCCCCTCCCATGCCATAAGGGAGGTGTATGGTATCGAGGGTTGTCTGTAATCCTTGCTTCCCAAGGAACAGGCCAGAGTCACTGACCCTAGTCTGAGATCACACGCAACACTCCACAGCATGCAGACATCTCAGACCATCGCTGCAACAACTTCTACTCCTCCACCAGATCCCTCGGTTTCTTAAAATGCAATACCATGCATAACTCTCTTTGCCCTGGGCCTGAATGGACACCTCTGGAGCCACGCAGTTCTCGAGCCCGCAGGAGGCTGCATTCATACAACCCCCATTATTTAGTCTGCAGAGCAACAGAATTGGCAGAGACATGTTCAAAGGTTGGTGGTGGATTAGGAAAAAACAGGATTGGTGCAACCTCAAGGGTTTGGCTTCCTTCTTCCCATCCAAAATCCTAAACCTCCCCTCATAATCCAACTCCCACCAGTTCACCCATCACAATCCACTCACTGTCCCTTTCCAAGATGCTTGCAGTACGGTGACCTCCCCACCACTGTGGTCCATTCTGCTTCCCCAAATGCACACAGGTTTTTTCTCTGTTCCATACATTTGAGAACGGACCACAAAGCCTCATTTTCTCTTACTCCTAAAAGCTACAATAAATGCAAGACTGCCAGCTCTCATATGCTGCTCTGAATGTATATTCCTCAATTCTGTCATCATCACCCCAGAGACCTCCACCTTCTTAACAGAAATGCAAAGCAGAAAGCAAAGACAGACATATGACAGATGGCAGGGCTGAGAGATCTACAGAGACTAGATAGCTAAAATCTAGGTGATTGCAGAAAGGCAGTGGACCAGAATGGAAAATACAGACAATTAGGGGAAGGATTTACAAGTATTGTTTTAAATGGAGAAGGACAGCTTCTGAAGGATACTACATGGATAAGACAGGCATTGAGGGAACAGTTGAAAAATAGATACAAACAAAAAAGAGAAGGCAAAAGAAATAAAGAAACATGCTTCAGGAGATTTATAAAAATGGTTTCTAAGCTTTTATGGAAAATCTAGAAGACACAGTGAAGGGAGAGAAAGAAGAGATATGTGAGGAATGAGGAAGAAAGAGATGTCGGTCCCTGGCTTTAAGCAAAGGCAGGGAGTGGGGAGAAATTATTCTTTGAGCTCTGTCACAAACTTAGGCAACTCTGGCCAGTGCTTTAAAATCTGAGCCTGACTGTCAGCTTCTCAGTCAATAATGAGACACTCATGTCAGCAGCATGACAGGGCACCAGTGACCTCCACTGAGGTCACACACAGTTTCTTTATTTCACATCAAAAATTTTTAATTGTTTTGAAATAGTTTCTGTTCACAAAAAGTTGTTACATTACCCTTTTGTGTGGTAGATATGGTAACACTACTTGTTTTCTACAAAATAAATGTCAGGAGGATTATTTCAGGGTCCTGCAAGACACAGAAACGCTATGTCAAAATCAGGAAAGTTCCTTGAAATGAAAAACGTGAGGCTATCTCAGTTATGCAAGGATCTAACTAAGGAGGGCCTGGAGCTGGCAATTACTTACATGAGTGAAAAGCTTTATCCAGGTAAGCAAAATAATGCACACTTTTAGCAAGATTAGAGACTAAGCCCTTTCACTACCTCTTTACAAAATGCTACTGAATATGAAATGCAAAAAGCAGCTGAATTAGAAAGCAGAAGTTAAGAAATCACAGCTACTGGAGAGTTGCCTTCATTTGTGAATGTGGAGTAGTTCTGAAGATCCAACAAATATGAGCTCTGGGATAAAAAAAACCCAAAAGAACAAAGAGGAAAGAGTGAAAAATGAAGAACAGAAAGGAAATCACTATGCTTGTGCAATGGTTATGTGCTTATGTCTCAGACTATAGAGATCCATTAGTCCTTGGACAACTTACAGGGGCTGGACACAACTATACCATAGTACTACTTTTAAGAAGAGTGAGAAAATCCCATTTATTGCTCAAATCTACTGTTTTAAAATCCTGGTTCATTTGCTAGCAGTTCCATCCAAAGTCAGACAGGTCCCTTCTCACACAGTTAGATTATGGTGACTTTCTTCCTGTGATTTACTTATTCTCTCTGCAGTTGTTTAGTTTATTTGTAGACTGTCATGAGACTAAAATATATGTTGCCAATATGCTCCTGCTAACAGCTTCTTTTATTGAATCACACATTTTCCTGTTTGCTATAACGTGAAGGTATCATTCCTAATAAAAGTTGGTGCCTTTCTCTTCTTTGTCTAATGTAAGCTGCAGGTGTAAGCAGATGTCAGTGACAGCACTGTGACGGTACATGAAGATCTTATGGACACAGACTGCCACGGAATTGTGTAACTCAAATTATTTAGCCAAGCATCATTCTTCTGCTGTTTCTGCTGTCCTTAGCATGACAAGAATTTCTGCACTTAGTATTATAGACTTTGAAGCTATTAGTTCTTTTCTTTACACCTATCGCAAAATGTGTATTTCTCACAAAAAAACCCTCAAAGAACATTTCTGAAGAACACATATTTGCACAAGCAATGACTAACTTATAATAATACCAACGCTCACTAATCCAAACAGCGATACAGTGCCAAAGGGTTCAGATTAGTGAGACCTGTCCTTTTTCCTGGTTTCTCCATGACCTTGCACACAAATAGCAGTACCATAGAGACATACATACCATACACCTATATTTTCACCCCAAAGCCTTGAGCGAAATACTAGCTTACTTGTATAGAGGACATCTGGGCATATCCTCTCCAACTGAAGCTAGGAAATTCCTGAGGATCATAGCCAAACCGAATTTCCCTTCCCTTGACAGTAGTACCATCTTCAATCTCAAACTTCATGTGGTGCAGATCAGGGAAAAAATAGTTTTTTTCAGGCCTTTCAAGGAGGAGAAAAAACAACAAAGAATTACCAGTTGCTGTATGGTCTCCATCTAAGAGCATAAAGCAGTGGGAGGGAGGTGACTTTCTGGTGACTGAGGAATCCTGACAGCAGCTAATAAATTCAAGACAGCTGGTAAGATGGATGTAATGAGAATTCTCTTTCCAGAAGCTTTTACAGCTTACATACATTTTCTTATATACCTGTTGATAGATATATAGATACATATGCAATAGTATTGCAAAACAGGTATTGGTTATTTAAGGAAACAAGTTAAAAGATCTTATTAAAATAACAGAAGAAAACTGCCCAGCAAAATTAATATCAATAACTAATACAATTTATCAGCTTATTTATCAACAAATCCAGAACCTCACGTGAAAGGATAGCAAGGGAGTTGTGGGCAGTTTCAAAAGAACTGTGCTGAAGCATGAGCTATCGGGAGCTACAGCCAGACTCACTCCCGACAGTCCGTCCCCACGACGTGCGCCCTGCACTGGCAGCCACCCGAAGGCTCGGCACACGACGGGCTGAGGGATCCTCCAACATCACACCGGCAGCCTGTCACGCAAAGAGCAGAAGCCAAATATCTCATCAGAAAAAAAAGTGATAAAAGTTATCAGCAAACACACCACGCTTCCGCTAGTTAAACACCGTTAATGACTCGTTTCCTCCTTCCGGAGCCCTTCAGACTCCCCTCCCCTCAGACTCTTTCAAACACATGCTAACACACATGCATAAGCTGCAATTATTTCTGGCTTCCCATGTTTGTAGTTGTTTTCTTTATTTCTCCTTGGAATGTGACAAAAGCCACTTTTTAAAAAAAATCACAAGTAATAAGCCATGGCACATTACTAAATGCAGGACCACAGTTTTGCAGAACAGCCATTCAAACGTTTTGCTAATAAGTCAGAATTTCTAGAGCAATATCACGATGAATAATTATTAAACCCACCCCCCCAACCACTGCCCCCCAAAAACCCCAACTAACTTACAAAAATTGTAAGATGTTAATTTTTCAGAGTCTGGTATCCCAATATTTAATTTATCTTACAAATGTTGCACACAACAAGAACATATGTGTTCGTATAAAAGCATATGCATATTTTTAACCAATACTGGACAACAATATTGAATGACTTTCTACAGGAGACAGGACTTGTGGCACAAGCTAAAGGACACCTCTAGTAACGAGGTATAATATATCGTACTATGGAACAAGTATGTCTAGGCTAAAAATTTCAAGCTGAATTAAGATATTGAAAGTTCCTAAACATGTATTTACATCGTAGTGCAAAAGCATCCTGTTTTCTCAGACATGTTAAGCTCCTGTAACCTCACTGAAATCAAGGATAATTAAAGTATTTGACACTTTTGTGAAACCAGATCCTTTTCACTAGCTCCTTGGTTTGCACATTAGGCATGAAAGCTTGCTTTGATACAGTAGCCATTACTTTTAACTTTGCACATATTAAATGATTGTTAGAAGTACTTCAGTGCTTTAAAAATAAATCTCTTGCATCAACCATGGACAGGTGTAAGGCACACTGAAGTCAGTGAAAGTGCTTTCAATAATTTTAACAAACCTAAAGCTACAGTGGGGGGACAAAGAGGGGAGGGAACTGTTGAAGTAGCCCTACATCACTCAAAACAGATGGCAGAGCAAGTATCCTTCAGAAGAAGGACCACTTTCTCCACATCACAGCTACATCTGACTCTCTTCAAAACACATTGAACCCTGGGCTAAAGCAATACATGAACATACCTGCAAAAAAAAAAAAAAAAAAATCAAGCTAGTATTTTTTGTAACATTTTAAGTTTTTATTGCAGCAGCAGACCTTAGAAAACTGCTGCGCAGAACAGACAGCTACCGCTCCTACAGGTAACGTTTGCAGGAACGTCAACCATCCCTGGCCCCACAACTGGGGAGGAGGAGTGAGAGGAGGAATGACTCAGTTATCTTATTTGATAACAGCTTCAGCAGCGCCTCATGGAACCTCACTGCAGAGATTTGACAGAGAAGCCTCAGGCAAGTGGGGAGAGGTGAAGGACAATGAACTCAAAGAGTAACACCTTTCCTCACGTCAGCGAGCCACAAAATGGCTGGGAACCACAGTGGTAACATCTGCCTTGTTCCTTCTCCCTTTGGAAGGGAACGGAGGCATTACACGGGTTACGAACGATTACAAGCAGTAGTGCAAAACTCTGTGCACGCGAGTTATTCAACAAATACATCCACATTTTAAAAGTACAACCTAGGGAATTCTAAAGACTTTTGTGCTAAGTGCAAATGTGCTACTAGATATGTCCTTTATTCATTTTACCTTGGCAGCCAAAATAATTCTTGTTTTCAAGAGCATAATAACCAGCTTCACAAGTGTCACAGGAATCCCCACAAACATTAGATTTGCAGTAACAATGCCCGTTTTCCTGTGAAGAAAACAATTTCATCAAAAATGTTTCACCACCTTCTCCGGAACTTTAATCTTTCAATACTTGGAATTCCCTCTAATTCTAAAGAGGAAAAACATTCTAACCTCAACAAAAAATATTATCAGGACATAACTTCTGTCATTTATTGTCTTCAATGAACAGACTAGAAAATACATAAACTCAAGATGATGAAAAATTCTCAGAACTTTTATACATCCCTAGGGTGTATAAAAATTCTGTATAAAACTGCTTCTTTGCTGTATAAAACCAGCCACTTTATGTGCAAAAGCAATAATCAGTACTAAGATTTCTACCTTACCAAATGTTACAACAATTTATCTTTACAAAAATCAGTTTCATTAATGTATTTCTTTTAATTTCACTTTACCTGCTGACATTCTCCGACTCCACTTAGAGTTCCACTCACATCACACTGGCATGCTGCACAGATGAAAAAAAAGACAGTCTGCATTTTGTCTTTTTTCAAGATACTTTACAGGAAAAAAAACCCCACCACCCTGAATCTGCAATTTTGAATCATAGTGCCACAAGGTGGACTTTACTCTGCAAGGTTCAAGAATAGCAAATGGATACTAGCACAAGTTGAGAATGAAAAGTAAAGGAGAAAGAGTGAGAACTTCTGTATATGTGTGATTTACTGGTGTGTTTTGAAGTGTTCTAACTTGTGTTTAACACAAACAGTCTTGAGTTTGGATTTACAATTGTTTTCTTTCTTAGAAACATTCAGACAATTATTTCAAAACTGTGTCTCGCAGCCTGACTGGCACCTTCTATTCTGCAGTGCTACTTTGGGACCAGTTCAACTCTCCATATGAAATATAAATGAAGCAAATATGCAGAAAGGAGCTATGCTGACCTAGAGGTTTGGTGAAACCCAGTATTGACTCTGTGACTGAAGGCAGAGAAGATGAATTACATGAAAGGTGCAGTAATTAATCTTTGAGGAGATGTTTAGACTGTATAGTATTTAGAGATTTAGAGTCAAAGATGTAATGATCTAGGTATCAGCTCTAAGGCTACTCATCCTTTCTAGGTAGCTGTTGTGGTGGAACCTGTTGGAAAGGACATAGCTGGGGAGAAAAATACCTTTAAAGTTTTTTTACCTTTATCCTTTATTAAAAAGGATACTATCTGTCTGAAAAACACACACTCACTGTTAGCAAACACTGAAAATTGCAAACAGATTGGCATTATATGGACATAAACTATAACAGATTTGTCACACCCTGAAGCCACAAGAAGGCTTTTCACTCCTCTACAAGATAGGAGATGATAATAAATGAAAAAGCACCTTTTTCTTGAAACAATGAGCCAAATTCTGGTTTCAGTATTAAGGGCAGAAAACCCATCCCACTCCAGCAAAATTGCCATAGGGCCATATGAAGTACACACCATTGTAATTATTCAGAGCACACCTTGGTCCAGCACTAGCAAGCACTCATGAAATCATTTCTAAAAGTAACTGCTGGTATCGTGGGTAATTTGGTGTTACAATTAAGTAGCATTAAAAACATGCTGTTAACAAGAGTTGTGAAAGTCACTGAGCACTGAAGATGGCAACAGTGAACAAAGATGACTTTCAAGAGAATTTAACACATAATGTAAGCCTAAGAAATATGTCATGAAGCTGTACCTGTACATCCCTCAGGGTTTTCTTTGGCCAGCTTCCAGTACAATGGTTTGCATTTACTACAGGTAGGACCTTCAACGTGCTGAAGACATTGACAATAGCCCTAATGACAGAAAAGAGTTAATATGGGTTCATCTGTTTCATAAAAAACATACTGCTCTTTAGTACTAAGAAAAAACTAATACTATTAACAGCTCAGGCAGGTTACTGACTTTTACAGAAGCATAGAAACTGAGGCTGATTCAGACTTCTTAGATTTTTCTGTCTCATACTATCAGCACAGGATTTTTCCACCCTGCGTATTTTTTCCATACCTAGTTTATTCTAAATGTCCCAATGGATGTACTTTCCAATTCTTTTATAGTCTTATTAGAACTGCTCTAAAAAGTTGCAAAAAAGTTTAAAAAACAAATTTCCTTTAAAATAATCATTAATTTTCATACTTACTCTTTCCTTTACTGGTGGAAGACAGCCATAGCTGTATACATGAGCCTAAATAGATACCTCTTCCATCTGTCAGACTTACCCTCTGCGTCTTCTTTGCTACACATTTAGCAATGATTGTGATTTCTGATAATATGCTACTACTAATAACCATCACTGTATTAATAACAATAGTAGTGGAATAGCAACAGTTACAAAGAGATAATAATTTTTTCAAGAATACTTTGATGCTGAAAAGGCCTGTTGCGACCCAGAACCAGAAAGTCTTTGAGACTTGCATAGGCTTATATGCATATCTGCATGTATATATTAGTGTTCCAGCACACCAAGAAGACATAAACAGTATGCATAGTCTATATACAAGAGATAAAAAAACCCCACCCTCAACAGCTAATTGCACTGGTATGATCAAAGAACAAAACACAAAGTTTATTTCCACTCTTACTCTGCAAATAAGCTTGTGCAATTCTTTCAGTCTAAGAGCAGGCTTCAGGACTTGAGCAATGAAGTGAATGTGTTCAGCAAAGGCACATGAATTATTAACACGTACCGTTAGCTGCAGCAGTAGAATACTTACGGAATGAGAACCAACACTACCTGAAGGGTCACATTCACTGTTGACACCTTTATGAAATTAAAAAAAAAAACACATTGAAAGATCTTTTGAAAACAGAGCTGCAGAATGTAGTAGTACAGAAGTACAATGCAGCAGGTAACAGTATGAAAGGGCTATTTAACACGGTTACCTTGGAGGGACTCAAACACTTTAAACTTCAAGACCAGCAGAAGACTTTAATAGTGATTTTTCAATGTGTGTTTAGCCTGGTTTAGACTATGCAAAGGTTTGGTACACAAAGTAGTCACTTGGAAAACTATAGCACTAACCTACAGAACTGAGAGATGTTTTCTTAAAGTTGCTGTGCCATCGTCTAAAAAAGGTTTTAATCTTATAGTTCACTTCATGAAATAACATACAGAATGACAAATAAGCTCATCTAATACGTGCTCCTGGTGTGTCCCTCCCTCCCCATGCTTCAGGGGGTTTCTATAAAAGTTTGCACACAGCAGAGTGCCCTGGAGTACCCTGCAATAGAAACGGGGGCAATTCAAATCAGAATGGAGGATTTTTCCCTCAGAAACATTACCTTTGCAGTTGGGGAAACTGTCAGCTGCAGAAAGGCATCTGTCGCACTGTCGCCCCGTGATGCCCGTTTGACACTCGCACTGCCCCGACGTGGGATCACACGTGCCGTGCTGGGAACCGTCGGGAGAGCAGCGGCAAGCTACGTAACAACAAACATAGACAGCGGTGGGAGGGTTCACCCTGTAGGTACCAAGCAACAACCTTCCAAATCTTTAGTACTGTAGAGGTTTTGAATACTATTTGTCTAGAGTGTCCTTCACTTTTACTTCCAATAAACAGCTCACAAGGTCCTCCTATAACTCGCAGGGTCCTCACCCCTGCTTGGAACCTATGAGTTTCAGGTGACCTGTACCAACTTGACATTGTTTTCTTTGTTCTTAACAGAAACAGGTAGGATTATCTGGAACCGCAATAAATCTCTCTTCCTCAACTTCTTTGTCCCATCCTAAGAGCAGGCTTGGTTTTGGCTTTCTCCTTTCTTGATCTTCCCATGGTTACAGAAAGCACAGGGCAAATTCTGTAATTAGACCTGCACTTAAAAATATGATGGCAAAATACAGAATATAAAATTGTATGCCCATCACACCTTTAGAGGTGAGGGCAAAGGAAGCCAGAAGCAAGCTTTGAAATACACCATGCAACAGTCTTACTGCTTCAGATTCCTGCGTAAGGTCTCAGTTGTGCAATGATCTACATACACAGGGTCAATAAGAATAGTGCTACAAAAAAACCAATGCTGCTGCAGCCCAGGGGACTAATCTTTGCTCAGATAGAGTCTAAGGGTGAAATGGTTAATGACAATTATTTTAGTAAAGTAGTAGCCAGTCTCCTAAAGAGAGAGGACAAACCTGCCAGATTATTTTTTGCTGTGGTTGTGGTGATTAGTAATGGCAGAATTCTGAGGATACATTCCTTCTTTAGCACTAATAATCTTTTGATTTCTAGGAAAGAGCAGTCCTGTTCATGATGACCAAGTAGCTTGCTGATTTTAGTGATAGAGAGCAGGTTTCCCTCTGCTTGATGTGAAAAACCTACACACGTTCTAAGCCTAATCAACTGATCCACATGGGCAGGAAAAATTGTTGATATGATGGAAGATTTGCAGAGTTAAGCCCTTCTAGACTAGGATTTATGCTGTAACCTTGGCACATGTCAAGAGCACACACTAACGCACTTACTTAAAAGTTTACAGGACAGTGTATCAAATATTAGAAGCCCAAACCAGTTGAAACATAGCTTATGTTCTGTAATTTGAGTGAGCCAGAACACATAAAGGTAAATTCCCATTGCACAGCCTAAGCTTTAGATTCCATATTTTAAAAGAGAGATACAAGTGCACCAAGGCCAAACATTGCCATGCTCACATTAATCCAACTAGCACAGGAACAGCGGTGATGTGCCAGGCGGGACTACCAGAGTGTGTGCCTGCCAGGAAGCCTGGCCACTGCCTGGATCTTCAGTGTCACTGTTGCCAGCTTTGGATGGAACAGAACTATCATGGTTACATAGATAGTTTTACATGGAAATATATTTGAGAAAGTTTATTTTCTTCTCTATTGCAGAAATAAGAAGGGAACCCCAGTAAAAGGAGCAAAGGCATTTACTCACGCAAGCAGCTGGGATAGCTGTAATAACCTGGAGCGCACTGGTCACATCTAAGTCCAGCATAGTTGCTACGGCACAGACACTGACCTCTAGGACCACATGTATTCTCCACTGAGCCGACAGCATCACAGTTACATTCTGCATAGAGAAAAATAAATAATAATTATCCTGACAGATACATGTCTCAACCAGCAGTTATTTAAAACAGAATTTGCCAAAAAAGTTACCTTTGAATGTAAAGCAATCATGAGGTAAAACCATAATTTTACCACCAAAAATAATTATCCTGAAATAGATGCTTATACTGTAATTGCATCCTCAACCATTGATAATCAGGTTCTTACTGCAATTCTATAATGTACAGTTTAGAGATTTAGTTTGATGCCTCGCAAAATACACGTGTAAGGGACAGAAATCCATCTTACGATGAAAAGAATGTCACATGAGAGAAGTACTTAACATCTTTAAAAAAATAACCTCTGAGAAACAGCATCTACAAAGCTAGGCTAGGTCTAATGGCTAACAACACACTTATTAGTAATGATGCACAAGCACAAGTTCATGGTGCACAAATAAATGATGCACAAGGTAAAAACTGCTGACATCTTAATTTCACAAGCTGGCAAGCAGTGAATTGCAGGAATCTGCATGTAATACATAAGGCACGTTGTCAGACTATAACAAAAGCTATTGTCAGACTATAACAACAAACTTCTCTTGGAGTTATCACTATTTTATGCTAACAGTTCTATCACAGATAAGACATGCTATTTTATTGAAACAATGCTGGATGTTACACAGGGTCACACTTTATAGGTACATGAATGGGAGCCCATCTGGGAATCCCAGCTGCCCAAGGTACAAGCCAACGTGTTGCAGTTAATCACTTGGATTTTATGACTGACAGAAATGGCTGACCAACGGAAGTATAAAACAAACACTGTCTTTCCATTCCATGTTCATGTTCCTGGTTACCCCTTTCGGTTCCTCTTTCTGCTGCAGCCAAGGACATCTGACTTTGCTGTGTTTACTTCAAAGACGCCTGGAAAGACGCAGGGCTTGCTAGGAAGTTAGTATAAGAGGAATACAAATACTGAAGCTTCCAAAAACATCACCTACACTAGAGTCCACCCCCAGCTGAGCATTATATTGCATTCTCTCCTCATTTTAATAATACTGATTTGTTTAAAAGCTTTATTTTGATATCACTCCTATTGAATAAAGCTTCTATTGAGTTCAATAAAGCAAGACCAGAGAGATCAGTTCTAGCTGCAGCAGCCAAAAAGTTATAGATCTACCTTCCTTCTAAAGATGACAACTCCAAACAGGAGTTGCAGGCTGGGCTGCTCACTTTCCACCACAGTTTGCAGCATGATACGTTAGTTTAAGTTTAAACCTGTGGCAGCTTATTTTAACAGAACAAGTTGTGAACTGCAGCAGTTTTGAGTAATCCCACTGACTGTGTTTTCAATTCTTTTTATCTGTCTTTTACAATTTCTTTTTGCATGCTCTTTTAAGGTCTTACGTCTCTTTTCAGCTTTTGGTGTTGAAAGTTCAAACGTATTCAATATGGGTTTGATTTGCTTTAATATTGCTACCTGATCAAGTTCTAAGAAAAAAAAAATATGGTTAGAGTATTTTAAAACCACTGAACAGCATGTACCAACACAGAATCCTGATTTTATGTTTCTCATTAAAAAACGTTCATCTACTCCAGACCATAAAACACAGTCACGTGGTATTTCTTTATTCCACCCATTGTGTTTGGTAACACAACATAATATATCCTTGCAAGGGCATAAAGGAGTCTGCTGTCTATTCATAGGATGTAAACAAGTACGTAAGCCCAAAAGGAAAAGGACTGCTATAGCCAACAACCAAAAATAATGAGAGAGAAGAAAGTAAATCGTAACGTTCTATATGAATCTTGCTAAGCTGTACAGGAAAGTATATACTAGAACTCAGCAATACCCTATATTCTTTCTCACTGTAAAATTCACTAAGGATTAAGGGCCTCTCTCTCACTCACTGCAAAGGCAGACGAAACCTAGGAGCCAGATCGGACTTGATGGATTCCTCATACACACCCAAAACCATTATGATATTCAAGGTTATACTTCATCAGTGCTGATCAATTTTCCTCTCTTGTAAAAGGCAGGCTAGTCCTTGGTGGCAGGTACACTGGTGAAGCCCTGTGGAGATCATTTATGTTTCATGATTACATGAACAGAGGTTGGCTCTGCGCCTGTTGTATGATCTTAAAGTGAGTGAGAAATCACTGTGAAGGGCAAAATGGGAGCTTCTCATTTTCAGATTTACAGGACACACCTTTTACAAGGTACCAGAAGAAGACCCTCTGCTAAAGTAAATTAGTGCTTCGCAGCTCCACTATGCCAGTTCCGTAGCAGTCAAGCATGCTCTGTTGTTGTAGGTCTCCATGTGACAACAGCTTTCAGATCCTTTGGTTATCCGTAAGACAGCTGTGCTGACTGAGGCTATATCAAACCATCTGACCATGCAAAAAAAAGCCTGTCAGAAAAAGACTATATAATTCTTTCCTACTATGGAAACATGCCTGGAGTTAGTGCTTGGAGAATGAGAACGTATGAGGATTTCACTGTAGAGAACAAGAGTCCCTTGCTCATTTATTGCTGTGAACATTGCTTCAGCCACTGCAAAAAGGGTATCTGAAAAGCACTCCAGTCTGCCTGTTCGGGGGCCTCTTTGATGCTGTACATGCGACCGGCAGCCTTACCTGGACAGGCAGGGAAAGAGTGGTGGCCAGGCTGACAGCTGTCACACTGAAGTCCAGCCACCCCAGAGCGACAAAGACACATCCCGAGAAAATCGCAGACTTCAGGCTGGGTACCCGCCACATTACATTCGCACACTGCAAACAAGAAAAGACATTTCAGAGGCAGCCTCTGCACAGGCTCTCTTCTTTTATCTTTCTTTAAATAAAAAAAAAAAAAGAAGAGAAAAAGCAACTCCCTGATGCTCAACAGGACCCAAATCCTCCCATCAGATTTGATTCACAACAGCTTTTATTGATTGCCCACATCAGTAGTAATTCAGTATCGAGAGAGACATTAATGGAAGAGCAAAAGAGTCTGGCTCAAAGTGACTACTGGGTCCGGTATCAGTGTTGCAGCGCTACACTTAGCCTGTCCCCACTCAGAGTCTGATTTATTGATGCCAAGTGGTATGCCAGCTATTGAAAGTAGTTCCATCCTTTTTTAAGACTAAAATGAAACAATTTATGGTTTTGATTTACAATCTCAGGTGGGAGGCGTTAATAAAATGCCTAAAAAGACAGTGCAGAGATGGTTAATAAAGTTTAAAACCAGTCAGTTTTCTAGTATTGATTAGAAAGGGCAGCCTGGCGCATCAAGTGAGGTTGCAAACTCAAATTAAACACAAATATTTTTTTTTAAAAACAAGGATAAGTAACAGAAATATTCCCAAAGATATTCTAAATTTCATCATTGTTACTAAATCCAACTCCAGACTGGAGTCTGACAGCTACATCACACAGCAGATGGCAATGAAGAAAACAGGGGCATTTTTAAACAGAAATCTCCCCTCATCATGTTTTTCTTCTTCTTCTTCGATTTCTGTGATTTTTGGGAGAGACCCTTATGAACACATCTCCGTGGCAAAAGAATTTCATCCCTCAGTATAAAACTTGGGTCTGTATTTTGGATACACTTGCTGAAACGGAATGTTTGGCTTACCCTGGCAGAAGGGGTAATGAAAATACCCAGGTGCACAGGTATCACAGGAAAACCCCTGAAATCCAGTTTGACATCTGCACTGTCCAGTATGTACATCGCAGTCACCGCCCAGCACTCCTGCACCGTGACACTGGCATGCTGAAGAGCACATTTGTAAAGAAAATATTTGTGGCATTACAATCTTAAAGTTCCTGTTTCACTTGGAAGCCGAAGGCTGGCATTTATGCCAGCGCGCAGGCTCCAAGCATCAAAGAAACTACGGCACTTACACAGACACTGGGGGCCAAAATACCCTGGTTTGCAGCCATCTTCGAGTTACAAAAGGAAAGGGAAAGAAAGAAAGGAACGAAGTTAGTGCATAAAATCATGCAACTCCTCGTATTTTGCAGAGAAAAACAGATCAGTGCTTAGTAATTATTACTCTTGAACCGACGAAATTATCTGTATGACCCTTAAACGCAAAACTCATTTAAAAAAATAATAATCTGTAATAGAGCTTAGTCTGTCAGCGCAAATTTACAACTTCTACAGACACAGAAGCTTCCACTTAGAGGCAGCTGCCTTTCTTATGCCTTCAGACTCAGATGCTACTCAATGAAAATATAAATAGCTCAAGATCTGTTTTCTCCTGTTCATTTTTATTCATTTTACTTTGGAGTTTTCTTTCTTCTTCTTTTTAAAAATATACGATAGAAGGGGATATACGACAGAGCACACCCAGAGGTCTGCCAGGGCAATTATTTTGGATGCTGGACGAAGGAGATAAGTGGTACAGGAGTCTGAGGCTTTGTGGGCTGTGACGCAACTGCAGACACTTTCAAGAAAACAATTGGGACTTGTAAATACATACATGGATTTGTACTGTCTGCTTATATCTAAGTGTCTGCTACATTCACAGACAAAAACACTTTTTCATTTTCATAAACTCCAGTTCTATTAAAGCTATTAGAAATAAAGGGGAAGAATGTTGATTTTAGGATACAAAAAAGGGTTTGAGGTTTTTTTAAAGTTATTAATCCTGAAGTATGTATGTGCTTATGCACTAGCTGTGATGATGTCTCCATTCTGCAGGATAATAATATATACTAAAAAGTATAAGCCCACTGAGGGAATAATTGTATGGATTTCAGGCAGCTTTGCAGTGGGCTAAATAAGAAATATGTAGCTCGCTCAGAAATCAAAGTCCTTCACTGCCAAGGGCAATGTACAATTTGCCAGGTGCAAGGGGACAGTCCAGAAGCAGAGGCCAGTTAGCCTTAAGGAAGAGATTTACACCGCAATGCAGCTGACAAGTTGTACATGTCAGAAAGTCTTGATGGATATGTTCATAAGAGCACCAAACAAGACGGTCAGCCTCTTCTGCAGATGTTTGCCGGAGGCTGGTCAAATATATTTTGATCCATAACTCTTCCTGAAACTAGCCTACTAAACTGTTTAATACAAACATGACAGTAAAATGAACTTCTGGCAAGAATAAAAGCTCTCTGAAAGACAAATACCAACAGTGGCAAAATTACTACATAAATCTCCATGAAAGACCAGGCACCACCAAAACAGCGAACAATAGCAACACAGGGAAAAACAGTGAAATGGGGGGCCGGGGTGGGGGGTGGGGGGACCACCAAGAACTTGCCGATTATGTCGCCAGCCATAGCATCTCTTGGATTGGGAGAAGTAAAAGGATATACAGGAATACCTTTAAAACAAAAGAAACAGTGAAGTGTATTTGAAACAGACACATTTATTTCATTATGACAAACAATGAAGTCATCTCCTGTCAATACAGAGAGCATGATATTCGCATGACTCTAGTAACCAACTTTGGCTTAGTTTTCTTTCAGTTAGGAACAGGATAAGAAACATTTTACTTTTGATCTCCAATTCAGGTACAGACATCCCTTCTCAAAAGAACAGTATGAAAGCCCAGACACCATTTGGAAATGCTACCAGGTTGCTTCCCTGCTTCCTACCCTTTTGTACAGAAAGCTTTCTCATGCTAGACAGTGTATGAGAGCTATCTAGGGAGCTCCGTATTTATTTCACGTTTTCTGCTTCCAGCTGAAGGTCCATCTCCTGCTATTTAGCATTATCACTCGCTGCCTGAACTGCCAGAATTCATGACGTGTGTGGTACATCTGAGGAGCTTTTTATCTGAGAATCTTTCCAAAGTTGATGAGCTACAAACATCAGTGGGACTTAGAACAAGGTCCACCTGAGCTGAACTTACTTAAAAATGTTGGATTACAAACAAGAGGATACATGAGGTGTCATAATCTAGAATGCACTGTACAGAGAGGATTTATTCTAACAGAGCCATTGAATTCAAACAACATTCAATTTTTTACAGTTTTTTTCCTTTGTTTTGTATTATTTCCTTCTTCCATTTTTATCATGGTACTTCTCTTTTAGTCAGACCTCAAATCTTGCCCCAGAACAACACCTGTTTTAGTAACTGCCAGAAACATACTTCTCCTGAGGGCACAAATCATCCCACTGATGCATTTTTAGAATCCGATCATGGAGCTTTTATGTGGCAAACACAATCCTGATGTTGCATTTTCTTCCCAGGTATTTTATATATAATTTGTTTATGGGGAAAGCATTTAATTTTCTGAATTCCCAGCACTTAATATGAATGTCCTTATTTTAAAGTAAAAATCTAATTTTCAATTAATCAATTGCATTAGATAAATGGAAGCACTCAGCAGTTTTGTGTCACATCATTTTTTCTAATGTGTTTATTTTCTTTGGATTTACAAACAGCTTTCCTTCAACCACTTCTTAAAAAAATCTGAAAAAACCTGGAACCCTTTCTTCAACAACATATCTGCACCTACCCACAGTCCAGCAAAAAGAAGAGAGCATAGCTGAGAGCCTTAAGCTCTGCCAGGAGGACCTTTCCAACATTACACAGGCACTATTTTAGAATTACTCTTATTTATGTTAGAATAATCTTTATTTATTTTAGAATCCTCTGCAAGCCCACAAGCTTTGTTTATCAGGGATGCAAGTTCCAAATCCTAGGAGGTGTCAAGGAGAACACATAACCATTTTCTCCCCTCTCTCTCACTACAGTCATGTTCCATTTCCCAGTCCAAGCGGTCTTTATGCCTAAAGACCCTGAGATACGTTTGAACAATTTGTCCAGGGCTTTAGAACTGAAATTCATGACTTACGGAGACATAGGCGGTAGCCTCTCTGAAGATGTCTTAAATTAACTCAGAATTGTGAGAATGCAGCACAATCTATTTGATTTTCAAGTAAACATTGTTTTGTAAAGTAAACAAGACTCTCTTCAGTATTATGACAATTGATTTATGAGAACATGTAAACATGTGAAGCTGAAATGCCAGATGTTTTAACCAAGTCAAGTGTCATGAAAACAGCTAATTCTTTAATGAGCATTTAAAATAAAGGAAGAGAGTCATTTTTATTTGCATACTTACGGACACAAAATGGATAATCATAGAATCCATCAGCACAGCGTTCACAGTTTTCTCCCTGGAAATTCTGCTTACAGAAACAGCGGCCAGACCCTTCCTCACAGCCCTCTGCACGCTCCGAGTTACAACTGCAGGCTAAGTAAGTATCAGCAATTAGGCACTTTTTGGAAAATAGTTAATTTGCCTTTTACAGCAGTGTACTATGGCATTATAATAGCATCACATTCGCAGTTGTGTATGTCTCATTATTTAAAGAATTAACATTTGCATACTGTCTCATATTTTCCAAGTACTCTATATCACCAATTAATATTTGTGATATCCCTTAGAAGTAAGGCCTATATTATTTTCTTAGAGTCTTTAATTTTTTTTAATTCAGAAAGCTGCATGTTATACTCCACAGCACTGCAGCAACTATCTTTTCTGTGGCTTCTGCTCATCTCTCTCCGAGGTCTAGGCTAAGTACCACGCTCCATCCACCTTCCCTTATACATCACGTGCAACATTACGGCAGCACACCACAGTTCTGTTGACTTTCCATTCATTTCAATACCCAAATACAGCAAACCATAGTTTCCTCCTACCTGTCACAAGGCTCCTTCAGCCTGTGTGTAATCCAACTCTTATCTCTTGCCTATACTCAGTTCTTCCTTTTTAAATGTTATATTAGTAATTATCCTATTGCATTATTTATTAGATGTTAGGTTCAGCATTGCATAAAGCAGGAGTAGTGAACCTTGCGACCTTTTGAGCTATAGAATAAAATTTTTACGTGACCAAGAGCCAAAGGATACCTCACATGTACATCAGAGAGCTAAGAGAAGCAAGGTCATGGGGGTAGGAGATGAGAGTGGCTTCCTAGAACTCATGCCAGCTCACTGTGGGGTATGTAGCAGCACCCCAGGCTTACGTGACCCTATCTCCTCAGCAGCCTTTTCTGCCTTACTTCCTCCTATTGTCCTGCTGCTGGTCTGAAGCTTTAGGCTCATATGACACATAAGTTAAGAAGCGTGTAAAAGGGTCTAAAGCAACACAGAAAGTCATTTGCAGTTGCTCTCCAACATCTTTTGGCCACTCTTTCATTTTTCCTCCCCAAAAGAGGCATCCCTTGCCATTATAGCAAAAAAAAACCCCAAGCCACTACCATGAGAAGATGCTTAATGGAGAAGGACTCACGTATACAGCCATCAGGAGCTCTCGCTGGAACACCATAAGGACGATAGTAACCTCCTGCACACTTCTCACAGTTAATACCAGCTGTGTTATGCTGTGCAAAATAAAACAAAAGGAGAATATGAGATAAAAAGGGGAACTTGGAAGAATTAACATACAATAAAATCCTTTACACTGTTTCTATAGGATCAGCACAGGAAAAAAGTAGAATATGACTGCAATAAAGACAGCATTCATCATTTGCTGTTCTTTAATCACCTGTTCTGTACAGATTTCTTTATCACTATATTCTCACATAAAGCAGATGAATTTTATCTTTAAAGCATGATAAAAAAGAGCTGTTTTAACAAAAAAAAATTAAATCTAGGAAAAAAAATCTGTTTTCTCTATCATGATATTTATCTCTTTTCATACTATTTTCTTATCATAACGTATACACTGTTCAAGCAAATGCATCATTCATTTTTCCTCATACTATATATTGCTCTTCTGAATACCCTATGTCTAAGATTGTGCAGCAAAGCTCTGCTCCGCGGTGATGCAGCAGGAGCACACAGCAGTGGTGGCACATACCAGTTGAGTAAATCACAGTCACGAGGCATCCTGGCGAGCTCGTAGTCTCTTGAGCAGGGAACTGGAGAGGGAAGCTTTGTCCTGGAGCAACCAAAGCAGCTTCCCCCAGCTCCCACTCACTGTTTAGTTCCTCCTTAGGGAGTGTTGCAATTCAGGGCTGAGCAGGGACCCAGCATTTAGCGGAAGGACTGGTGGGGCAGTTCATGAGCAGGGCACCCAGGAGGCTGCTGGGGCTGCTGCTCGTGGTTGGCGCTCTCAGTTTGCGCAGCAGTTTTGGGTTCTGCTTCCAGCTCTGCTGGGAGCCTCCTTAGCATCTTCAGATCTGAGCTACTGCTGGGAAAGGCTGATGCTAGATCAGGGAGGGTGATGCTCACATCGCACAGTGGACGGAGACACAGCAGTTGTTGCAGCACTTAGCATTGCAGGAGAACAGAGGGGCCCAGCATCTCTGCTCAAGGCTGTGCAGGGCTACTTGGACATTGCGCAGCGTTGGTCTCAACACACTGCAGGGCATATTCTTCAGAGACTACTGGTGCTAACTCCTGTGACACATCAGAGTCTCCACCCCAGACAGCTCCAGGAGGTGGATGCCACTGTCCAGGTCTGAGGCTATAGAGAGTGCCTGGGCCTCTCCCTGGGGCTCGGGGCAGGTGATGAACCTGTGCAGAGCTTGAGGGTAAGGGTCAGAGGACAGACCAGCACAGCTGATATTGCAGTAGGTGTCTGTTACCTGAGCAAGAAGGCAAATGAAGCCTTCATTAGGGAACTAGACAAAGCTTTGTTACTCACAGATGACTTTAACCACCTGAGTATCTGCCAGAAGGGCAATGCACCTGGGTGCAAGCAATCCAGAAGTTATTTCGAATGTATCAAAGACAATTTCTGGATGTAGAGGTTCATGAACCAGTTAGGGGAGATGCTCCATTCAAACTGACACCCTCTACCAAGGAAGAACATGTGAAGGTTGAGGGCAGCCTTGGCTGCAGTGACCCCAAGACTGTGGATTTTAAGCTGCTGAGACAAGTAAGCAAGACACATAGCAGAATTACAGTCCTGGGCTTCAGAAAAGCATATTTTGGCTTGTTCAGGTATCTGCTTGGCGAGATCCTGTGTGAAACTGCCCTGGAGGGGAAAGTGGACCAGGACACCTAGTTGATTCTCACGCGCAGCCTCCTTAGAACAAGAACAGTGCTTTCCAATGTGCCGAAAGTCAAGCAAGTATGGCAGAAGGCCAGCACAGATAAATACAGAGCTCCTGATTCATCTCAAACTCAAAAAGAACGTACATGGAAGGTGGAAGCAGGGACAGGCTACTTGGTGGCAATACAAAGACACTGCCCACACATGTAGGAGTGGAGTTAGGAAAGCCAAAGCTTAGCTAGAGTTAAAACTAACAAGGGAAGTGAAGTGCAAGAAGACAGGTTTCTAGGAGTACCTCAGCAGCAAAAGAAAAGATAATGGGAGTAGGGGCCCATTGCTCAGTGGGGAAGGAGATCCAGTGAGCAAATCGTCTTAGAACACACGAAGGACAGGAAGGTAATTGGACGTATTCAACGTAAATTTACCTAGGGCAAAGTATGCCAAATCAACCTCATTGATCTCTGTGGTAAGATGACTGGTGATGTGGACAAGGGGCAAGCAGAGCCACCAAGATGGTGAGGGACTGAAGCACATGACATCCAAGAAGAGGGTGAGACAGCTGTGTCTCTCCAGCATTAAGAAGAAAAGGGAGAACTTACTGCCATGTACAACTGCCTGATCAGAGGATACAGAAGGGATGGAGCCAGACTCTTCTCAGAGGTGCACAGCAATTGGATGACAGGAAACAGGCACAGATTGGAACTTGGAAAATTCCAATTAGGTATTAGGGTAAAAAATTTATCATGAAGGTGGTCAAACACTGAAACAGGTTGCCGTGAGTGGTTGTGCAATCTCCGCCCTTGGAGGTGTTCAAGGCTTGACTGAACAAGTCCCTGAGCAACGTGATCTAATTAGACCTGCTCTGAGTAGGGGGTTGGACTAAGTGATTTCCAGAGCTCCCTTATTATCAGACTCTAAAGAAACTGAATCTATCTTTGTATGCAACATTTCAATTCTATCACTTCTTTGTTCAGGCATCCATTCCTAACACTTTTTTCCCTGACACAAACAGAAAAAGTAAATTAAAATCCATATGCTTTATCCATGAAAAAAAATGCTATAATTAGATTTATGGTAAACTCATTTAATCCAGCATAACTTCCACAAAATTAGGTTACAAACAATTAATATCAGTCATATAACCAGGACTCATAGATTTAGATTAATTTTGCTCTTTTCTATCCTGGAAGCAATATAAGAGAAATGTTCTTTCATGAACAAAGAGCTGACAGGAAGGACCAACATGATAAATCTTACCAGACTTCATGAACAAAGTTCTGCACAAAAATGTAAATTCGAAGACAAAGAACATTTCTTCTACTCATGCTAGTAAAAATTACTCTCTTCTGACTGCCTTTTGCACATTATCTGATTATATTGTGGCAATAAGATGGAAAATATACCCTATAAATGTTACTGGTTATTTCCTTTTTTTTTTGTTGTTCCTTAAATACAGCTATATTTTTAAATGCACAGCATGGTAATATATAAATCATGATGCATAGGTTTCATAGGAACATAGGCTTGATGATAATTTTCCCTCTGAATTACATTCTGGTCAGCTGCTTGTCATCGTACTTCAGATGACTTGACAACAAAAGGAAGACAGACTTCCAAATAAGTCTGGCTGTATTGAACCCTGAGATCACTGAACCAATGAATAATTCAGGTTGTAAGGGACGTCAGGAGGTCAGGTGGTTCAGTCCCACTCAAAGCAGAGATAAGTCCAAGATTAGATCAAGTTGATCAGAGCCTTGTGTGATCTTTCCTGATAGTAATTAGCCAGAGTAGAACAAAAGTTACTCAGGATGAGAGACATTCTTTCTCTTTCCAAGAACACGTTACCCATTTATGACAGATACAGTGTAAAGTCTCTGATTCCAAACATACATTTGTTGATTCAATCCCACTGAGCCTGTAAGACAGTTATGGGGCTGGAGCATGTGACATCTAAGGACAAACTGAGAGAATGGCTTTGGCTGGCTTGGAGAGGAGATGTTCAAGGAGGGTAGAGGTACCTAGTGGCAGTTTTCCTCTACCTAAGAGTGGGTCACACAGAAGACAGAGCCAACTCTTCTCAGACATGCACAGCAAAAGGACAAATGCCAACTGTCACAAGTTGCAATTGGGGAAATTCCTACTGAATAGTAACAAAAATCTCTTTACCATGAGAGCAATTAAGTGCTGTAAAAGATTACCCAGAGTCTGTGTAATCTGCATCCTCGGAAGTTTTCAAAACTCAGCTGGACGTTTCTCAGTGCAACCTGATATAGCTTTGCATCTAGCCTTGGTGTGAGTGGAGCACCAGTCTAGCTGACTTCCAAAAGTCCCTTCTATGATTCTGTGCTTTTTCAATACCTATAAGCTTCCTTCTTGGTATAGCCTATGCCCTCCTTTACTTCTGCCGACGAGGGAGAACCCTCTGTGTTTTGCTGCAGTAAGGAACCAGCTGGCCTGAGCTGGAATTTTATTTGGTTACTTTTACTTCCTTCTGTTAAGCAGGGTAATGGCAGAGTTTGTAATAACAGGAAAGAGAATTTCTGTAGTTGATTTAATTGTCGCATTGTGTGGCTTTATTTGAATCACACAGGACTGAGCATAAATACAATTTATATGTATCTTTTATACATTAACAAGCAATGTTGTACAATGTAAATTATTTTCAGACACCTTTTTTCCGGCTTTGAGTACAAATAACACCACCAGAGAAATGGAGCTATCTAGACTGATCAGCCTCCAAACTATTAGTGTGGACACAGTCCCACTTCAGCAGCCCTTCTTCAAATATCACTTATTTAAACTGACCAAAATGACCTTTTTACCTGGCAATTAATGCAGACTCCTCCACCTTCATAATGCCCATGGATGTTTAAGCTTTCTCGACAGCGATCAACATCAGCATCATAGTAGCAATCAGTGGCATGTCCATGGCAATTGCAGGCTAAAAAAGTAATATTGCAAGTCAGCTTTCCTTATAATGCTGGAATTCAGTAATGTAGCAGAGGTGAAAAAGAAGCTAAGATTTTTTTATGTATACATACACTCAGGTATGTTTGAGTATGCTCAAATGCACATATTTACCTGTCAACAACTAGATTTTCATACTAGAAACATGGTAAGATCATGTAGACATGAAGAAAACATGCTGCTAGGCTTATCAGAGGAGGCTACAGTTGTACCATCTCAAAACTATATATTTATGCATAAATGCAGAACTAGGAAGCTCCAGAAGAATAGTCTCAGCAGTTTTTAAAAATTATCAAAAACATGTTCAAATGCTTACTCTATTTTTCCACGTCTAAAAAATATACCTGGGCTGAAGCTGTATGCACTAAATCTTTATTTAAAATAAACAATTATATATAAGATATACACATTTGAATAAAAAGATCTACACCAAAGAACTCTCATACTCAGCCGTAGATACAGATATACCAGCAAACTTGGCTATACATTTAGCCAGCTGCTGTCTTCTGAATGGAGAAGTTTTAAGTACAAGTTCATTCTATTTCCTGAGAATTGTGGATTCAAAAAGAAGTATGGTATTAAGAACAATAATACCACAACCAATAATAATATATTATTATTATTATCTAGAAAAAGATAGAATTAGGTGACTGAGATAACTCATTTCCCCAGTGTATGGTTGTTTATAGTCTCAGCTGTGATAAATTTACTTTAGGTGGCTTGTGGTTAGCTCCTTTCCTTTTCCCTTCTGTTAAGCCAAACAAAGGTAACAGCTGAACGCACAGTGGCTCTGAATCCATCTCTCTACATACATGTTCTGCTACACTTTTAACTCCTTCTGACAGATGTTAATATTGCAGTGCTCAGAAGAGATTGAGAGATACCTGTGAGGCTTTGCCTGCAGGCACATCAGCCTCTCAGATGCCTCAGCCTAGGAAGTTCGCCTATTGAAAACATCTGAGATACATCCACTGATATATCCACCTGTGGCCTTGTACACTCATCAGCTGGCTTCACCAATCTCCTTACATCAAGGTGGGAGACCTAAATCCCGAAAAGCCTTTGCTGTTTTACCTGTGGCAAAAAGGCCTAGCAATATAAATCCCAGAGCCAGCCCAATGTCTATGCCTTGCTTGCAGAAGAGAATTAACCTGAAAAACAGCTCCGCACTTTGAATAGTTCCTGCAAATACAGTTTGAGTAAAGGGTGATGGATTTACCCAGAAAATAATTTATCTAAATTGCTATAGATCAGTTACTTGTATCTCATCTTAGTTAAAACTAATCTCTGCCCATTGGTCGTGTAAAGCTCTGCCTGTCTCCACTGAAATCTTCTAGAACAATAATATAATTCTGAGTAGGAACCAACCATAATAGCAAGCAAACAGAATAAATCAAAGGACAGGACCATGGTTTTGCCATAAACTCATTCTATGATGTCCTTTTTTTTCTGATCCTAACTTCTTTCCTCACTGGAGAGGAACAATGGGAATTTTTTGAAAGAATGCAGGAAGCAAAAAAGGCTTTCCCAAGCATATGGGTGCTAGGTGAGCTTTTAATTACAGATGTTCCAGCACTCCAGGGAAACCTTCCCAGGAAATTCCTGAAGTTTTGACTTCATAAAGCTATGATTTCATGTTTAGGGAAATCCCTAAGGACTAGAGGAAATGGCCTCAAGTTGCGCCAGGGAACGTTTAGATTGGATATTAGGAAAAATTTCTTCACCAAAAGGTTGTCAAGCACAGGAACAGGCTGCCCAGGGAAGTGGTTGAGTCACCATCCTTGGAGGGATTTAAAAGACATGCAGATGTGGAGCTTAGGGACATGGTTTAGTGATGGACTTGGCAGTGTTAGGTTAATAGTTGGACTTGATGATCATAATGGTCTTTTCCAACATAAATGATTCTATGATTCTATCCTCCCTTCATCTGGACCAGGGGATAAGATACTCTGGAAGGCATTGGGTTCCTGAAAGCACCTTAGAACAGAAGCTAAGGGCCCTGGCCCTACTTTCTTCATGATGAGGGAAGCATATGGGAAGTAATCCTTCCAAACTCTATTCCAAGTACCTGGCACAACTGGGAGCACAACTCAGGGACAATTGATTCTCCGTGCCTTGCTGTGCTATCATACAGATAAGAGAGGGCAACCTGGATCATTCTCTGTATCCCCTCTACGCCTTTGTATCTGAACAGCTTTGGACAAGGAAGCCTTTTTCTATAAAGTGCCAACAACACAGCCAAGGCCTTGCCCATGATAGGTTGTGCCCTCCTCCCATCAGGTTCCCTTCTGGTCTGCTGACAGGAACCAGACAAGTCAAGATTGGGTTCCCTGGCCAGGTTGCGATAGCCTGTGAAGATTTTGGGGGTTTTTTATTCATATAATTCTTCAAGAAAATAAAACATTGCACAAATGAGATGCTGGTTCAAGATACCAAGTCAGAAAACGAAAGAAGAGAACATCACCCCCCCCCCCCCCAAAAAAATTTTACACCCTAAATAAAAGGTCCCTGCCTCTAGGGCCAAACCATCTGCAAGCACCTCACAAGTATGTCTTCTAACAGCAACAGGAAATTATTTGCTCTGATTATAGTAATAGCATTTTCTCTCACAGAGGAATAGAAACCCTTCAACCTCACCAAGCACCTTCTTACCACTTTGAGCCATTTGCTGACCCATACAATACTGGGAAACTCATAGCAAAAGGTTGGGCTTACCCCTACAAGTTCCCACCAACCTCTTTCAATTAGTTTCTCTCAAAGGACCTCAGGCTTCTGGGAAGCTTAACGAGGTTGCTTTAATTCCTTCACTACTGGCTGCCAGGAAAAGAGGTCTGCACCTGGCAAACACTCTCAACAAATCACCTCAAACAGCTAGGAGCAATCCATACTAAAAAGGGTATTTTTTCAGAAGTAGTTAGAAGCAAAGTTGTTTTGGCTCAGAATCTTGTAGATGATCTTTTATAAATGCATTCTTTAAAAAACATGATGTTATTTATGCTCTTTGTCGATCTCCTTCTTGGCAGAAAACATTTTCCTTTCAAAGAGAGGAATTCCAATGAGGTTTCAAATATTGTCCAAAACAATGTCCCAACATGCCTATCTCCTATCAAACATTTTAATCATCTTCCCCCCCACACCCCAACACTCAGTCTTAGTACTGCAGTTTTGATTAAACAAGCCATCTCTTTATTCCTGAAACTAATTATATAGGTACATCTCTTTGGCTTTCAAATAAGGTTCCCCTGTTAACGGTTTGTACCCACTGGCTATGCTACTCTCAGGAATGGCAGACAAGGAAAATAAATTAGGCCAGACACAAAGGAAACTGCAGGCTGCCAACACATTTGTTCAGAATAGGATGTGTACAGAGATGGGAACGCTGCCTGTACCACACTCAATGGTTTCTGGCCAGAAGGATGGAAAACACCCATGTGTGACAGTACATACTCCTCCACCAAAAGGGGGTCCATGTGGTCATTTTCTTTAACAAAAGAACGAAACACAAGGGAGGTGGGACAAAGGTCAATGGGCTTCTCCAGCTTGACTACTCAGTCTGTGGGACTAAAGCACTCCAAACTCCCAACTACGAGCATGGGAAGGGGTGCAAGCGTGGAATTGCCAGGACTCCCCACCAGGAATGCCTTTGTGCCCGCTTATGTATGGTCAGCGAGGGGTGACCATCAGCAGGAGAGCAGAGGGCAGCTCAAGCACCCATAAGCAGTGGCAGCCTTGAGAAAAATCTCTCTGTAATCTGAACACCAGGAGGCTGGGTGATAGGGAGGCAAATTTTGAAGTTGTACTGGATGCTTATAGTCCCTGCTCCGCTGGGGGGGATCCACAATCTGTCAGCAGACAGCTATGACTAGGGAGAGACGTTGACCCAATGTACTACAAGAAGGCTTCCACTTTTCTCATGTAATATTCTCACACGAATGACTGTTTTCATTGTTTAATGAGAGAACATAAATAATATTCACCGCATCATCTGTTCCTTATTGCTGCATGGAAAGAATTTTCTCGGTAAAGAAATAGGTGTTAAAACATGCAGTGTGCTAGTTATGTTCCATGAACACGTATTCTACAGCTAATTCCCACCCTCTTGTCAATGTCCCTTTTAACCTAGCATCTTTTAGGCTACTCACGTTCACATGTGTTTGTGCTCCCAGCTGTTGCAGGTTGCCACTGTTTCTGATTATATCCAGGGCAGCAGTGATCACAGGTTTCCCCACAAGTGTTATGCTGACATTCACACTGAAACCTACAGAAATGAAAGCCTCTTATTCTGCTGAAGCTGAATTTAAAATTTTTTTCTTAATTTTATTGCAGTTCAGGACTTATGCGTAGTGTGAAAAAGACAGGACATAAACTCACATGTAAAGAGGTCAAACAGTAATACTAGAACATTTTGGAACTTTCTTAAAACTCTTCATGACTGATTAATCATGTGATTATGAGCTTATTACCACAGATTACTTATAGAGAACATTTATAATTGGATTCAATAGACTGGTTTATGAAACTTTATTCTACAATATTAAATCAAGATGATATATAACAGTTTAAGTTGTATCCTCTTTTAGCTTCAATCCAAGGCTCAAGCTTGTTGACCTACAATAAGTCGAAATGTCACCTTTATATGCATGCCTTCATCGTTTTTTCATTATGCTTTGTTTACAATAATTTTATTAGTGTTTTTAATAAACCAAGATCATAACTTCATCTTGTTATTTTTAAAACAGTGCACACTATTCATCAAGAAAATGTAGTCCATATTTATTTTGATTTAGCTGAATAGCCTACTTAAGGGGCAGGGTCTCATTATGTGCTAGGTCTTACTATCATGCATAGTAACTGAATCCAGGAGCAACAAAGACCTTGAGACTGGAGAGGCCTTTTCCAATGTTCCTCTCTTACCTATGCAGTCTAATAACCAAGGGGCAATAAAATTTTCAAGTATAACCATCCTGTTCCTGTAGATTTCACACCTTCTGTACTTAACATTTCTCTAGCATAGACATCTGGAAAGAAGGTACCCATCTGCCCACTTACTCTTCATTAAAACACAACTGAAAATATTATATTGTCCTGATAAAAGTTTGTTTCAATGCCTTCGTGCATAAGAGCAACAGCTGGCTTAAACCAGGCTTTTAAAATATGTTTTAGACAGCCTGATATTCAGTCACTTCCCTATAGCAGATGAGGCAAGGAGCCTGATCTAACTCCTTGTGAAATCAATATGGAGATCATAAACTTCACAGGGAAAGGGAATAGTTCATTCAGTTTGTTTTTATTTTTTCCAGTAATGATTGAAAGCCATTGGATCTTGGCAGAGCTCAGTTATAATGCTCAGTATCTCCAGGAAGTTCACTAACTGTTCTTGAGTTGGGCTTCTAATTCCTGCTGTTGGAAGGTGATACCAGCCCATGTTTTCCAAAAAGAACTAAGGGTTTCTAAGAAATTATTCAATCTGCCAAACTCTTGTTTCAATTAAAAAGAAAAATCTAAGTAAAGACTTTTTATTATTATATTTCACATACAATAGCTCTTGACATGTTTTCTTGTCATTCATTAGCAGATTCTAGTTTTTTAAATATAATGAAAAATCCCTGTAAGACTATACCATTTTATAATAAAAAAAGGTCATTTGAAAACATTCATGTATTGTTTTTCTCATATTAAATTAATGTTATGCTCAGTTTACTTACTGGTATTTGTTGTCAGCACTCTTTGCATTACATACTTCAGCATGGCCATGGCAAACACATCGACCACCAATACTGATGTCCTTTATACTGTAGTAATACTATGGAACAAGCACAAGAAGTACATATAGTCTTTCCTTACTTGTACTATGTCAGAAATATCAACATCAGATTGTTAAATCTTGTGTATAAGAATTTTAAAGGCATGACTTTACAAAAGGCCAAAGTCAGGCAGCCAATGGTTAAAGCTCTGTTGATGTCTATGTCTCAGTATGAGTACCAGCAAATCAAAGTCAATACCCATGGCATGCCTGACAGCAACAGGCTTGTGCAGCTCACACCAAATGCATATTGCTGTAGCTCTCCGTTCCCCAGTAGCTACACAGCCCAAAGCTTGTTCAAAGCCAGCTTGAGGATGGAGATGTAAACTACTGTCAAAGCATCAATTTCTGAGACTGTGGTCTGCTCAACAAACAGGACATGCTGGTATGGGCAGTGCAGTTTCCCCATTCAGTCAGACATCGTCACTAAACACTAGAAAGTGACCGAAATCACCAGCTTGGTCAAAATCATGCCTGACTCAAGCTGGATTTGAAATTGAGACCTGAAGTTGAACGTGTCTCATCCTCACGCCTTGCAGGCTTCCAGGCAACAGAAGATAAAAATGTAATTGGCTCAACTCAGTGAAAATATCATTACTGTATACATATAAATAGTAACTTCTGCATACATTTTTGTAGCTCAGAAGTTGTTTCCTTTCCCCTTAGAGCACTAGGCAGAACAGAGAGATGGTTGTAAATCTTTATCTCTGTGAACCCTCAGAAAAACTAAAGAGGTAGATTTAATGTCACTGGAGGATGAAGAGAAAAAGGGTCAGAACGTTATGCAGGTACATCTCCTGTGCTCACTCTATCCACATTACATCCCCTCTAAGTGATATACACAGACTCTCTCAGTGGTGATCCTTCCCCTCTACTCAGCACTGGTGAGGCCACACCTGGAGTACTGGTTCCAATTCTGAGCTCCCCAGTACAAGAGAGATAGTAACATACTGGAGAGAGTCCAGCAAAGGGCCACAAATATAATGAAGGGATTGGAGCATATCTCCTATGAGGAAAGGTCAAGAGAGCTGGGACTGTTCAGCCTGGAGAGGGCTCAGGGGGGAACTTATCAATGCGTATAAATACCCAAAGGAAGGGTGCAAGGAGGACAGAGCCAGGCTCTTCTCACTGGTACCCAGTGACAGGACCAGAGGCAATGGGCACACACGGACACACAGGAGGTTCCCTCTGAACATCAGGAAACACTTTTTCACTGTGAGGGTGACCAAGCACTGACACAGGTTGCCCAGAGAGGTTGTGAAGTCTTCCTCCTTAAATATACTCAAAAGCCGTCTGGACATGGTATTGGTCAACTGGCTCTAGGTAGCCCTGCTTGAGCAGCGAGGGTTGGATCTAAGGACCACCAGAGGTTCCTTCCAACCTCAACCATTCTGTGATTCACTTCAGATGCATATACACTCTCTACTTTTATGTAGGTGAAGTTGGCTGGCACAGACGAGATGCTTCCCCAAGGCAGAGAGCTTTTCCAAGTAGCTCTTTGCTCTACCGCAGGTGGGATATACAGACTAGGAAATATTTTTTGCCTTCTGAACTATCTCTACTCAAATATACACATTCATTTCTAACTGTGCATACCATTTTCACACTTTAAGTAAAACTTCCAAGTAAAAACTTTCAAGGAAAATCTTTCAGTGTTTTCAGCACAGCTAGAAAGGATCACTGTGACTCTCACCAACATATTTGACAGTGGTTTTTGAGAGAAGAGTCTTCACAACCCAGTCTATAGTTTTATACAGCTTTGCAGGGCTATGCTTTACTACTAACAGTAACTGTACTGTCACTGGTCAGTAATAAGTCAAATTAGCTATAGGCCAAAACAATTAATAGGCCAAACTGTCACAGTGTAGACATAAAACATACTCTATATAATTCAGTGTGTCATGAACTCAAACCATTTACAGGGGAAGCCAGGCAGTTACTTGGATAGGAGAACAGAACTGGTCTGGTTTTCATCTGTTTCTATAATAAGTTTAACACAAAGATTCTCCTTAAGAATCTTAACTATTTCCTAGACTTGGAAGGTGTCTACAATAAAAACTTGTGCTCTCTTAAACAATTTAATAAAGTACTTGACATTTCATTCATCTATCTTATATCCCATGGCTATGATAACATCGGAAGTTCCTTACAATAAAGCTGTGCTGCTTGCCAAGCAAACTAAATGCTGCCTTTACATCTGTCTGTGAGCAACATCTTAAAATTCACTTAAGACAATAACAGTACTTACTGGGAGTGCTATCAAGTAACTGGAATAGTTTTATGTTTTTTGATGCAGAAACCCTCACACACATTTGTGCAGTGCCTCACCCCAAGGTTTCCTCCAATTGTTACCGAATCTTCATTTTAAATGAAAAGGTTAAAAATAACAATACAATATGAAGTCTGCAATCTCTCTAAATATATGAATTTCTATGCCATGTTCCCTTGAGGGAACTGAATTTCCTTAAATTTCCCCACTGAACGGGAGTGGGACTTTGGCTTTCAAGCTCTTGGAGAGCCCAAAATCCACTGAAAATACCTAGATATCTCTAACTATTTGTGGAAAGATAGTAATTTTTTAGTATACCCTTTGATTCCTGCTCCTTCAGAAACTTAGGTACTGTTTCCTGAAAATCTTTCTTTGACTAAATAAGGAAAGTAGTGTCAAATAAAGCTGAAAAGATTTAGTTCCTCAGTTCTGCATAAGATAGTTTAGAAGATTTCCGCTTTGGCTCATTATAGCTCCCGTGATGCACCCAACTTCCTTCCATATTTGAAAACAGGGAAAGAAGACGGTCTGTTACAAAATCATTAATCATTACTTTCCCTCCATAAATCTGTTCTGACCCAGTCACCTTCTTGTCTCAAGCAAACCTAGAGAAAATATGGGGATTTAAAGGTGGGTCACTGTCAATTTTGATTGTTAGGATGTTGCAAACTTAAAACATTCATATCATGTTTTGTCTCTTAACATGCTGAATATGATTGGTGAGACTATCTCGGTGAAAACAGTACTTACTCTACGGGTTACAGTGGGGTCTCGTTGAGCTTTTGATATCAAGTGTCCAAGAAGCGTATTAGTTCTGAGAAAATGAAGGCGGATGTTTGTTGCTTTTGTGAACTCTCGAAGACTAGACGAATAAGTGAAGTTTTTTGCTCCTGGGCGGCCATTTACCAAAGATACTACAATCTAACAAAGAAGTAAGCACATTTTTTGTTAAAATATATCAGCTGCAAATGTCAGTAGTGGCACAGAGCAACATTAATAAAAGAATCCAAAAACTTACTATCGTTTCTGAGCATATTCGCAGTAACAACTACGTATTTCATACTGAAGCCAGGACACTGGGAAAAATAGTGTTGTTAGTCTTGGACCCTCCCGAATTCTCATTACCCATATGGCACATCACAGAAAAAAGTGCCTCTATAACACACACAAAGTACATGTTTTAGTAGGAAAAACAATAAGAATAGTTGCAAATAGTTATATTAACAGTTGATAGTGTCAATGGGAGTTTTGCCTAAGTAAAAACATCAGGTTTTGGCTCTTTCCCAAAGCACATTTATTTTTGGGTTAAGGCACAAACATTCCTGGAAAATATTATTGTTACCAGGTCCAGTGCCTGGGAGCGTATTAATGGTCTTTTGGAAGAAAGTACACAGTGTTGCTTTAGAAAATCCTCTCACATTAAAGCAGGTTTATCTGACTTTCAAAACAAGGGCTCCGGTACTTTTTTATTTTTTAAAGAAACAGATGCCAGCAGCCCAGCAATCATGAATCTCTATTAAATTAACAATCCAGTGTGCATGTACAGGACTGAGTAAGAGACTTTCATTTGTTTATAACTGACCAGATTTCTATTTTCAATCGGCTCCTATACTCTGAAACACATAACAAGGGAATGGTAACGGTTCTGTTGCAGCAGCGTTCCTTTAGGAAAAGTCACACAGCAGGTAACAAGTGTTGTCATCAGCAGTGTTCTTCTATGGAAATTATTCTTTACAATATTTTATTAGGAAAATTTTACAGATATGTTAATAAACAAATTCTATAATATGAAACTACAACCCCAGGTCCATATGCTCAAAACTCCGGATAACTCTTGAGGACTTCAGATCTGATTCTAACCACATCAGGCCTAACAGGAGAATGTCAGCAGGAGCCATCAGCACAGCCTGGAGTTTAACATTCATTCAAATAACACAAGCCACAGTTCTGCCTAGCAAGGAACAACGGCTAAAATCAGAGCAACGTTCTCCAAACACATGTATTATATTATAAATGTGTAGCATTTTATATATCTTTTCTTAAACAGCTACTTATTATTGAATGGTAAATATCTGTTTCTACAGCCTTTACTCCCATGAGCAATTCTGATGCAGTAAGTTCTGCTATGTACATTGGAAGTGTTCAGAAAATGTGGTCAACACCTTCAAATGCATACGGCTAAAGTGAGGTACCTAAATCATGATAAAAATCAACACAGGTGGCTCTGAGCAGCCCCTACCCCCACAGGAAATGGTGAAAGTTAGGAGGAGCCAGCTCGCCTCCAAAAATCTCAACAGCTACTTAAGTGCTTGGTTACGGACTTATTAACGTAGATTCAAGCCGTCATAGCTGAAAAATTACTTCCAGTTCTAGGTTTTTATTGAAACAGTAAACTTCTGAAACCAATGCTGTTTGCTTCCAGCATTACACGTTACTTTCCTAAAAACACTTACCTCTCCATTTTCTAGAGGCAGGATGCGAGAGTACTCTGTGGTGCAAAGGACATCGCTGTCCCTCCTCACTGGAAGGTTAGCTTCCTTTCCAAAGTGCTCCAAGCAATCTGCTTTGGAGTCTAGTCAAGTAAGAACAAAATTATTTTTATATGTGAAAATAAACACTATCATTCTAATTTAAATTAACGAAGAAGTATCCCCTGTGCTTTCAAGTAAATTCTCCCCCGTAACTGAATAATAACAGTGATTGTGTCACTCAGCATAAAAAAAATGGAAATTCCTAAAAACAAATTATTTCTCGTCCTAAGCAGTTCAGTGGTGCCTGACAAGACATGGCACAATATTTCTCATACCACCATAAAAAAAAGCTATATATGTACCCCAAGATTTTGCATTTGTAATTCACTTTGATTTTTGCAAGTTACTCCAGGGTCCCATGGGATGAAGGACACTGTAGTTCTGACATACCCCAAAACCAAGACAAACAAAACAAAACAAAAATTCCCAGACTGAAAAATATTCATGTGCTGAGTTACACTTTCAAAATATCATAGTCATTTTTAGTTACACTCTTGTCACTAATTTATTGTGGATAACTAAGACAAGAGAAATGTATTTGATGTTCACTGTCTTCACTGCAGTTGAAACCTTTAGCGAGCCCTATGGTCTGATTTTCCTGCTACTGGGCAAGTGATTGAAGAAACCTGTCCACAGAAGAGCAGTGATGAAAGGATTGATACTCACGAGCAAAAAATTGCCAGGGAGTGTAAGTTCTTCCAAAGTCCACTGATCTTTCTAAGATCCAGAGATCTGGACGAGGAGAATTTGCAAACTTGATAATGATATAGGCAACATGGAAGAGCTGGTAACAGAATATATATAGATCTTATCAGGAGCTTTTAATGCCAATAAACACCTTTTCTTTAGTGTACCGTGAGATGGTTATCCCCTGCAGTTTCATTCCCATTAAAATAATAGGTCAGATTCTCAGCTGGCTACATCACCTGGCAATGTGCTCCAATACATTAAGAAAACTGCAACAGGACTGTGTTAAATGCCACCATCTTTTGGAACAGCTCTATTTTGCACATGACTGATTGCTTTGGTGTGTTAAGGGTATAGTACTTAATCTTGAAAAGTTAGCATCTCAACACATCATTGAACTAAGATACCTTTGCAGCATCCTGGTACATCTGTGTTGCATTCCAATCATGTAATTGTGCTTGTAGTCAAGGAAAATCACAATGATGTAAGAGAAAATGCACACTCTTTACACTGGGACTCCTTTGGTTGCCTTTGATAGTAATCTAAGCCACTTGTTCCCTCACTTTAAGAATATTTCTAGATAATTTTGCCACTGGACAGGCTTTCCAAGTAACAGAAGTAAGCCACCCCAGAGTTTTGTGGGTATCAGATAACATGGGAGAGATTCTTATGACTGGTAGCTCATTCACTGTCTGAAACAGCTCAAAGAGCTTCATCAGCTCAGGGTTCCCAAGGCCAAGAGTCCCATCTGGCTTCTTTAGGTGCTCATTGTGTATCACAGCAACAGACCACAGAGACAGAAAGCTCCCAAACATTAGAGCAAAAATGGATTTGACAAGAAAGGAAATCTTACTGTAAGCCTCTTGGGATAGTCCACAGTCATAAAAATCAGAACATCAGTAAAATTACCTCTACACTAAAGGATGAACACAGATTGATTCTAAGGGTCATTTAGAATTTAAACAACCACAACATGGATATGACCTGTCAATAAAAGTGATGCAATATGGAGGTACAGTCAATATTCAAGTGAAGCTGCACCAGAATTTCTCACTCAACAACCTCAACTCAGAATCATCTGCTTGCAAGAGATTCTTTCTTTGGTGGGGGAGGCAGGGAGTTAAGTCAACGGTCTGTCAAGTAACTGCTGCCAGAGCCCTCACATCAAATACGCCCATGCAGTTTATCTTTGCTCAAACATCACATGTGTCATAACCCTGAAGCTAATACTTTGCAAAGGTTATTAGGCCCCAAACCACAAGTATGTACAAGCTCCCAACCACCAACTGGGAACAGCACCTGTTGCCATGCCTGGCCCATTCAGCTAAGACCAATTCAATAGCTGTCATACCAGCTGGGGCCACCAAGAGCCAGATGCAAACAGTGAACAATGCAGTGGAGCAGATACCTGGAAATACTTGTCCCTAACCAGTACTGCACATGCCAATCCCATGGCCACATGCACATTGCAGTCATATGGCTACGTGCAGCCTCAGTCTTCACACATCTACTTCAGACATCAGCTTCTGAATACCAAAAGTATTCATAGAAGACAGTAAAACCTTCTCACAGAGAAATGGGAGGAATTCAGGGACTTCATGGAGCATGCTCTCATGATAATAACCTCACATCCCAGAAGAAAAAAAAATGAAGCTTTTTCGTTGTGCATTCACTTAATTCAGCATGTACAACTATCCAGGGCAACTGCCTGTTCTATACACAACAAGGCATCACTGCAGCAGATGTCATACCTTCAAACCTATTTCAGAAACTGTTGATTTGCTGAATGTTGCTTACCTAGGTCAGTGGAGAGATAACTGGGGAAAAAAAACATTTCACGTTAGTGTTGGAATTTATCCTGCCTACTTAACACAGCTTGACAAGCGCCAACTTCACCTCCTGTGATACTAAATTAGGTACCTAAGTAGCCTGACGGTATCTACATATGGAAAATTACTTACTAGACAACAGTGTCAAGCAAAGTAAGTGGCAGCCATTCTGTTGACAGAACCCAGAACTATGTGCAATGACTGCATAGGTGGACTAATGCCCTTAAATTACCAACAAAAAGTCTCTACGCTGATTGTCAGAAATAGGTGAATACTTTGGAGACTGTGGCAAGATTTGCTCTTACTGAGTTTCTGATGCGCTTTACCTAAGTAACTTCTGCTACTTGACTGGCAAGTTTCAGAGTAGGGATATTGGCCATACAGACATATGTCATCCAGTATGGCCATTCAATGCGAAGATCGGTATCCTCCCAGGAAAGCATGATAGTTCTGAAATTCTTAAAAAGAAGTGCTTCATGTTCTTGCTTTTGGCCAGCTGAATCTCTCAAGGGGCATTGCTTCCCCTATGCTTTATGGTCTTTGGGAGTCCCATCCTTGTATGCATGTTAACAAGTGTGGATAGCACACTGTGTATTGATTGACACAGACTTAATCAAGACAAATGGTTTAGAAAGCTCAAGAGAAAACAAAGGAAGCATATAGAAAAGGTCCTGCCTTCTCCAGGGCCCCACTGCTTGTGGTCACATTGTGGAATCATTACAACAATGACCTTCTACCTACTCTCCAAAAAAGCAGACGACATCTGCTTCAGCTTGTCATAGTTATTATATTCTTTCACTCAGATGCTACTCAAAGTGCTGACACAGCCAGTCTCATCTCGTCTCTTGTAACAGGTGATACCTTCTCATAAGTGTAAGCAAAATAGTAGCAGTGAATTCCATTTCCACAGTGCTTCCACACTGCTGAAGAAACATGAGACGAGCTCACTTATACAACAGTGTCACACTGGGCTACAACCTTTCATAAGCATCTAAAGAAAAAAGCAGCCAAAATGAAGGCACACAAGAGTAACGCAGCTGAATCAGCATGTGGCACCCGTCAAACACCTGTATGCCACATCTACTGTGCAACTGTGGAATTTGCTTAAGCGTATGACTACTCAATGCATGTGAAGCTGAAGTACACTCCAATATGTGTTTTTTGTCAGGAACTCTGCAAGTCTGCCAATGCTTGAAGAACTGTCTCCCAGCACCACACTTTGCATACTTCCATGCAAATCACAAAATGGAAGAAAAAATGTATGGCAACTTCAAACTACTGTTGCATATGAAAACCTTCAATTCACACGTATCTCTCCTTACATCTCATACTTCGAAATACTGCTTGGGTTTGTACAGTCACATTCAGAAAGGGGAAAGGGATACATCTCGATAAAAATTAAATTAGTGTTAGTTAATGACAATATATCACCAAAACTTAGTCACCAACACTATCATCTGTCCTGCCAACGATTTGGTTCTGACCTGGATCAAGGATGCAGAATAGCACCTGAAAATCCAAATTTCCACTACGATTGAATACTGACCAAGTTGATGAATGGTCTCTCTTCAGATCTGATGAGGCAACAATGGAAGAGAAATAATCCTTGGCTTACCAAATAAATCCTAACTAAAGATAGATCCTAACTGAAGTAACCTTGCTGATGTAAGATCTAGAAAAGCAGCCATTAAAACCAATTTTAAGTACATATTCTATGCTGGCATTTCACTAATTTAAATCTTGAATCCATTGCATTGATAGAAATAAGACCTACCCTGAAGAAAAGGCATAACAAACTCAAAGCAATGTTTTTCTTCAGTCATTCAGTTTGGGGAAAAAAGGAAGTTGATTTCTTCATTTTTGAAAAAATGTTTATTTGGTTGCTTTTAAGTCAAATTTCTTTCACTAAAAAACAACCATTTTGCAAAAGGAGTGTTAAAAATGTAAGTAAACATTAAAAATAACTGCTTTTTTGGTGCAATTATATAATAGTTTTTAAAAAAATCACCAAAAAATCTGAAATATGGCTTAATCAAAATTTTGACAGTTTTCTTATATGAATAAAGAATTAGGTTTAAAAGTAGAACCCATATTTTGTTTCCAGTAATGGAAACAATCCACTCTGGAAATGCATGCTTGAAAGAGGATGTATTCCTGTAAATGTCCCAACACCATATCCTGCTGTAATCTAGCAGCATGGGTCAAACCTGATGGATTGTCAACAGCTGGAATTTAACTAGTTCCATATTGATGTGACCTTTTCCTGTTCACTCACGTTTGTTCAGATTTGAAATGTTCTTGCAGGCAGTAGCCTTGAAGATTTATAAAAACCCAGATAAAATTTAAAAAAATCATCCAGTAGAATGAGAAAAATCTCTTCCTCACCTGAGAATGGAAATTATAATTCAGTGTTAGGAATTGCCAATATTACATTACAAAACCAGGAACATTTCTATAGAAGCCCTTACAGGTGAATTTAAGACTGCCTTAAAAGGGTTCATTTAAACTGAATGAGAATCACACTGCACCATTCTTGTTGATGATACAATATTCGTGATCTCTAACAGCATGCATACTACTTATTTTAACCCAACAGGAAGAAAACGTCCTATGACCCATTGCATTCTCATGAGAATTCTAAAAAATAACAATAATAGTAATTAAAAATCTTTTCTCCATTTTCTCCTTGGAAGTTTAAACAACTCTTTAAATAGAGGAATTTCTAAGATCTGTTTGATTCCTGAAATACATATGCAAATGGAAGAAAGGTGTACAAAAGCATAGTATATTTCCTCCATTCCTACCACCATAGACTCAATACAGAATACTAAAATACTGGAATGACTTGTTAGTTAAATGCTGGACATAAACTAGTACAAAAGAAAAACACAATACGTTCTGAACAATCATTATGCTGTGTGCTGCAAATGTAGCAAAGGATTGTTCTCCCTTTTTGGCTCATGAAGAACAAAAATTCCTGGAGTGTTGTAATAACAAGAACACAACTAGAGCCAAGTAGATCATCTATCTGAGGCATTCTATATATCTCAAGATGCATTCAAAGAGACATCAACAACAATCTCTCTTCATGTAACCTGAATTGTAGAAGTACAGAGAACAGCTGTTTCCAGCACGATAGTATTTCCTCAGACTGTATTAGCAGATATATCTACACCACCAAAACTTCTCTCAACTTATATGACTGTTCTGCTAGGCTTCTGACATTATCTTGAATAATGTCACTGAGGTTGGCATTGCACATTACGCA